ATCTCGCACAGAGTATTTATATGTAGAAGACACATAATGGCAAGAATCACCTTGCGAAGAAAGATAACCAAGATCAACATTCGGTTCGAATTAGGTCCAATGCTCAGGAACGCACAAGCTCTTCAAGCCCTTTACGAGTTTTTCAAACCACAATTGACTACGTACCCAAGATACTCCGGTGGTTCGGCGTAACCGAGAAAATTCCCGGACACGCAAATCATCAAGACATTTTACGACACTAGTCAAGAAACGCTTCCTACCAATTCAACATACCATTCAAATCCTCATGCTTTAAGAAGTATTGATGGACGTAGTTTAACTTTGTATCGTCTTAACAATATATTTAGATTTCATCATCATCATCATCATCAGGCCACTGCCCTTGAGGTGGAGATGAAGGCTAGGATTCTTTTTTTACAAGAGGAGAATAGGTTCAACTCCATAGGGGTGTAAAAGACATCATAACTTTACGACTCTGGTAAGAAACGCGTCCAATTGAATCCTACAAAAACTCAAGTGAAAACGACACGTGATGCCATAAAGAAGTATTGATGGACGCAGTTTAACTTTGTTTCATTTTAAACAATATACCCAGATTTCATCATCATCATATTCCTTTATTAATATCAAGATCTCTCATCATTTGTGATGTGTAAGCTTGCACAGAAAGTTACACGTTTACATTTGGTAACTTCGCCAGTTAAATAAAGCAGATATCCGAAACAAATATTTGTCAGTTAGGTAAAGCAGAACAGAAGAGAAAAGTCAGAAGATCCTGATATCTTAATTCCTTCATCTGGAGTAGAGGTTTAAAAATCGAATCCATGCAATATAGAATAAAACATCACAAAATATTCTTGCTTATTGGTTTTTAGTATCTGACAATATGAATTATTAATGTTTGAAAATGATTTGCTACAGAATCAACAGATATTGACTACCATTGGAACCAGTCTAATTCACAGCAAAGTGTCTAGCGAAATGAGTGGTTATGCAACTGACTCTCCATCCTAGCATGGCGGTACAGCCCATTTAATGCATCTCCAGTCCAATTGCAACTTCTAAATAACATTCGACAAAAGTAGTCTCCTGTATGCGTGTCATAGTAGTTAAGACACAAGGAATTAGTTGGATTGACATTGATCATATAATTAAATGTCCCATACGGACCAATCTTGATAATCATTAAGTTCGTTAGTTATGTCATTATGTTCATCAAACCTCTTCTGGTTCTAGGAATATTCCACATTAAAAGGAAACCCTTTATCCTATGAATATAGTGACTAACTGATGAAGTTAATTGTCCTCGCTCGTGCTTCCTACGTAACATAACAGGGCCTCCAGAACCTCTAAACAAGCTTTAAATTTCTTATCGAAATATACTAGTTCTCAGATTTTCTCGTAGGTATCTGGAGCTGCTTTACTTAGGACTTCAGATGAGATAGGATCTAAATAATGTTTTTATCCTTCTGCCTTTTTTCAAACTTGAAACTCATAAAGGAGCAGCACCCGTAGCTAAAGTTCCGACTCCAGAAAAAGCGCGTTAAACGATTCTAGCAACTCCAGGAATGTCTCTCCAAATATGTCTTTCCTTCTTTGTGATAAACAGTATCTCCTCATTTGAATAAATACAAAATTGTCCAATAGATCTCTCTTTCCTTCATACCTTTTCTCATCAAAACGATGTTGGCCAATTCCAATTAAACCTGTTCCAAAGTTATTAGCTGCTGTAATGAAAGGGATCGCCCATTCTGCTGCTAACCCCGCACCATGTTCAGATAGATCTATAATTGATGAACTGTCATAAGTCTTAATATCCACGCCACTTTCGTTAATCTTGGCCACAACTATTTGAAAAATTGTTAACATCGCGACGCAACTATACTTCAATGTAGTGAAGACAGACCTAGACGCTTGACCAGTAATTGAGGAATGCTGTTTCTTGCTTGTTGGTTGAAAAGCCATTTGTATAAACATGTTTAATTATCAATATAAATATAATTAAAGTTCCAAGAGAAACTATAGAGACGAAACACTTTAATAACTCTTCCAATAACATTATGACGCCTTTGGATCACACTAGGTTTTACGTGCAAAGTTTGGATCACAACTAGTTTCTAACTAGTTTTACGTGCAATTTTTTAAGTAGTATTTTAATAATACATTTAATACTGCATAATTATTATTCACTTCTTGTTCTGTCCAATGCCAGCAGCAGTGTAGTAGCTACCTGAATCGATGCGCCATCGTTCAGTGAGCTTTGCCATCTTCGAGGGCTAAAAGTCCCGTTATCGTACATCTAGTTGTTACGCTATATTTAGAGTAGCTGGATGAACACTAGTTTCTAAGATCAATCTTGCCATACCTTGCAAAGATTGTGCCGGAAGCTCGACTGCCTCGACTCTTGGTAAACCCATTATAACACCACCGTTTGCCGTGGCCTCGAGTACAGTGACCGCAAAAGTTGGTATTGACCTACAAAGAGCAGTACAAGCGTCAAAGTGTTTCCCTCCAAGGAATCTACACCTTCCAATTGATCTGGAGATAGCCAAGATGAGGTCACTTTCGGATGTCCATTCGCATGGAAGTGCTGATACCACCATCATATCCGCACGTATCTTGCATGGCGAATTTGGCATAGCTCTAACTACTTTGTTGACTTTGGAACCCATGAACTGATCTGTGACATAGTGACATCGGCCAAATTGAGAGAAGAGACTTACTTCTCTTATTAATCTCAAAGTCTCTCACTCTTTGGGCAAGTTTACACATCACAAAGAGTCAGACGTTTATAGTTCTTGCAACTAGTCAATATTTCTATACTCTGTATCAAATGTAACTAAACAAAAAAGTAAAAGTACTCCAGCTATATGAAAACCTTGTTGCTTTACAGGGTTTTATTTTATCAGGGCAATGTACGACTCAATATGGCTGGTGCAAATGTTCCTGTTTGTATTTTGTACAGCAATTTAGAGTGAAAGCCTTCCCAAACGATACTAAAACGATACCACGAATGAATCCTGTAAAGCGTGTACTATCCCATTTTACTTTGTATGTCCTTAAGCCAGAGTGGTGCGAAGAGTATCATAGTTTGAGAACCTACATAAATGATTATTCACACAATTAAATAATTCACTTAATTCAGTGCAATATTGGTATTACAACAGACGAAAGATCGCTAGACATATTAAATGGAAAATTTGCTTAATGTTAACCTCTACTTAAGGTTATTTTCAAGAAAATAAAGTAAACATGTCAAATAAATAATATGCATATAAATTCATTGTATTGATAAAATAGATCCTAATTTCGCACTTAACAAAGTTTCATCATTATCTTTCAGACAATCCAATCTCCTCTGTATTATTTCAGGACTAGCTTTAGCTTGACCAGGTAACTTGAGATTGTGCTCGTCATTATCATACTGTATCACCATTTTTGCGGTTTCAGGATGCGTTGACAGTAGTGCCACAATAAGATCTCTCCGGAGTGCTTCATCTTGAGTATGCCATAAACATAGTGATGAATGATGAAGTGCGATCCAGTATGCAAGAGGTTGAATGTTTAAAACAAGAGACTTTGTTGAGATGGCTCTAGCGTATGCCCTTATTACATCCACATTATGTTCGAGCGGGAAAAGGAGTTTGTTTACGAACCACTTTGGGAAGTCCGTCCACGTCAATTTGATACTTTTGACACATGTAGCGTGATCAACCCACAAAAGCCTCCTATATTCCTGAGCTAGCAATAATGGAGGGAACAGCATAATGGCTGTATTGCGATCACCTAATGAAATTGATTCAAAGAGACCAACGTAGTCAGTGTATATTTGATAGAAAGGTATGTCAGCCCTAGCTTCCTCCTGTGCATCTTCCAGTGTATACTTATCGTTTTCCAATCCGGTCAAAACCTTATGTAAAGTTCTTTCAAGAGCGATCTGCACACGTTCATTCCTGAATACCTCACCACCTTCAACACCCAACTCAAGTAAGAAAATACGCATGAGTTGTAGTAATTGTTTACTACAGGATGTGCCCATAATTTTGTTAATCGTTTCTTGTAGTGTGAGACCACCCATGACCAGATCCACTTCACTGTAGTTCCAATGAGCCGGGAGATTTTTCAATGCTTCACTATTAGCTGATTGAGACAATTCATCTAGTGTAATTTTAAGAGCCCAATTCTCATATAGAAGTGTATTTGCGTCAAATGGAATGGTAAGTGTAGAAATTTGAGAAAGATGGTTACTATGAATCGAAATACCTGAATATATACCATCAACTAACATCAACTTAGCGGTTTCAATTAGTAATGGGACTGTGGTTTCTTTAGATGCTTTCGCTTCACGTTCTGGGAATCCAGTTACGGTCGAAATAACTTGAGGACTTGCGTTTTGAAGCAGATGAGAAAGAACAGCAACAACAATACTTTCATCACCTTCTCGGAGAACTGTGAGAAGCTGCAAAGCCGTATGTATATTCTCTGTATTATCCAAGTTCGATTGAAGTATACTCCTACAAAGAGCATCCAAGCCAGGTCTGAGTTTGTTGTATGTGGCAGTGTTAGTCTCAGTAACGGTATTTAGGAGGACGTCTATCAATTCCTTCGGAAGGTTGTATGGACCACTATGAGAGAGCAATCGAGTAGTGGCATTGACGATGCACAATGAACTAGCAGCGTTTTCGTAATCGTCTTGAGCAAGTAGATTAATCGCAGTTTGACTGTGATGATCAAATGTCTTTTTGGTATCTTCAATATTGATGTACTCTTCCAACCATTTTGCTTTGTCCGCAACACCCTTGTTTCCTCGAAGCCATATGCTGAGATAAGACCAGACACTAGCAAGTGTGAGCTCGTCCCTAACACCTTGCAACGCGGCTAAAGCCATATCAATGAAGCTTTCTACTTGGGTCCAGACGATAATATGATGCGGTGAAGTGTGATGCGGATCTATAGCACAAATAGTCCACATTTCTAGCGTTTCAAACAGAGCTTTTATAAAAGCTGAAGAATGTGATGGTAATTCTTCCTTCTGGTTACTCAACCACCGTATGCAATCACCACTGATTAACTCCACAGCACTGACACCTTGTACTATCCCATAATTGGCCATTGTGCGCATGAGTACGAGTGACTCAATAGCCAAAAACCAGGCATCTTTGCGACTGGTCTTGAATGGCGGTATAATCAAATAACGACTAGCAACATCGACGGCTTTTCCACTCCTAATGGCCGAAGCGTTACTTCTGGAAGCTGCTGCAATGGCACTTAATGCACTAATAGCCAGCGAATCAGGTTTTTCGTCACTTGGCCAGTCTTTCTCAATAAACGTCTTAACAATCCTTTCAATGAATAGTGGCGTATTGACACACTCGCTAGCCGTCTTGATGGAATGCTTTGACAAGGCGAAGATAATATTGGCTACTTTCTTTATTTCATTGTTATCACCAGCTATCACAGCAGTACCTTTGAGTAAATCATTGAGAGTGTCCGCGAGGTCTGTTCTAAAAGTAAGAAAAGCGAGTGGAGTAGAAAGAAGTTCCTTCATCTCTGAAGGTTGAAGGTTGAGTTGACCAGAGTACACTTTTAATGTCGATGAGGCACTTTCGGCGTGAGTGAGACCATTGTTGAGGTGTTTATCGAGATGCAACTCCTCCAATACGATACTGGCTATTCCAGAAAGACCTGCAACAACGACACTTTTGTTGCTCTCGCTCATTGCAAATCTAAATGAGAGGATTGCTTTACCTAATTGGACATAGTCTAGCTTTTGGACAGTCTCATCGGTATATTCACGTTTGTACCACTTCAGCAAAATATGTGAGAGAGATCTGAGAGATAAAATGCGCTGTGATATGTTGGTACTTCCACTCAACATTAAGAACTCATCGACAGTGTAGCCTGGAGATCCTTGATCGAGCCCGTGGTGATGCATACCTTCAAGATAAGCCTCTTTCTTGCCAGTCATAAGGTTGCCGTGGAAATCAAATCTGAGGGTGTCTCCCTTGCTCTCTTCTGAAGGTGGTGGCAGTGATGTCAACCATGAATGCTGATCTTCGTTGTATTTGGCATCAGGGAAGTATTTTTCACGTATGATAAGTTGTGTAGAGTCCGGCTGATGGTCGTCTGCGGGTTGCTTTTCCTGAATTCGGACTGATTTGCGCTGTACCTTTGCTGCTCCCTCTCTAAACTGAATGAACTGTCAGAATGCATAATATGTTGTTAAATGATACGCACTTCTTCCTTTCCAGCATCTTCTTGCTTTCTTTCTAACGTCTGTTGCTCATAAACATCACCGATAGGCTGCTAAGAGTGAGTTGGATGGCGTAATCTGATAAAAGTTATAAATACCTCATCTATAGTTTCTTTCTTCGCTGCTCGTTTGCGCAAAAACTCAACCATTTTGGCGCCTAACTTCTCCTCAATATCTTCCTGCTCCTGGAGGATCTCTTCTTTAGACATTTTCGCTATAAGATTTCTATTCTCAGCGTCAATTGATTGGTCATGTACTGCAGAAGCTGCGTTCGCGATAGCTGAGGTACCCGCTACCGGTTCTTCTGTCTTCTTTCTAGACTTCTTAAACTGACTTCTTATCTTTGGAATTGGGAATCCAGTTACCGGAGCTGAGGGTGGTGCTGGTGCTGGTGCTTCCGCATGGCTATTGACATCCTTCTCTACGATATCACTAAGCATGAGGTGATGTAACAAATTCAAGAAGTTTTTGGAATCACAAATGCAATTAAAATACAAAATCAATCACTATCGCTATCAAGTACGACCAATTTCTGCTCTTCTTTCTTCTCCTCTGATTTTGGCTGTGTCGATGGTGTTGTCTTGAGTCTCAATGAGTTCATAAGTTGATCCTGGTATTTATGAGTTATAGTAAGATATGAAGCATCCACTCACTTTTTTGGTATCACTATTGGGGTCTTTGATATCACGATGAGAAATCCCAGCCGGATTAAAGCCAATTTTGCGTACATGATGCGAATGGAAGACTGTTCTACGTGTTTCGTTAGACTCTTCTTCTTGGCTCGATCTACTGAGATTGCTTGTAGCTCTTGATCTTTTTGGCTTCGATACTTATGTTTTCTTAGTCGTGTGATCGCATTGAAAAGTAAGACTCACAGTCTTTGATCATATTCTCGTTCTCCTCACGTTGTCGCTTTCTCTTTAGTCTTTCTTCCTTCTCCCGTCCATAAACACCTGACGAATTCTGTTCAGCATTGCTTGTAGAAACACCACTAAATGTGTAAGTAGGTGTGTAGTTAGTATCGTACGGCTGTCTATGTCAATTAGAGGATAATGATTATCTAGACTCACATCTTTAAATCCAGCAAACTTTCTATCTGCTTCTTGGAATCCTCGTGTAGGCATTTTTGAACGGAATTTGTCTTGCTTAGCTGAACTGCCCATACCACCGGTACTACGGGCTGTTAGATCTACACTACAGTTAGAAGGAATAACTCACCTGGACGAAAATTCAGGTCTACTGTTTCGCGCCCTCTCTATCCCAGCTTGCAAATGGAAATCGCAGACTTTGCCTCTCCTCTTGTCTATCCAACTTTTACACCTTTCTCCGGTCTTCACGAGAGCCTCACATAGCCCATAATCTTTGCTATGTCCTATCACAATGATAGAATCAGCATTCACTACAGTCAACCCAAGAATGTTAGTTTTACGCGCTTGTTGCGGTTTTAGGATGTCAGGATTGAGAAGCGCGATGACAGTACCCTGTCTCAACTTCCAGAACTTCTCGTAAGCACCACCACTACCACCCTTATAGAGCATCTCTCCGTCGTGGTCCTTCTCGCTGCTGTCTGCTGAAAAGAGTACGAGCTTTACATAAGAGTTGCCTTTCTGTGAGTTGGCCATATCGATAACACTAAATGAACAGAACTTTTTGACTTGTTGTTCACTGTTGTGTTTGTTTTTATGATGTGTTTTCTCCTCGACGCTTGCCTCTTGACTTCTCTTGGTTTGCTGGACACCACTGCTTGTGCCAACTACACCAATAGTAACCCAGTCTTCATGTACGGGTATATGGAAGCTAGTTCCCCCGTGACTCAGTTGAGCGACAGAGTAGAGTGTCGAGGGTGATATAATGTAACTTCCGGTAAGTGCTGCTGTAAATTGAGAATGCGACATGTATCGTTCACTACGAGGTGTTAGGATGTGTGTTTACCTAGAATCATTGATCTCACCTTAGACGCGAGTTTGAGTTTGGCTCAAATTCCTTCAGCTCATTGTCCGATTTGTTAACTTCTTTTGGACCAAACTGGAGTTGTTCCACTATCTGTAGATCTTCATCACGTCTAATAGCACCGTCTTCGGTATTCTCTACCTGTTTCATTCTGTTTTTGAAAGAACTACTTTTGTTAGCGCTATAGTCGACATCCTCATCATGGTGTTTTCCACTTTGACGCGATTTGTTGAGTTTACTAAGGTTACTGAGAAGACTAGATGGTTTTTCTGGTACCGCTTTTGCTACTGGTGCCTTTGATTTTGCCTGAGTTCTCTTTGTCGTAACTAAAAAGACTTGTCAAAGGATGTAAAAAGGGTGATTTAAATTTACCAGAGGTGTTTTGATTGGGAGGCTGATCTAAATTCTCCTTTTTTGTCTTCTTTGGTGGTGAATCCGGTACGAGTACGTTCGATCTGCTGGAATCCTCCTCAGGATTCTTTTTGTTAGCCAGTTTTGACTGTAGTTTAGCAATCTGAGCTAGAATTTGTTCATCATTTAGGTTGTCTTCGTTGTTCATCGTCAACCAAGTTATAGCGCAATCTGGATGATAAGCTGGCTCTTTTTGTCCTTTATATTTGGATATGTGGCTTCTACAGATAGCTTTAATGAGTACCTCACTACAAACCCACTTCAGGATGGCAGAGTCGACGTTGGGTTCAACTTCACGATAACCGATAGCGAAATCTGTGAGTGAATTTTCATTTTTGGGCATTTCTTAGGATAACTTCTAGCGCCACATACAAATTTATTCCCTCTCCCACTCGTCAATCTTCTCAGATCGCCTGAAATCGATATCGACGAACTTCATTTGAGTCTTTCAGCGGGCATTTGGGATTATAGCAAGTGGCACTACCCACACTTCCCACAACTAGGCAGTTCAGGTATAGAGTTGTGGGTGTCACACAATTCTGACAGGTACGTACGTGTTATCAACGTCATAAAGCTCATTTCTCTCAAGTACCCCAACAAAATGGAATAGATTGGTGCATACGCTTTCAGGAATGTTTTGCGCATCATTTAGCACTTCTGATAATGCCCACCAAGTCGAATTGAAGGGTAAGACATGGACGCATGCACAGATTGCGTCACAACTGCCATGCACGGAGAATCTTACTCCCTTTATTGCTTTATTACCATGCAAGAGCTCGGCAGGATTGGGACAACTGCTTAATCCTCATAAATTATTCGATGCAGATTACCATAGTTTGGGATTGTCTTTGTATCGGACTGACAACGGAGCAAGGGTCGAAATAATGATCGAGGCTGTTATGAATCCAACTAGAGTGAATCAACAGAGACGTATGTCGCGATTTTTATACTTCCTTTTTACTCACATTGAGATATCTAGAATACTCTACGAAGGGGATGTTAGATAGGTCTGTCAACAGCCCTTGTCCGTTAGCGGATAGCAGTAAGGTTTATTTCAATCTGCCTCCAACACCTCAGCAAGGACACGATGAAGACCTCTGGGTGGTTCTTCCAGAAGACCACGATGGTGAAGTTAAAGATGGAATTGTTGATCTGGACATAATGCAGTGTATGTGCGATGCTCGAATAAATCTGTTTCTAAATTTGGCATAGCTGTCAAACCACTCGCTTTGTCAGTGGTTTATCCCTTTCAAGAAATATTTACCTATCGTACGTCGCTTAGTAGACATAATATTTTTAGTCTTATTCTACATACAGCAAAATCTATAACAAATCCACCTTTACTGATCAGAAGAGATCAGATCGCCGGTCCAATTGAAGAAACAATGTTGGTGAGAACGGTGGTGGAGAACACAGAGGATAACGATAGACAAGTTAGCTACTTCCACTCAATACCCTGGCAAATAGAACCCTGGCTGCACACCTTCACAATAAATGGTGGTTTGAATGATACAAGCTACAAACATTCGCTTGGCGAAGCCAAAAAGGACCCATATAAACTCCAAGTGAATGCGACGATACCTGCACACTCTCAACTTACAATAGAGTGTTTATACCAACGCCAGTTTCTCCAATATGCAGATTACGCACCTGATATTCACCGCGGTGTTGATATTCCTCCTGGAGTTTTATTATTCAATCGAGATGATGAAACGAGATTTCAATACACAACACCCTTATTAATTGATCTCGCTACACCTGATTTCTCAATGCCATACAACGTTATCATTATTACCAGCACAGTGATAGCTCTCTTCTTCGGAAGTGTTTACAACATTCTAGTCAAAGAATTCCAGTTAATCCCCAGAAAGGAGAAGGCAAAAACAGACTAAATGATAGTATTTTTAATCGAAACAAAAAATGTATGAAATAGAAAGAGACTTTTTAGTTGACGTTGTAGAATTGGAAACCAGGTGAATTTGGTTCGGCGTTGTCTATAAGTTTCTTGACGTGATCAGGAAGATCCTTGTATTCGTCACTTGCAGAGCTGTTCTGGCCCTCGACTTCAACGACCTCAAATTGCTCAAGGTTGAGTGTCTTACGGAAGTATGCAGCGCAGTTGAGGAGAATCTCACGCTCATTGAATGGTAAAGTTCTATTGAAGGCAGTTTCACCACCAAATTGCATAGCGCGTCTCTTGAGTGATTGAATAAATGGCATAATTCTCTTATCCTTAATCAAACCCTTTTCTATGAGAATGTTCTTCAACTTTCCGTCATCGAAAGTCTTATCGGATTCAGTCCAGCATTCGGTGGCGAAGTTTACACACTGCTCTTGCCAAGCTGGGTAGGACTTTGCTGTGAATACCTTCAATGCCTTCTTAGCCTTAACGTCGAATGCTTCATTTGCCTTGCCCTTCTTACGTTTTGCCAATGCGAGTTCAGCATCTCTCATTGTCTTGACAGATGCTCTTACGTAGGTGAGACTGTCGTAAAGTGTTTGGTCAACTTCTGGGACTTCTGGATAACGCTCGTGTTGTACGCTACCAGGCAACTTGAGAATGTTTTGCCAGACATGTTCAGAGAAGTGAGGAATGAGTGGTGTCATAATGAGTGCTTGCAATTTGATCCAATCGAGGATGAGATCTGCATGCATGCCCTCAACGATAGTTACTTCACGGTACCAATCTCTTGCAGATTGGAATTCATAAAGAGCCAACTTAAGTGCCTCTTTGTAGAATGTACCTTCGTAACTCTTGTATGCTTCACGAATACAGTGATGCATTTCATTGCGGAATGCCTTATCGTGGAAGGTATCGGCAGGACCAGTTCTAAATGATCCCTTGTTCTCGACGACTTCCTTGCACCATTCCGTCAATGTGTGTAAACGGAGAATAGCAGCGTTGGCTGTCTTTTCTTCGAAGTTTGCATCTTCGATACCGTCACCTGCATCTGCTAAAGTGAGTCTTGTTGCGTCAGCACCGAACTTCTCGACAGCGTCTCTAAGAGTGAGTGTGTTACCAGTTGACTTGGACATCTTTTGACCGTTCAACATTAAGTGACCGTTTGCTCTCATAGATCTTGGCCATTGGTCTTCTGGGAAGAGACATGAGTGGTTGTATATAGAGAATGAAAGGTGGTTGTTGATCAAGCTGTGGACTGTCAGCAGGAGTCTTCATAAAAAGCTTTAACGTACTCTTTACCAGATGAACGAAGATCCATTGGGTAGAAGTAGCTGAATTCTTTTTGGATTCTCTTGAGGTCTTCCTCCTTAATTGAAGTCTCAGGGAGTGGACCACCACCAAAGATGTATTCGAAAACTTCATCAGTGAGTTCTTCAGGCTTGATGCCCATTTGTCCAGGCCTGGTACCCTTGACATCACCTTGAAGGAGGTGAGCAATAGTGTAGTACGCCATGTAGATTGTAGAATCAGTAAGTGATTCGACGAGGTATTGTTTGTCCCATGGTAATTTGCTACCCAAACCGAATGATCTAGCACAAGCCCATTGGTTCAACCATCCGAGTGAGTATTCGAAACCTTGTCTAGTTTCTGGGAAGTAAGTGTTCATTCTTTTGAGTAACTCAAATGCTTGAGCCTTCCATGCTTCTTCGCTGTAGTCTAAGTACCATTGGTCACAGAGCGCGACGATACATTCATCACCACTTCTACTCATGACCATACCTTCTGGTTCAGAGTAAGCGATGGCTTCGTTGCTCTTGATCATTGCATCTCTAACCTTGTTCTTGACTTCTTGGACAGGTTGGCCAGCATATTCACCAATAACCATCACACCACTGTAGAAACCTTCCTTGTAAGCTAACTCCTTAGCTTCCGCGAGGTTCTTAGCATCCTTTGGTGATTGTACCTTGAACTTCTCACAGAGAGTCTTTGCGGTAAGATCACCGAAGCTTGGTGTCTTAAGAACTGGGATGATATCGTGTGATACCCATGCTGGATCGATACCGTAAAATTCAGCCTTCTTTCTGAGTTCCATGTAGTTGGCATAATCGTCTGGTGAATCTGATGGAACGGAGGTGACAACACCAGTACCCTTGGTTGGCAAGACACTGTCCATTGGAAGGATACGAATGCATTCAAGGATTGCAAGTGGTGCCTTAAGTGATGTACCGACGATGTCGCTACCCTTGATAGTAGCAAGTCTACGGACTTCGCCTTCGTAGGCTGTTACACCTTGGTAGGCCATGTTACGGATAGCTCTCTCAGTACAGACGAAGACTTCGTCATCGTTGACTGCGAAGACACCATATTCAATCTTTGGACCGACGTAGCAGTTGGTTTGACCGTACATAGTCTCAGGACGGAGGGTAGCAGCGACAAAGAAGACCTTCTTATTGGCAAGAGTGGATTTAACTTCTGGGGAGATCTTGTCTGACCAGTCAAGGACTTGCATTTTGATACCGGTGTACTCTTGAGGACCGACACCTTCACCAGATGATCTATCGTGGTCCATACATGGTTGGCCATCTTTGATAGAATAGATGGTGTGTCTCTTACCGAACTTGACCTTGTTGAGGAACTTGAGCTTGTTCATTTGCCATCTAACGAAAGCATCGTAGTATGGGTTGATGTCGGTGGTGATGAAAGAACGTCTCCAGTCAATACGAGTGCCAAGAGCGGTACAGTCTGCTTGCGCGATTGGTGGGAAGTACTCAAGCCAGTATTCTGGTTCTGCAAACTTATGGATCTCAGATCTTGGGACACCGATAGATTCCATGATTTGGAACTGGTATTGGAGGCCGGTATTCTTGGCGGCAATCTTACCCTTCTGAGCCTTGTCTTTCCTTTCCTCAGCTTGGTTAGCAGCAGGAGTGGATGTCTCGGCTGGTTTTTCTTCTGATTGTTGCTCGTAACCAGATAAATCTTTACCGAAGAGTTCCATTTCACGAACGAGCTTGTCAGCAGCAGCCTTGATTGGCATACCAGTGCAGTGATAGCCTAATGGGAAAAGAGCCTTCTTTCCCTTCATTCTCTCCCAACCAGTGGCGAATTCAACCTTTGAGATGGAGAAAGCGTGTCCTAAGTGAAGACTACCGTTCATGTATGGGTAAGGGAATGTAGAGAGGTACTTTGGGTACTTTTTGTGCAATTCCTCGGTTGACAACTCCATGAGTTCGTTTGGAGGGTCAATTTCGAAAGTTTTGTTATCTTTCCATTGTGATTGAATGGATTTCTCGATATCTTTGAGATAGTCTCTTTTGTCTGTCTGTCGACTGCTGTTAGACGGGATGAGAAGAGCGATAGAACTATCTACAAACCTTCTCCAACTGAATTGGACCTTGTGTAGTCATTCTACGTAATCTGTTTACTAGAAATCTAAGAATTTTATTTTTATTCCTTCGTAGTTCAACTTGAAGCCGACGTCTTCTCGTTTCCTTAGAATGCCAAAATTAGGAAAATTAGAGAGGAAGGAGAAAGTAGAGGATACTGTTAAGATTGGTGAGTGTATATTAGTATTATTTCTCAGCTAACATTCTCGCAAGGTGAAATCGACGATGGTGTCGATAAGAGACAGGAATTAGAGCAGAAAGTTGCCTCAGTAAAAGCTAGGAATAGCACGTCTGCCAACCAAAAAGCTGCTGGTAGAAAGAAGTCCACGAAGCAGCGGAGTCGTACTTCAAAAGCAGCTGAAAGAGCCGCTGAACACGCTGATAAACTCAGAAACAAGAAAACTGACTCAGAAAATCGTAAAAAGAAGAGAGACAATAGCAAAACTGTTTGGGAGTAATTTATAACTTTGTATCATTAATTCGATTTCATACTTTGTACATCCTTCTCCTCAATCGCGTCTTTCTCGATAACAGCATCCGATTTCTCATCCTCTTTATCTTCTCTTACGGTTTCTTCGACCTTCTCGTCTACTTTAGTCTTCTTTGATGGCTTATCGATGTTCTCTGCCTCCTTCTCCTCAAGTTTTGGTTTGTCAACGCGATCAGCTGATTGCACCATCCAGTCTATACCCTTGCCATATCTCTCCTTGACCCAGGCATCTGCCTTTTTGAAATGGCCAGTGTTAAAGAATCCTCTGGAGGCTGACAATGGTGATGGGTGCGTAGACGACAAAATTAGATGTTTCTTTTTATCGATTTTGGCGCCGTCAAGCATCTTCTTTGCCCAGTTACCCCAACAGAAGAACACAATGCCTTTCTCTGCGTGTCTCTCTGCTAGAACCTGGAGTACCCTATGTGACTAGATGAGCCTGAGATTATCATACGCACATAAGCCTACCTCGTAGTAAATTGCTCCCAACCTTTGTTACCGTGTGATCCTGCAGTGTCTTTTCGGACAGTGAGGGTGCTGTTGAGCAGTAATATACCATTCTCCAAGCAAAGCCTTTCCAAGTTGCCATGTTTTGGAATCTGGAAGTCTGGATATTCGATTCTATGGAGTGTTAATTTTCACTGTAGAAAGTACCATTCTTACTTTAGTTCTTTGTAGATGTTTAACAACGAAGGTGGTACTCGTCTATTAGATGGTGAGACGCGAAAATTTTCAGAAGGGGCAGCTCACACGCCATGTTTGACTGAGAATGCCAATCCATGTGCTTGTCCTTCACCGTGGTACGGATCCTGTCCACTGTTCTTCTGATAAGCTGATGCCTGCTACTTTAATGACCGATACGCACATAATACAGCATCGGATATCATCGATAGGAGAGCGTGACCAGCTGTATATCTGCTCTTTTGGTGGATAAATTGTGTACTTCTTTTCCTCTTCTCTGAGAAACTCTTTGAGCTGTATACGCGTAAGAAAGCGCGTCAAAGCGGTTGAATTGAACAAACCTTTTTGAATGAAGGACTTTTTAGTTCTTTTTGAAGTGCATAATACCAACCAGGACCTAGACAGTTGTATTCTAAAGCTAGAAGATCGTCCGACTTGCTATTCTCCATTGTGGGGAGCTTTCTCTTCTTTGACTGATCCATAGGGGGTATATTCTCGCTGTTCTTCTTAAAGAATTGCGAAATGCTGGCTTGATTTTTCTTTGACATTCGTCGTTTGAGTGTAAGATGTTCTTTCGCTGCGACGACGATTATGGATGGAAGATTAGACAACAACGACCCAGAAACGTCAGCACACACGATAAACTCATCGCCACCAGATTCTGAATTCACAGACGAAGAGGCTCACTTAGAACATCAGGACGACTATAATCCACAGCAGAGGCTCACACTAGTCAGCTACCAAGACGAGGATGAAGAAATTGAGGATGATGTCGAGACCAACCAAACCCTTGCTTCTCCCGTTGATTTTAGCTTCAGGAAGAGCTACAAACGACGCAGAGACAATTCACTCAGGCAGGGGACACTCTCTATAGCCTACGCTAGTCTAAATATCCTCAACTCAACATTAGGTATTGGATTCCTTACTCTCCCCAGTGCACTCTCACAAACAGGTTTACCACTCGGAATCGTCCTCATAGCAATCATCACTCTCCTCGCCGCTGGATCACACATCGTACTCGTCAACACAGGGAGATACCTTGGCGTGCGCAAGATCGAAGATGTTGGTGGTGGTGCACTTAAGCTAGGTACCAGGGGCAAGGGCATCACTAAGTTCGTTGTAAGATCTATCGTCGCAGGAACCGGTTTTAGCTTGATAGTGTCTTACTTGAAGTACATCAAAATACTCTTACACCCACTGGCAAAGGCTTGGTTTGATAGTGCTTTCCTCCAGTCCTCATTCTTCTTGGTCCTCGTACCAGCTATAATTGCGGCACCTTTCACATTTGTACGCTCACTTTCACACCGTACTATATCGCGAATGTCAGTCATCATCGCACTCACCTATCCCGTTCTTCTCGGTTTGATTGCTAGTAGAAGCATGACTTATGCTGAACTCAAGATACTCGATCTGAACATGTACAAGAAGCTACTAGTGCAGGACTTAAACTGGGGTACTCTCAAGAAACACGCTGAACAACAGGGTATTTGGAGCGGTGTTTCAACGATTGCGTTCTCATTTGCTAGTCAGCACCTCACTTTCCCACATCATCGCACAATGCGCAAATCGTCACAACAGACATTCAATATAACGGTTTTGTTGGCCTATACCATTATATTCATATTGGCACTACCATTCGCAGTAGTTCCATATGTTGCTTTCGGCGAGATGACCCCACTTAACCTTTTTGATGCCTTGCCTTCTCCCAATAACGATGGAGGTGTTGATGCTGCCAGGGTTGTAGCTGCTTTTGGGCTCTTGGGTACAATTCCGTTCGCGGTGTTCACGTTAAGGGAAGCCATACTCAGGCTTTTGCATATCGAAACTGAACAAGAAGAACCTAATAGGCGCACACAGTTGGTTGCAACTGGCAGTATTTGGTTGATTTCGATATTTTCTGCCAGTATTGGTAGTTACGCGACATACGAAACTTACGTCAATTTCGCTAGATTGTTATGTATAGCTTTGGGATACCTACTGCCTTGTAAGTGTATAGGCAAGCTGTAGAACCTACTGACGTGCTTAGCTGTATTCTTTGTAATACTCTACCACGTCAAGCGACCAGCGCCAATCGTTGTGAGCTCGAACGATGGGTTGGTGTCGACTGACGCGTTGCTGGCGACTGACGCGTTGCTGGCAAGAAAGGAACGCCAGCTGCAGAAGCGGAGGTCGCTTTTAAGACTATGGTGGGTAATATAAACCGTAGATATAAATAAAAAGCTAATGATTTCAAAGGCAGGATTTGTTTATTTTCAGTTTATTACCATTTGCCTTTCTCACGACAGCTTATTGCATTTATGCACTTGTAAAACACATTTAATTGTACATTCCGCTAATTCGTTTATCTCACTATCTTCACCAAGTCCGTCATGTCTGAGAATATTTCAGACGCAGACAGAGTCTGTATAAATTATTAACTAACAAAATACTAACAATCTATTAGATTCGTCAGAGGAGATTAGAAAGACTCGGAACCCCTGCAGGTTCACCAGCACCCCAGCCAGAAGAGCGTGAAATTCCAAAAACAACAGAGAGGAAACCCCAGCCAGTGCCGGCGCCTGCGAGGATATCAGCGCAGCAAAAACCACAGCCACAGCCACAGCCATCGACAAGCTCACCCAAGTTATCTTCCCAACCAGCTCAATTCGACATAACGGAATGGGAGTCTAGAGCGATAGAAAGTACATTGAAAGTTACGATAGATGTGGGTCTTATCTTGAGACAATCGATTTACTAACGCGTACAGTTAAACACTGCAGACGCGACATCCTGGACTGTCAGCTATTTGAAGCCTCTACTAAATGAGCTAGAGGAGGAGCAACCAACGCATAAAGCATTACAGACAAAGAAACTCACGCCAGATCTCATCGATCAAGCTTTGATAGCCCGCCTGAACCTCGATCCTAATGCGATGATGGATGATGGCGAAATGCTCACGGTTATCGCAAGCTTACCGGCCAATCAGACAACGTTTGAGTACCTTGTTGGTGCATGGAGGAGAGCGCGTGGACAAGCAGTCCAATTGAACAAGATTGACTACTCACCAGCGGACAAACAGAGAGGAATGTCAGTTATTAACAAATTAAAGGAGTTGCTACTCTCTTACATCGGCTTAACGCTACAGGACCCAACAATGTTTGTTCAGACCTCAGATAAACCGAGTGGTGCAATCGAGTTCCTCCAGATCCTCATCCCAGACGAGGCAAGCGCTGATCCATATGGCGATAAAAAATCGACTAGAGACATCTCACCAGAACTTCAAAATGTTCCTGTTAGTGATTTACTCGCAGATATCGTCAAGCGTTTCGATGGCGATGGTTTGGAAGATGTCATAACCCCTATCATCGAACTCACAGCTGGGCAAGCGAAAGGACTCGATTTGACTGGTATGCAGTGGAGATCTATCATTACTGCCCTAGAAACGCTCTTGCAGTTTAAGCCAATAGCTGGCATATTCACCACCCTTCCTTCGTTCATACCGACTCCAGCGACCGCGAAATCTATCGAAAATGATTCATTATTAGGTCCACTCATAGGTTTATCGACATTCTCAAGCTCAGCTCCTAATATTGCTAAACTTTACTTTTCAGATGCCTCACTTGATCGTGAAGAACAGTCACCAATTACTCAGAATACATTAAGAGCAACTCTTGACTCACTTCAAGCAAGCTTATTTGGTATTTTCAATGTCTTAGTAAGAACATCCCCACAGTCTAGGGAGAGGGTTTTGGATTTCTTCGCTATTGCTGCAAATCTTAACGGCCACCGTGGTGCCATGCGCGTTGACCCAAAGCGTGTGTCTGGTGATGGCTTCATGTTCAATTGTCAAGTTATCTTGTCAAGATTCGCTGATCCTTTCATGGATGCTACATTCTCTAAGGTGAGGTTTTCTACTTACTGAAATAGTCCATTAACGACCTCAATAGATTGACAAAATTGACCCAAAGTACTTCTGTCACTCTAAGCGTCTTGACATCTCAGAAGAAACCAAAATCAAAGCTGACAAGACCGAGTCTGACACCTTCTACAATGAAAATTCGAACAAAGGTGAGTTTTATGTTTTATACTGGAATGAAAGCTCAATTGTTTGCTAGACCATCCGGTCAATTTCATCAGCGAAGTATTCTACTTATCGCTTGCATTCCACTATTTAGGGTACCACTCCGCTCAGCGCCAGTCTGGAAGTCTAAAGAAACACATTGATATGATCGAGCCTCAATTGAATGCTCAAAGAAACCAACTTCTAAATGACCCTCGCTTCGCTCCGGGTACTCCAGGAAGGATGTTCGCTGAGAAGCAACTCGAGAAACAGGAAATATTACTCAAAGAACGCAAAGCAGCTGTTGCATCCTCTTGGATACAACTCGATGATCCGGCATCTATGACTAGAATCTTAGGTTTCTACACCTTCGTCACAACCTGGATTGTCAGATTCGTCGATCCTTCTCACCAGCATCCACAAAAATTGGTAACCTTGCCACTGCCTGATGAAATGCCAGTTGAATTCAAGATGATGCCTGAATATATTTTAGAATCGACTGTCGACTTCTTCATCCAGCTGACTAGATATCAGCCACATCAACTGGAAAGTTCAGGCAAGGAGGAGCTCATGAACTTCCTCGTCACCTTCATCTGCAGTCCAAAATATATTGGTAACCCATACAGTCGTAACAAGATTGTGGAAATTATGTGGAATGGTACACATCCCTTTGGTTATTCAAGATCTGGTGTATTGAGTGATAGTATAAACTACCATAAACTCTCACTTGAGCATTTGATGCCATCTTTGATGTCATTCTATATTGATGTAGAACGTACGGGTGTATCTAGTCAATTTTACGATAGACTCAACGTACGTTATAACATAGCGCGATTACTCAAGGTAGTATGGAATAACCCAACTCATCGTGATAAACTTAAAGAAGACACGATGAATAGCGACAAATTCGTCAGATTTACGAACTTGGTTATGAACGATTCTACCTACTTGCTAGATGAAGCCTTAGGTAAATTAGCATCAATCAGACAATATGAGGAGGAGTTGAATTCACCTGGTTTCTCCAATAGACCTGATAATGAGAGGGAGGAGGTACAACAATCGTTCGAAGAATCAGGTCGAGCTGCAGGCAGTTATACTGCATTAGGTGGTGAATCAGTCAGGTTGTTGAAGGCATTCACGGCGGAAGCCAAAGCTGCATTCATGGCTCCAGAAATTGTTGACAGATTAGCTGCTATGTTGTGTTACAATCTTGACGCACTCGCTGGTCCACGTTGTCAAGAACTGAAAGTAACTAATCCTGAAAAGTATGGATGGAGACCAAGACAATTGCTCACTGACATTATTGACATCTTCATGAATCTTCTCGACTGTCGAGAATTTATTGAAGGTGTTGCCAAAGACGGTAGAAGTTACTCAAAAACTCTCTTCGAACGTGCCGCTGGTATTCTCAGACGTAAGGCTATCAAGACTGATCAAGAGGTTGATCTGTTGGCTCGATTTGTTAACCAAGTCGAACAAGTTAGAGCTGAAATGATGGAAGAGGATGAAGCCGATATTCCAGAAGAGTACCAAGGTGAGTTGATATGGACACTAAAGTATTTATTTCTGACTATTGATTTAGATATGATCATGGCAACACTCATGCGCGATCCTGTTATCTTACCAGGATCTAAAGCAGTATTGGATAGATCGACAATTAAGAGTCACCTCTTATCGGATAACACAGATCCTTTCAACAGATCACCTCTCACTATAGATCAAGTCGTACCGCATACCGAACTCAAAGCAGAAATTGATGAATGGGTTGCGAAACGCAGACAAGCAAAACTTGACGAAATGACTAATGCAACAAATGCTGTTGATGTACTACCACCAAAGAATTAATCTTTATCAACTTCACATAAAGAATTTTTACATTCCAAATAATTCGTTAGCCTGAAAATCTTAACATACCAATACACTTCTAAGGAAGGTATTGAACTAAATTTGGTAATTAGTACGAGCTTTTATTCAAATGTAGGCTTTATTCATAACTTCAGATTTAGCGCGCGTTTATTTAAGTGCGTCTTTAAAGATCCATTCAGATCATCTTCAAATACTAACTTCATCTTCACACTCCTTTGAATCTTTAATTAAACTTTCTTTTTAGACTGCCATTCAGTGAGGTTTATCAAAAAAAGTTGGATAGTCACTCGTTCAATTAAGTAAGATAGTAAGACCACGACTTTGTTTATAGGTAATATAAAGTAATGTCAAGATTAATCAAGAAACAAGTGGGTATATGCTGTCGATAATATTACGTGGCTAATATCTTCTTTAAGGTTGCCGGTACAGTTGGATCAACCGCTGGTACCGCTGGAACTGCAGGTGGTGCAGGTACGGCAGCAGGTGGAGCTAGTAGCGGTTCATACAATGATGGATCATATCATGGTGTTGGTGCAGCTGGTGGTACATCTGGTGCATCAAACGGGGCTGCCAATAGCGCTGGTTCTGCTGCAGGTGGAACAACTGGGTCAACCACATCAGGCACAGCAGGTTCAGCCAAGGGTTCAACTGCTGGTGAAACAGCAGACAGTGCAGGATCAGCTGCAACTTCAGCTAAAGCCCCAACAGCAGACACTGCTGATACTACAACAAAGGAGCCGGTCGCCGATGATGAAGATCTCCCAGATGATGATCCACCTGCCGACGAAAAGGCAGATTTGCCAGATGACGAGATTAAGATACCAGACGAGGATAACACAGAGGAAGACCTTGATGCTACCAAGTCAGTCAACAACTCAATCGAGCATTCTTTGTCATCATCATCCCAATCAGAATCACCAACTGCAACACCATCAATGTCTGCATCTAAGGAGGAAAAAGATGAGGACGACAATAAGGGTCTTAAGATTGCTTTGCCTATTATCCTCGGATTGTTGTTCATCCTCTTCATGATCTGGGTTGGAAAGCGTGTTGTGAAAAAGAGAGCAGCTGCTAAGAAGGAAAACCCAACGAAGATTGCTTACAACTCTAACATCAAAAGTCAGGAAACTTTGGATGAGGTGAGTGTTATTGATGTTTAATGTCTTACTAATTTCAAACAGAAATCGCCACTTCCTCCACCAGGTTTCCAGGGCCATTCCGTGGACAACAGGGGCAGCGTCTATTCAAACTACTCAGGTGGTCAGCCACTCATGCATCCTAACTCATCGGCTAGTCACAGCGACTACTTGAGTGCATACCACCAAAATATGTCCACACACAGCTTCAACAACCTCAACGGACAGAGACGTCAACCATCCCCTGTTCCACCATATGGCCAACATCCATACAGTGGTATGATGAACAGATCAATGTCAATGCAATCGCAAGGTCCACCACCACAGCCGCAAAGGCCACCTATGAGTTCACCACCGTCGGTACCTCACTTGCCAGCATTGGCTGTTCCAGATCCTGAACTAATCCCACTCCCAAGCCCACCGCCAAGCGTGTACTCTTTGAACAAGATACCAACGTCGCCTCCAAAACCAGAGCATCAGACTCGTGATCCATTCAGGGATCCACCAACTAGACAATACTCAATGAATAGAGGATCAAACGTACCTCCATTGCACATTCGTCCACCTGGTGCTGTTAGAGCTCGCGTTTCATTCAAGCCAACCGCAACGGATGAGCTCGCAATTCATAAAGGAGAAGATGTACAAGTTCTTAGAAGGTTCTCAGATGGTTGGGCTGAAGTTAAAGCTTTAGCTAGTGGTAAAACTGGTGTAATTCCTTTACAAATTTTGGACGACCAACCATCAACTCCAATGAGTTATGGTTCCCAGCAAAGTTCACCTGGTTACCAACCACAAGGACAAGCTGGTTTCCCACCTGCACCACCATCAAATTACCAATAATTTACGATTTATTCAATGGCTAGTTATTAATTGTTTTTAAAATACCTATATATTTATACATTATTCGCTTTTTCTATAATGAAAATGTTGCAATGGTGAAACAAATTAATGCATATACTCTACACAGATGACATCTAAGGCTATATTTCTTTGCTGTTTTATGGTGGTTTGTAAGCGTTCATCGGAGAGATTTTTGCGTTTTCTGGAGAAAAACCGTTCTGTAAGCATGTAGTTCTGTTGTGAGACAGCCACTCGCTCCTGAGTTACTGTGATATATAAACCAATCACTGAGCTTTTTGCTTGTGAGTAACCCAAAGGAAGGATTTGCTGTAATTCATTGAGTCGATAATTCAATTATGTGTATTTTCAGATAGGTAAGAAAGGAATTGAAAACAGCTATTGAACAGTTTCAGACAGATACTATTTGTTTTCCAATTTCGTTACACTTGGGACGTCTACAAAGAGTACCACTATGTTCCTGTGCCTAAACAAAAAACCACCGTATAAAAGGGGTTTTCACCTTTAATCAATGTCAACTTAACTGGAGGTGATGATTCTACGCTAGTGCTTCTTATCCTTGTAACAAGGAAAAGGTGTGTTGCTTAGTGAACGATATATTTCTTGTAATACGACCACAGATAACAGAGGCTCTAAATTGATTACCCCTATCTGCCTCTGCACGTTGTATAAGTTAATTCCAGTCATTACACTCGTTCTGGTTCCTTTGATAGCATTGTATGATGTGAAGGTGATGATCGACAAACCAACTGACGGCTGGCGTAGTCCAAGAGAGTCCACCAACTTTGAGACAAAACCAAAGTATCACATACTCGCAGGCTGACATTTTACGAAAGTTTTCCATGTGCTATGGCTTTTTTGAATGTCGTCAGCCGTGTTTTATGTCTTTATCGCTGACATCATGTGGTCAAATTCGCAAGAATGTTATTTGGAGAGATTACCAATCGAAATATTACAGGATATTATTGATTATGAGCCAACATTGGCTTGCTGTATGCGGAACCTATTGTTGTTGGGACACAAGCACCGTTTCCGTACTCTCTCAGGTCCCAGACCGGTATGGACAATATTTGGGAAGCGACAGACAAGACGTTCTGTTGATCGCTTCTTTCTATATTTTGATAAATTTCTAGAGGATAATTCTAAATCTGAACACGTTAGAGTGAGTGTTTATTTTCCGAAGTGGCATCTAACTATCGGTAGATTCTCACACTAGATTTGAGCTATAGCGGTAAGAGTAAAGCAGCGCTGTGGAGTGTGGGATATATTGCCCACATGTCTCGCTTACTCCCAAAACTTGACACTATAAAGATGACACTGAAAGATGAATGTGATCTGCACAAATTTCCACAATTGAAGAGTGTCACCAATGTTGCAATTCGCTTCCTCAAGTGTACGCGATACACATATGTCGGCAGTCTCCTGCGTGAAAAAGTTCCCAATGCTGCAGTAATTTACCTAGATGTCCAACCAAAGAGGTACAAAACAACAAGACGCATCCAAAGAGAACTGCTACTTGGGTGGGCTGGTGAGCTGTTCGTCGTCTGTCAGTACCTACATTTTCCCAATCTCAAGAGATTGAGTATATTCGGTCGTATACCGAGATATGAATTTTTTGAGGCATATTCTTATTTTCGCAACGGTGAAACACAGCTACACAAACCGCTCGATTTCGAATTTGGAATAATGACATCCAATACTGTACTCACCGTGTTGAATATTCTCGCCATGAATATTATCAATCATCAAGAGTAAATATTCTAGATGCCTTCTTGTTATATTAAATACATAAATTAGCATTTTACAATGGTAGCAGACCCTCAGAGTTTGCGCCCTTGAGAGGATCATCGTCATCAAGTTTCACAAGTCTGCGGGCTTCTATATCCTCAGCTGTGACTTTACCAGTATCAATCTTGGTAGCTTCTTCTTCCAACTCGGCTCGGCTGAGGTCGTTCGTTTTTCTCCTCCGTTCTCTATCAAGTGCAGCCTTAAGTTTGTCCTTGTCAAGCTCACCCAAAGCTTGAGGATCTTTAGAGAAACCATATTTGTTACCCTCTCTCTCGGCTCTTGCTTTAAGGTCAGCAGTACCGGCGGCGATTTTCTCCTTGTGTTGCTCTGTGAGAGATTTCTGTGGTTTGGATGCCTCTTCGATTTCATGTCTAGAGAATGTAGATTTGGAAGCTTCTTTACCTGCTTCACCTTGACAATAGGAGGTGTATATCGTCGAATGGCAACAATTGTAACCCCATGATTTCGTCTCCATGCTGAACCAAGAACCGAAGACAGATTGGTGATTTCCAGGGTAAACTTAAGCAGTGCGTAAGTATATATAATATGTTTAAAGTTAATCACTTACCATCTTCCGCATATTTGGACTTTGCAATTGCTCTCTCTTTTCCTTTGATGAGCTGACCAGATCTGGAGTATTCGACATATTCTTCAGTCTGTCCTAGACGGATTTCCTTTGGAATGTGTGAAGGAGTGATGTACTCTTCACCACCATATCGACCAAGCATGTTAGCCTTGTGTGAATCCTTTATTTCTTCCTTCTTGACCTTGAATGCACCATGAGCCATTTCAGTAGCTGTTGGATTGGCTTGTACATGCATGTCGTGACCTCTGTTAGCAGATTGCCAAGCGAATAATTGGGTATTCTGTATGCCAGCAGCATCACCACTATTACGAAGGAAGTTCTCGCCTGCGAATGTGCTGTCTTCCGGTCTGACGTTCGAGTGAGGTGCTTCCCTCATGGATCTTGTCTTTGGATCGTAATGTGCAGATTCTATATCGAGGTTCATGAGGTACTTTGCTGTATCCTCTCTAATACGGAGGTTCCTGACTGTTATCCTGTTGTTAGAGTCGACATTTTGGCCAACAGCGTCCGCGTTATCTGCATACTTGTCCTCGTCATCCTCATCCTCATCTGAGCTACCGAACTCATCCTTGATTTTTTGTTTAGTTGCGTCGACGACCTTTTTAGCTGCTGATAGACTGTTTTGCTTATCAAGTTCCTCCTCCTGTATCCGCCTACGCTCTTGTTCGACGGCTGCGTATTCCTCTACGACTCTCTTGTGTGATGCTGGATCGTAACCATTCCAGCGGTCTCTCTTAGCGTCGAAGTCGGTTGCTGTTTGTTGTACGACATCATCATATTGAGTAACGCGATTAGTTTTGTTCGCGCCTCTCTTCCGAGGTCTCTCTACACAATCTTTCTTTGAGTGTCCCATTGCGCCACAATTATCGCAAGCACCTTTCCTAAACTTCTGTGCTTTATGACCCTTTATCGAGCGATCATACCAGTTGTTGAGCTTCTCAGCTGAGCTGTCGTACTCTCTATTCAGACGCTGATGGCCTAATCCCGGTTTGCCTGTGTCCATGTACCAAGGTGCCTGTGAGATGTACTGTGGGATATGGGGGTTGATTGGTTTACCATCAGCGTCTAACTCTGCAGGCGCTGTACCCGCTTTACGGGCTTCCTCCAATTCTCTCTTCTTTTTCAGTTCTTCCCTTGCCGACATTGTGGATGTTGAATAGAAACGATGAAGTTGTTGAAAAAATACATTGAAAGGGATAGATCTGTTAGTCTATCGTTTGTAGCCTCCGCACTCTATACTGACGAACTCATTAGGGATGGGTCACCCTTCTACCACAAGAGGTCAGTATAGCCACTATCTAGACAGGCTTTTAATATAACCCAGGATGAAGATCTCTGGCATTGTTACAATTTGATAGGCCCAGGCGATGAGATTAGAGCTCCTGCTATCCGGTTTGTCTTCTTATCATAGAAATACTCCTTCTCATTCGAGACACAGTCGGGTCGTTAACACCTCTTCTACCGGCTCTACAGACTCACAGAGGGTTAGGTTAACTCTCACTATACGAGTGGAGAAGACTTTCTTTAGCCCTTCTGCCACCTCCACCACAGAAGCTGCTCCAGGTACATCCAATCAGCCACCACAGAATGCACAGCTCCAGATTTCAGGTAGAGTTACTAGTGAGAATCCTCATGTAAAACTTGGCGCATTCCACACTCTCGACTTGGAATCCTTGAGGGATTTCAAGCTCGGTAAAGGTCCTGGCGGCTGGGATACCATCAATATACAGCGTGTAGAGGAAGCTAGCGCTGAAGGTGCAGGTGCTGAAGTCGCTGCTATCCTTATCGGTGAAGGTGCTTACTCAGTTTTCTAGATTATTATTTCCTAACAAACTTCTCAAGGAAACGCCGCTATTTGTCTCCTCACAAATCACATGACCGTCGTTAAACAGAGGATTGATGCTCAGATTCCTCGCAAACGCAAGGGTATGTCGTCAGCTCATGAGAAAGTACGTTATGACGTCATTTTTGATTTATTCTCATCCTGGATTTAGGCGACTGAGAAATTTCACGATCAATTAACAGCTGCATTCGTCAAACATATATTACCACTGAGCACTAATCTTCGAGTCATACTCTTCGCAGGCTCATCATTCCCTCGAGACTCCTTCCTCAAAACAATGCTCGAGAATGCTCAACATAATGGTGATAAAACTATACTGGCGCTTCGGCCGAAGTTCCTCAAAGTCAACACTGGTTCTGCGAATGTACACGCTCTCAATGAAGCCCTCAAAAGTCCGGAAGTCGCTGCACAACTAAAAGACACGAAGTTTGCAAGAGAAGGTATGATGCTCGATAAGTGAGTCGTACCCTTCTCATGTAAATGTCCCTCTAACTTTGCCCAAGGTTTAATAAGATGCTCGTTACTGATGAGAATCGTGCTTGGTATGGTCCCGATCACGTACAGAAAGCTATAGATAGAGGTGCTGTTGGTACGCTGCTTATTTCGGACTCTCTATTTAGGTACGAAAACAATTAGACACAATTCGTTTCTCATAATTATTTAGATCACAAGATATTGCAGAACGTAAGCGATTTGTAAAAATGGTCGAGGATGTTAGGGAATTGGGTGGTACTGAAGTACTTATCTTCAGTGCAATGCACGAATCTGGTCATAGTGGGTATCTCCGTCAGCTTGTCATCATTACTAATGGAGCACACAGAGCTTGACTTATTGTCCGGAATCGCCGCACTTCTGACATATCCACTTGATATTGAAATGGTTGAGATGGAAGAGGAAGACGAAAAAGCAGCACAAGAAGCGCAACAGTAGATTGTGTTTGCAAAAAAAAGTATACATTCCGAAGATTTTCGTATAGAGTTATGTAATACAATCAACTTTAATGATGTTACGAATGGAGAAAGCTTATGCTTGTGATTGTGGTTGCTGCTGGAGTGGAGAAGGAGCAGCTTGGATTTTGTTTTCGTATGTCTCTTGAACATTTTCATATGGTTTCATTGGTTGAAGACCCCACTTTTCGAACAATTCGGCGTCTTGGTCCTTTTCAACACCGTCTGTTGTAAGCATATATCCGGAGAAGATGGCATTGGCACCTGACATGAAGCACATTGCTTGCTCTGCATCGGTAAACATCTTTCTACCTGCAGCTATTCTAACGATTGACTTTGGCATAACGATTCTTGCGGTAGCGATCGTTCTAACGACTTCTTCGATTGCTACTGGGACGTTGTTCTCCAATGGTGTACCCTTGATTGGAACCAAGGCATTGACTGGGAAGGATTCTGGATGTTCTGGCAACCTCGAGAGTTCCCAGATAAGACCTACTCTATCCTCTTGTTGTTCACCTAATCCGAGAATACCACCTGAACAGACACTGATTCCTGCATCTCTGACATTTGCAATAGTGCTCAATCTATCTTCATATGAGCGTGTGGTGATGACCTAGAGTGTTTCTTAGCAAGTGAAACAAAGAAAGAAGTAAACCCTACCTCTGGATAGTATTCCCTTGAGGTATCCAAATTGTGGTTGTAGGCGGTCAGACCTGCATCTTTCAAAGCTATTGCTTGTTCAGATGAAAGCATACCAAGTGTGGTACAGACTTCCATCCCCATACCCTTAATCTCTCTAACCATGGCCAAGATTCTGTCGAAACCACGTTTGCGTCCACCGACATCCCTCCATGCTGCACCCATACAAAAGCGGGTTGAGCCAGCCTCTTTCGCGCGTTTTGCTTCCTGTATGACAGGATCTAAGGCGAGCAATTTGCCGGCTTCTGTCTGGGTGCTATATCTGCTACTCTGTGAGCAGTAGCTGCAATCCTCTGAACAACCGCCTGTCTTGATATTCATGAGGGTGCAGAGTTGAACTCTACCTGGTTCATGATGTTGACGGTGTACACTTGCTGCTCTGTAAACCAACTCTAATAGTGGTTGCTGGTATATCGACTGGATCTCATTCCTGTTCCAATCGTGACGTACGTCTCCGTCTTTGTAGGATTTATGGCTGTTGTCTGGACCGTTGGGGGTGAATGGATGGGGATTTAAGTGTGTAGCCAGAGATCTAACTGATGTCCTGGCTGGGATTTGAACTCTCTGGAGTTGCTTTACGAGCATTTTAAGTTTGTTCTTCGTCGTCGCTGTTCAAGTTGTCATTCCGGGCTATCATCGCTACTTACCGCATCAAAGAAATCCGGTAGAAGGGGAATTGCGACGTGCGTCTTTTGCGGTAAATCAGCTGAGCAACTCTCATACATTCGATAAAAGCATTATATAGCTATAATAGATTATGCCTCACCTTTACCGTCATTTCAGAGTTAACCAGGTATTCGGTCGGTCTATAGCTCTAAACAGTACATTTCTAATACAGAACATATAGGCGCTAATACAGACGTCGGAAAGACACTCCTAACGACTGCTCTCCTCCTCGCTGAATCCCGACGGACGGCTAACAACATCTACTATCTAAAGTATGTTGATCGTTATGCATTACATATACAACTAAACACGTACCACAGACCAGTCAGTACAGGTCCGGACGCTGAACAGGATGATGCGTAGGTTATTGCTTATCTAGCAAACAAACCGCTGAACCCTATAGCTTCCTACAGCGGTTTTCTACCACCGATAGAATAAAACATCACACGTTATACCGTTACTCTGATCCTGTCTCTCCTCATTTGGCTGTTTCGAGAGAATCAGTGGAGAAGAAACCGCCATCCGATAAGGAATTTGCGAGATCTATCGGTGACTACATCACCAATACAGCAGCTTTACCTAATACACACTCTCTTTATGTGGAGACTGCAGGTGGTAAGTTCGGAATTACTCTATAGACAGTCTCTCAACTGATTTAGGTGTGCACTCTCCAACGCTCAGTGGTACGAGCCAAGCAGACGCTTATAGGCCGCTACTGTAGGTTCCTGCATATCTAACCTATAGAAATATCTAAACCATCTTCAGATTACCTACAATCTTTGTTGCGTCATACCACTTGGGTGGTATCAGCACTACGCTGGCAGCTTACGAAAGTCTGCACATACGTGGATACAATATAGACACTATCCTCGTCTTTAAGGAAGAATATTACGCCAATTACCAATATTTGACAGAATGGGCACAGGAGAGGGGAATACACGTAGCCACCATCGATCAACCGCCATCACGGGACAGCAATGCACTCAACGACGAGAAAGCCTTGTCAGCATATTTCAATAGCTTATCGACCAATGACGAAAGTCCAGTCGTGAGAGCATTAGAAGAGCTCGATAGGCGACACCAAGCACGTATAGATGAAGTGGAAGGTTTGCCTGACCGCACACTTAAAAGCATTTGGTACCCTTTCGCACAACACAGTCATATCACATCCTCGTCTCAGATTGGTGTAATTGATAGCGCACACGCCGATAATTTCGACGTTTACAGACCAAATCGGGATAGTACAAGCTTGCTAAAGCAGGAGTTTGACGGTAGTGCATCTTGGTGGACCCAGACGCTTGGACATGGTAATCCAACCTTAGCATTAGCGGCTGCCCATGCTGCTGGACGCTATGGACATATCCTCTTCCCAGGACACACTCACAAACCCGTTTTAGAACTCTGTGAAAGACTCCTCGAGGGTCCAGGCAAAGGCTGGGCGAATAAGGCTTTCGTCACTGATAATGGAAGTACCGCTATGGAGGTTGCCCTTAAGATCGCCCTCAGAGCCGCATCTAAAAAGTACGGTAGAACACAGAGAGGTGTGATAGGTCTCAGTGGTAGCTATCATGGCGATACAATTGGTAGTATGGACGCTTCTGAGCCTTCGGTTTACAATAATGCTGTAGAGTGGTACTCGCCAAGAGGAGGCTTCTGGTTTGATGCACCGCTGATCAAGTACAAAAGTGGAAAAGTTATACTAAAAGGCGCTGTTGCTATGGGTGTACCTGAAAATGCCGTTGTTAATGGAGATTACTGGGAGATCGCCATCTCTGATTCACTTTCTGATGCCTACAATCTCGACAAACGTATTAAGTCTGATTTATCTACTTTATACAGAGACTTCGTTCAGCAGACGCTCATAAAGCTTGTCGGAGAAGGCAGGCAATTCGGTGCATTAGTGCTCGAACCATTGATTATGGGTGCAGGTGGAATGCTTTCTGTTGACGTGAGTACCCCTCCTCTTCTAGTACTTTCTAATCCTAGTTAGCCACTTTTCCAACGTGTATTGATAGACACAGTTCGTGCTAACGAGAAGCTGTTCGCCGAACAAGCTGGAGAGGCCTATACTGAGGGACAAGAATGGGATGGATTACCAGTCATTTTTGATGAAGTCTTTGTTGGACTGTACAGACTTGGACAACTTACGCCTGTGTCAATCCTTGGTACAGCACCTGATGTATCGGCTTACGCTAAAATACTGTCTGGCGGAATCGTACCATTGTCGACTACCTTAGCAAGACAAAGTATGTTTGATAATTTCCTAGGAGAGGAGAAGAAGGAAGCTTTATTACATGGTCATTCTTACACGGCCCATCCAATTGGCTGTTCAGTTGCGAATTCGTCCTTCGAAGAAATCAAGAAATTGACAACAAGCGATGACTGGAAGGCATCAAAATCTGCTTGGAATAGTGAAAGTGAGAACGCCATATGGAGCTTATGGAATCCTGAGACGGTCAAGACATTAGCCAGCTTGGATAATGTTGATGGTGTTCTTGCACTCGGTACTGTACTTGTTGTACACCTCAAATCATCCGGTAAAGGCTACGAAAGTGGAGGTGGACAGCGCTTCCTTGCAACACTCGCTAATGAGGGTATACACTCCCGACCACTCGGCGACACGATCTACTTTATGTCAAGCTTGAACACGTCTAGAGAGACGATAAGAGAAGTAGAAAGCAAAGTGATAGAAGGAATTAAAAAATTTGATGTTTAGACAATTATTTTATATCTTTTGATTCTCCTTTTTGTGCCTGATTGATTGACGTCGATGGTAAGGTTGAGTAGCGAGGAAATTGCTTACTGAATGTAATAGTGTATTGTAGTATACGCAGTAAATAGACATTCTAAATATCAACTGTGAGTCTTTGTTTAGTGTATTCTCAGATGCTGACTACACCAGCGCATTGGCTGCTAACAGGGATGAGTGGCTATCGAGACCTACGAAACCTGCTGGGATGCACAGATTTGGGAGTGAAGACAAAGAAGAAGTAATTTCTGGGATTGATTTGCTCATGGAAGGTACTTGGATTGGTGCAAACAAGTCTGGTAAGATAGCAGCCCTGTAAGTGTACACTTAGTAGTATACTGTCATCTAATACAATACAATAGTACAAACTACTTCGAACCACTACCAAAAGACGGAAAGTTACTCAAATCGAGGGGGAAAATACCAAAGGATTGTCTTCAAAGTGGCAGAACTATAGAGGAAGATCTCGAGGAGATCGCAAAGATAAAGGATGAAGTTGGACCGTTCAATCTTCTACTCATTCAAGTTAATAAGGGCTCTGTCCGCTATGGTTACGCGACGAACAGATCACTGACGTCAAACTTCCACGGAATGTTTACTGAACAGATAGGCGGGATGTCTAACGGATATGTAGATGCAAACAACGACATAGCCTCACAATCAGAGTGGCACAAAGTAAAACACGCGAAGGAGCATCTCAACCGCGTTATCAAGGAGGATATGTCAGATCGCGAGTTAATAGACGCATTGGAGGCATCTATATCCCACGAAGTACATCCTATGCAAACAAGAGAAGATTTCCAATATAGCGCGAGAATACCGCCTATTATAATGCGCCCAGCGGCTAACCCTATAGCACTCAACGAAACAAACAAAGAAGACGTCCAAGCGATCTACGCGACGAGGTTAGTTACCTTCATCCTAGTAGACAAGGAAGGCAATATCAACTTTATTGAGAAAGATATCTACAAACTCGAAAATAACGCCGTCGAGAAATCTGACAAAGAAAGCACCTTTGTACTAAACAGCCAAGAGCTATAAAATAAAATAAATTTACTACTTAATATAGATTGCTTACTATGGCCACGCCAGTAGAGCAGATCCTGCGCAACGCCAGAGCTAAGCCACTAACGAACGAGGAGGTCAACGTAGGTATTTTGAGAGATGGCACCAAATCGATAACTCACAGACGTTTATTTAGAACGTTATAGTACCTGTCTCTCAATATCTCTTCGAAAATGGCAGAGAAAACGACCAGAATCAGCCAAACTGGTTCAGTGATAAGTACGATGGCGATGGTACACTCACAGAAGCGACGGCATTTCTGATACGTGGGTCATTGCACGCGTATTCATCTTCCTTCTAATCTTCTTACAGGCTTGTTTGCTTATTCACCCCCGAAAGAAGAACTCCTTATCTACAAGAAACATCTGACATTCCAGCTCTTCAGCAATCCAAAGACTGTCTACGACTGGCAACTCTGTAAATTGCAAGCTAGACACGTGTAAGTGTCCAATCATCAACAAACACACTCTTATAATTGATAGATACCTTCGTAACTTCAAGGCGGATAAACTCAACAAATTCTTCGCGCTCGTACATCAATGGGAAGTCGAAGCATACAGTGAACATCTCAAGGCTGCAATGTCACCCCTAATCACACTCGATAATCTGGATCAATCGTTATACCACATCAGCATGTTGAATCCTGATATCTTCTTCAGAAAGGAGGTTATGAGCGTCGTGATCCAGAAGCTAGAAGGATCATCTGGCTTTGTTGAATACCTTCCACCACCACCAACTATACTCGCATTAACTGCATCAGTAGATGATACTGTCAATAAGTGGGCAAACAGAATGATTGATGACTACGAATGGAGACCAGTAACGAAGGAGAATGCGAAAATGTACCTTATACTCATTGAGAACATCCTTCAGCGCATCGTCGATAGAGAAAATGGCAATCTGGAATCAGATGATGAATGGCCGTTTAAAGAAGACACGACAGCACTCTGGACGACTTTGGGAAAAACTCTATCTGTCATGGAGCCAAGCGCAATCGAAGTTATTAGTAGATCATCTCCAAATTTATTAAGAGATGTACAAAGACATCTTTGCGATGCAAAAACCAAGAACTATATACCACTCCTGAGGTGTTTTGTAGCTTTGATTTCAGTTAGACAGGGATACTGGTCTGAAGACTCTCATAAGGCTTCACAGATGAATAAATCTGACGAACATTCAGTCTTGTTGTTGCGGCTTATGAATTCAATTCTGGATAATCCATTTTATAAGCCTCTCATGAAGGTGCCCATTAAGTTTCACAAAAATGATGATGAGGAATGGCCTTTAAATTGGTGGTCCAATTTGATCAAGAATGTTGAAAATGTTCACGAATTACACGACTCAGCTTTGAAGAGTTTGTCCAGAAGAGGTTTCGAGTCGACTAAAGATGGCGATGTTAATATAAAGTACAAGTACTACAACAATATTATCTCGATATTCGAGAAATGCTTTGTTGATTACGAGAATAATGAGAGAAAACTGCAATTATTGTTCGATGTTTTGAGGATTTATAACACCAATCTCCTTGAAACTGCACTCACAGCTCAGATGGGTGACCCGACAAAAGATCAATCTATATACGCTGCTCGACGTCTTTTGCAATTATGTATGAAGAAGGATTGTATTCGTATTATTAGGGGTTTGAATGACTTCATGAGTAAATTCGCATCTTGGAAAGACTATGAGAGACAAGTCAAGAGGAAAAAATCAGCAAAAGAACCTGATGTAACTCTAGATACGAAGAAGATTATTATCGCTTCTGATATTTGGGAATCAATATATAAAGTTATAGGAGTCACGAATAACATTGATGATATTTTTGCTTGGAGTTTGCTCTTATCGAATATATCTTTAATTAGTCATCTGCGTCCACTAGACGAAAAGACGTATGACGAGTCAGCCGTACCAACTCATATGAAAAGCACTATGGCTACATTCAAAACATCATTCAATAATGCGATAAACACAATACAATCACCATTTCAAAGAACTGTCGATGATTATCTGCATGAATCTGCATCTTCAAATCGTTTGCAAGCGTTGAGCAACCTCGTCGAAAGTACGGGTGTGCCATCAGCTTTAATACAGCTATTTTTATCACCCAATGATGAGATAAACGTTTCTATCATCAATTTACTGAAGACAGTCTCCGATGAAGATAGTAGAAATGATGCAATTCAGTGGTTATTAGATAAATATCCTCAACAATTTTTGGAAGGTATCACAGCACAGTGTAAAAATTTCAAATACGTCGCAGATAGACATTTAGAAGCTACGACGCTCGCTCATAGAATATCAAGTCAAAATGAGGAATTTCTACCAATGATTACGTCACCATCTAATCACTTCCTTGTTACATATGCTAGGAATCCTGGAATTAAACAAGCTTTATTAGTCTATTGGGTAGAGTTATGTCAATTCATCTCAACTATCCTCACATCAGCTACGAAATGGCACAAATACTTTGACAATAGCTTTATGGTTAAGTGGATGCGTGACTCTATTAGTCTTGCTGGTGTACTTCTAGATTCTGAAAAGGATTTAGAGCGTCATATCACTTCGACTCCTAGCAAAATGGTATGTAATCGTTACTTAGATTTCCTCTCCTAACTTCCTACAGCTGGATCCTCTGAACAAAATTCTCATTCAATCTGTTGGATGGCTCAAGGCAACGGATATGACGGTCTTGGAGTTTACTTTCAGGTTTATTGATTCGACATTAACTGCATTCAAACAATCGGGTTGTTTGCCAGCCCCTCAAGCGTTAGACAAACTCAGTGTTAGTGGTCAAGTTTAAAGTTATTTTATTTTATTACTCACATTTCAATTCAGGATTACTCCCGTCAAGCAAGTCAAGGTTCAGTTAAGAAGTTATCGCATCTTTCACTCAGCAAACTTAAGCAACATCTTGCTACATTCAATGACGAGAGTGACGATGATGATGTACAAATTATAGAAAAAAAGCCAGGTCTTGCTAAATTGAATAGGGTTTTGACAAGTGAAAAGAAACCAAGTCCAGCTCAATTTTTGGAAGCGAAGAAGAAGGATGACGAAGCTAAAGAGAAATTGAAACAGATGGCATTAAACAAGCATTCTTTAGTTAAAAAAACCACCGGTAAGCCCCTTCTCACTGGTCTTACTGCAAAGAAAGATCAAGCTCGCAAGCCGTATGTTGCACCTCAAAAGCTTACTTACGGTGGTAACAAGAAGGAGGAGTCGGAGTCTTCTGAAGAAGAGGTCGATCGTGGCGGTTTGAAAGATATGGATTTAGATCCAGAGCAAGCGAAATTAAAAATGCAAGCTGTCAAAGACAAGAGAAGTGGTGTGCGAGCTTTAGATCCTCTGGTTGGCTCTTCAACTAAATCAGTAGTTTCTAAAGCTGATAAGCAACGTGACGAATCTTTCTTGCGTCGTCAGAGACTTGATCCTGATATTGGAGATTTGCAAAAGTACTTGCTTAATGTCGACTACAATGATCCAAAGATGCGCATTGGTTCTGAAGCTCCGATAGAACGTATACCATCCGACTTTAAAGATTACAAGCACTACTATGATATAATGAGACCTCTATTATTTGATGAAACATCTGAGCAGCTCAAGCAAGCAAGAGCGGCTGCTCAAGAAGAAGAGAATGTTACAGTTGTGGTTGCTGGAAAAACATTTGTGAATGATTATGCTGAAATTGTACTTAATGTCAAATGTGAAGCACCGTATCAATTCTCGTTGAGCGACAGTGAATTAATCACGTTGACAAAAATTGATTCAATTACGCCAGGTGGCCAGAGGATTGGATCTTTAACTCAGGATCACCCTTCTAAGGACCTCATTGCTAAAGTACAGAATTTCAGACGGAGGGGACAAGACATTATTGTAACTGTGTGGTTACCAACGCTCAGATCATCAGTATTTCAAGACAAACAACATTGGAAGTTGTCGAAATTCTACTCTCTTAACACATTATATAGAGAATTCGGTGCATTGAAGGGTCTTCAACATTATGGGTCCATTTTGAGTAAAATCTTAAAACCTGAAGTAAAACCAAAGCAGAATTTAGATAGTATTTTGGTAAAAAATACGATGAGGACACTTGAATTGAATGAATCTCAAGCATTGGCTGTTTTGAGTTCATTAATTGGCCCTGCTGATGGTGCATTTAGCTTGATTCAAGGACCACCAGGTACAGGTAAATCCAAGACGATTTTAGCTTTGGTTGCTAAATTCTTGAGTATGAGAGCAAAGCCTTTGGTTGGTAGAACGAATCCAAATGCGGCTGAAAATTATGTTCCTCCGAAGATTCTTATTTGTGCACCTTCTAATGCAGCTATTGATGAAGTTGTGAACAGATTGAAGGTTCCGATACGAGGTACAGATGGTCAAATTATGGAAGTAAACGTTATTAGAATTGGTGCGGATTCTTCTATGTCCATTTCAGCAAAGGAAAGATCATTGGAGGAATTGGTAGACCAACGCGTTAACCAGGACCAATCAGATCAAGGATCCGGCACGGAGAGCTCGATGCAGGTGAACGAATTTAGAGACCAGTTGACTGCTTGCAGAAACAAGATAAATGAGATTAGGAATGAGATAAATAGGAAACAACAGAAGAAAGAAACGGTTACGCCAGCAGAAACCGAAGAATTGAGGAAATTGAGTGATAAGAGAAATGAAATATCGACGAAGTTGGATAAAGCAAGAGATAATCAGAAGTCAACAGCTAAAGCTAGAGACGCATCTAGACGTACGCATCGTAGAGCTGTTATGATGGAAGCTGATGTAGTCTGTTCGACGTTATCTGGTGCTGGTAAGGGAGACTTAGCTGAGCTCCCAGTTGAGTTCGAGACCGTTATTATTGATGAGGCTGCCCAAGCAGTTGAAGTGTCCGCGTTGATTCCATTCAAATATGGTTGTAAAAGACCTATCCTCATAGGAGATCAACATCAATTACCACCAACTGTAATGTCTACTGAAGCTAGCAAGAAAGGGTACTCGAGGTCGTTGTTTGTCAGACTCATGGAATCGAACCAGGGTAGAGTTCATTTACTTAACGAGCAATACCGTATGCATCCAGATATTTCGAAGCTTCCTTCAGCAGTTTTTTATAATGGACATTTGAAGGACGGCCCAATGATGGCTGAGAAGACTAAAGCACCATGGCACAGCAATGATCTATTTGGCACGTACAAGTTCTTTGATTTTGCAGGTGGTGAAAGACGTGTAGATCATTCATATCAAAATCCTGATGAAGCTTCGGTTGTAATCTCTCTCTACGAGAGGTTGAGAAAGCAGTATGGTGGAGAGTTTTCATTAGATTACAGAGTAGCAATTATCGCAACTTATAAGCAGCAAGTTCGGTACATACGAAATGAACTCAAAAAGAGGTTTTGGAATGTAGATAAAGATATCCTTTCTAAAGTTGATGTCAACACTGTTGACGGTTTCCAAGGTCAAGAGAAGACGATCATTATCTTGTCGACTGTTAGGTCCACCAAATTTGAAGACGATGGTATTTACAAGGAACGAGGTGGTGGCCCAATTGGTTTCTTAAAGGATATTAGACGTATGAACGTCGCTTTGACGCGTGCACAATCTTCTTTGTTTATCGTTGGTCATGCTGATAAACTTAAATATGATCAGACATGGCAACATATCGTCGACGATGCTGAGCAAAGAGACTTATTGCAGAAAGTATGTTTATTTTAGGAAGTTTGCTATTTACTAACTTGATATTTTTAGATAAACAGAAATCACTTCAGTCAGCCATCTAATTTCGTCGCTACGAAACTAAAGCATCCAACGAGTCAAGAGAAAGATGCACAGAATAAGAAGAAGAACAAAACCAAAGAAAGAGAGCAACCTCCAATACCGGACAACCTTGTACCGACTGGAAACTCACCTGTCAAGCGTAAAGCCGAGCCGGAAAGTGGAGCTAGTCTGGCGAAGAAAATGAAAGCTGCTGAAGATGGTCGTAATGGAGTTACTACTAAAGTTGTAGAAAATGATGTAGTTGAAGAAATCGTAAGTGATATACCAGGTATAGGAAGAACGCCATCAACACAACCACTTAATGCTCCTTCAATCGAGTCAAACTCCATGGACATTTCTTCATCGAATGTCTCATCCAATCTGCCAGGAGGACCAAACGTAATGCAGAATAATAATAAGTCCGCTGAACAACAGAAGCAGGCTATACAAGAGGGTTATAATAAGAGAAAGCAAGAAGCTAAGAAGAATTCAATGTTTATGAAAAAAAAGGTAGGTTTGATCTTAAATTACCGGACAATTGCTGATATCAATACTAGCCGAGAAAGTAGAAACGGCTACAATTTAGCATCAATTAGAGCATAATGATAAATTAATTATTTTTCACGGTCTACATATTCACATACATTTTGCATATTTATTCATGAATAATGTTAAGTCTATCGAAATACAAAAATCACAGGCGCGCTTCTGGTCTTTTCTCGCGTACGAGACCTTGTTGGGCTGTTAAAGCAACCAATCTGCCATCCTGGGTCCAGAACTCTCCGTTAACATTCCCTCTTCCGTGTCTTGCTCTTGGACAGAAGGTTTTGTATAAAAGCCATTCACTGGTGTCGAAGTCATCGTACTTGAAAAGATATTAAAAACGATTCAAAATAATTGAATATACTTACAAACCACATAGAATGGTCAATCGAAGATAACATCCCTAAATTGAAGTATTGTCTTAAACCTAATGAATGTGAAACTGTATGAATGAAATTTAGATCAGACATGTAAGCAAGGATAGCCTAGATAGTCTTAAATATCATTGATTAGACGTAAAATGAAGATACTTACTTTCTGGGTAGATGGTTTGTCACCTGGAGATGTCCGAGCCTTGATCCACCAGCTATGTTGATTTGAAGTAATAAAGTGACCCTTTTCATCAAATTTGCTCCTTTTAGACGCATCTTTGAGTGCTAATGCTGATGTCCGGCGCTCCTATTTATTCTTGAGCTTACACTTAACTCGAAGGTATTTCTTACCTCAATTCTAGCTCGAATAACTTCCACTAAGTTCTTATCAAGCTTGGCTTGGTATGTATCCAAAAATCTCTGCCACCTATCCTCATTCAATTCGCATTCATTCGGTGGAGGTACGTCCACGGGTGGGGCTATTGAGAAGTGTGGCTGGGTTGGCTCGGGAAGAGCGAAAGAAGCTGTTAAAGTGAATATGTTATTACCATCTTGTGTAGCTCTAACATGGTACGTTTGATAACTTCTCCCTAATCTAAGTGGATGCACGTCTGTTAACCGGTCAGAAATGAAGCCGGTAGAGGTGAAACTAACGGTATATAACAGGCATACTAGCTTGCCCTGCTAGTAGGAAGTAGCAATGAAATGAGTGTAAGCTGTATTTATCGCCATTTTTCTCTTCGCTGACCGTTGTTGCTGCCTGTATAGCTTGACTAATAACCTGTCCGCCAAATACACCGATAGAAGAGCTAACTGGTTGCCAGAGTGGTTGCTAACGATCCTTAGAATGCTGAATACACCAGTGACGATATCTAGTCTCACCTTGGACCGGTAAATGTACTTATCGATTTTCTCGAGCTGGTGGGTGTTTATTGAGGGTTATAATAAAATATAGCGTAAGCCTACATCTAAGCTGGTTCCAATGTATTCTTTCTTTGTGTTTCCTTCGTTCATAAATGATGGTAAGCTACTAAGGATAGGAAGCTAACCGGTGTAATGCTGACCGGATATTTTCGTTTAATCGGATGCATATGTATTCTAGAGCTAATAGGTACGTCCCAGATAGACGGTGACCCAAGAAATGTAGTGACAGCTTGTCATTCCTAACAAAGAGAAGAAGAACACGTGAGCGACGGGAGATGGAGAATGATGAGAGTATATCAAGCTAATTTATAGCATGGATATAGTTGTATACATTCTAAATTAACTTTATTACGCCCCCTCTCACCCCCATCTCTTTCTATCCTGCAGTCTGAACACGTTAGGCGTATGACGCAGGTACTACGGGCAGCCCAAATAAAAATATTCCTCTCTTGAATAGCAACTTTGAGGTTTAATTTCTTGGTCCCCGACGCCTAATCAATTTAAACTCGCATTTTTATCTTCAGACTTTACAACGACGATCTCACGAGAGGAATGGAAATTGCGATAGGAATTGCAGTACACGATTTTGAACCTTTAGAGCGAGATCCATCGATATTAAGCTTTAAAAGGAATGATATCGTCCATATACTCAATAAGGACGCATCTGGTTGGTGGGATTGCGAAGTAAACGGTGTCAGAGGTTGGCTACCTATGAATTACGTTACTGAGGATATCGTACGCTTTTCTTGTCCTTCTTTCCTTTCTTTTCTCACTTTGCACAGGACGCTTTTTACGACAACAGCGAAGACGAGCAGGATCATAGCGCAGACGAGCAAGACGAAGAAGATATCAAAGATACCCTCGATAAAGCTCTAGAAGAGCAGAATCAGCCACACAAGGAGTCTCCAATAGTCGCCGTTAGGAATGCATTGACACTAGTAAAATCAGCCGTCATTTCCAGTCGATTGGCACATCTACAGCCCGCTACAGCTTGTGTTATTTCCTCCGTTAGAGCGCTTTTATCTGCCGCAGATGCCCTCAACAAGGATTCTTCTAGTAACAAGATAAGCGCATCAATAGCAGACAATAGGCGTAATCTTCTATCTTTACTATCCAGACTAGTTGTGCAGAGCAGACTTGTCATGAAAGAAGCTCTACAATCCTCAAACAAAGTCATTCTCAATGAAGACCTCGAAGAAGTTATTCCAATGGCTGATCAAGTTTTGGTCTTGGCGGAGAATTTCGTAAAACTATGCGAGTCTTATGGTATCAATCTCGTTGAAGATATTACTCCACATTCTTCCCCCCACATGTCTCAACTATCACAACTTTCTCCGAAGTCACAGCGTTCAATGTCTAGCAACAATAATCAAAAGTCCCTGATGCACAGGCAAGCTTCTAGGCTTTCAAGGATGACTTCTTACGATTCATTCAAAAGTTCTGCTGCGCAATCTGTAGCTTCTTCAGCAGCTTCTCTGGTCCTCAACAACTCGCACGATTGGGCCGACTCATCAAATGAAGATCATCTAGAAGATCAGAGCTCTTCAGATCAGACCTTTAGCAGGCTTTTGTGCGTTATCAATGATGCTTTGAAATCTACAATCGCAGCAGCATTAGGACACATCCATGCTATGCCAAATGAAAATCACGCAACAGCTAGCATACACTTAATTGATTTGTTAAAGGAAACGATAGCAATCGTAAAGCGCCTCTTGACAGTTTTACAATCAATTCAACAAAATGGACCATTGAATACTGTAGTACCGAGAGATGGTATGATGCTCGATGAAACTATCAGATTAACTTATCTTTCAACTGATGATTTGGTAGCTGCTGCAGAATCCCTACTTTTTGCCAAACCTAGAAGATCAATGATAGATACTACCCAGGAATCAAAGAGGCATCATCTTCTGAAATGTATAATGCAAATTCACAAGATTTCTACAGAAGCATTTGAAATTTCTTCGAGAATGATCGAATATGCGTCAACGGCATCTATACCATTAAGTTTAAACGCAAGCATACCAAGTCAGCAATCTACGTTTAGTCTGCAAGATATTACAAATAATGGATGTAATCAACCAATACCAGAGCCAGCTCTTCAACCAAGGGAGAATCAGACAGAATTTAAGAGACAACATAGAAGACAACAGACTTTGTCACTGTTTGACAGAAGAGCTGCAAGTCTTACTTGTCTCAAAGATCAATTCCAAGGTAATACTGATTATAATGAAGAGGTGGAAGATGTCAAAGAGACTCTCACGACGCCAACAATGAAAGACAAATTTGATCAAGATATCGAGAATAATAGACCAGAAAGTAGAGCATCACAGGCTACTACTGTATACGCACCTCATATAAAGTTTACGAGCACAGATAACCTTAATACGCCAACTCAGACTGAGCATTTGAAGAATTTGTCACCAGTTTCAGCAACTTTCACTGAAAAGGATTCTTCACAAAGAAGTAGTACAGGTGGAAGTCCAAATACCCTCACTATGCCACTTAATAGCCCAGAGACAGGTAAGGTATCGCCTATGCCTGAATCTCCAGTCGGTATTGCGTTACCACTTAATCAAGATGGACATAAGGGACATGCTGTTGGTGGGAAAACACCAAGTCTATCATCCGCAGCTGGTAGTTTCGATCTTTCCGTTTTAAGGCCTAGGATAAGAGCTAGAGCGGCAACTGTTGGTACAGCAGATGTATACCAAGATAAAGATAATAAAGAGAATGATCAAGATTCTACAGCCTTGAAATTATCATTTGGTGGTAACAAGCCAAGTATCAGTAGTATACAGAGAGATGACATGTCGATAGCTTCCATGACTTCAGGATCTGAATTGAATGGATCAGCAATGTCAATGAGGAGCAATACAGATGACGGTTTTGGTAAAGCTGGTACATCGACACCCGCTACAGTTCACAGTTGGGTTTTAGATGAGAAGAGTCCTATAAAAGAGAAACCAAAATTTGAATTGGGTGATGAGACAGAAAGTGAAAATGAAGATGTAGATAGTCTCCCACCATTACCGGTTACCCAGGTGCGCGCTCGTCAACGTCAAAGGGCTTTCACAACATCAGCTACTCAATCTCCAATAAAGTCATCGTTCGATAATGAATTGAAACCGACTGTTAACTTCGGTAAATATGAAATAGTTAGGGGTGGTCCAAATGATAAGATTATGGGCGCAACTTTGCCTTCACTTGTTGAATTACTCACACCTCATGATACTACACTAGATGTTAATGTGTTAGAAACCTTCATGATGACATTTAGACTCTTCACGTCCCCTAAGCAATTAGCCATAGAACTGAGAAATAGATTCGAAAAGGCTGATGATATCGAAGATAAAACTATCAGTGATCCTATACGATTGAGAATATTCAATTTGGCCAAATTGTGGCTTGAAGTACATTGGCAAGACAGAGAAGACTATAGCGCTCTTGAAGCTATCGAATATTTGGGAATTACCGCCAACACAATGAGCACATTCAATGCTTCGGCCGATGTTTTGTTGAAACTCACAGACAAGCGCAGATATGAGCATGAAAATATGACATCAGCTAACCAAAATGCTCACTCATATAATTCAATTAGCAAGCAGACGAAGTCTAAGAGACAAGCAGGTCAGAATTCTCTTAAATCATTCATAAACTATCAATTCACTGAGTCCAATTCTTCCATCAAGAATAGAAATAGCCGGAGTTCAATGGGTAGTACCACTGATCAAGCACCAATACCACAAATTAGTAGATCACTGCTTAATCATCTTAAATCACCCCAAGGCCTTACTTCTGCTCCATTACCTACCGACTTCGAGCCGATTGAGATGGCTAGACAATTGACTATAATGGAGAGTAGACTCTATCAATGTGTCACAGTTGATGAGTTGCTCAGCGTGAATGAAGGCGGTAGCACGAAGAAAGGTGTCGATGTTCATGTCGTGAGACCCGCTTTGAAGGCTATGAGTGAATTCACGACCCGTGTTACATCCTGGGTCAGTGAGTCTATCCTCAGGGAAGATGAGGCCAGAAGGAGAGTACCACCGATCAAATTCTGGATTAAAGTATGCAAGGTGGGTGTTTAATTCTGTATTTTCTTTTACTTACATGACAACTAGCACTCGCTTTCACTCAATAATTATGGTCTTCTTATTGCTATTGTTTGTGGTTTAACTACGTCGACTATTGGTAGATTAAAGCGAACGTGGGAGGTGAGTATATTAATTGCGCATCTGTAAATACCTAACAACATTCTCAGCTTGTTCCAGTAAAGCATCGTAATCTTTTGAACAATTTGAATACCCTTGCTGCTTGTGATAGGAACTACGCAGTCTACAGGGCAAGGTTGCGCTCAACCCAATTGCCGGCATTACCATATGTTGGTTTGTTTTTGTCTGATTTGACGTTCGTACACGTTGGTAACAAGCCAACGCGGCCATCAATGGTTGATAGCAGGAGACAGGTTATCAACTTCGACAAATATGAGAAACTTAAAAATATCATTAAAGGTAAGTCTAGAGATTTCGAAAACTCTCTGGCTGACAAAAACTCAAGAGTTTATGAAATTCCAAGAACCATTCAGGTTGACAGAGATAACGGAATTTCAGACATACCTCCATAGGGCGTTAACGCATATAGAAGCAAGTAATGAATCTGCACAAGATCTATACAATAGAAGTTGTGCACTTGAGCCAAAGAACTCTAATTTAGGAATGCAGAAAGTGAAGGGCAACGCGTCGGTCGAATCACTGAGACATTCGGTCGATCGCAAGGAGTTATTTGGTTGGACAAGAAGACATTAATAGATAATTCACAAACATTAAACACGCTTTAATAGAGATATGGAATATATTATACAATCACGACTAGTTTCTACTTTTTTCTTTCACGCTTCTCTCATTTTCTAGTGAAGACCTATGTACGAATTCGCAAATGTATTATGATTTGTCATACAATAAATCACGTAATAATATTAAGTAAGGTGAATTTAGTCATCGCTGTGATAGCACTACGGTAATAAGTGGCTGATTTTTTATTTGAACTATTAGGATTATACTTTAGCCTGAACTGCTTCAACGAGGATTATTATCGTTAGCCGGCACTATTTTCAGAAATATTTTTAAAGCCTCTCGCGTAGCTTTATCTTCAATTCCCACTTTTAATTTCGCAGCCAACGTAAACGCAATGTCAGAAAGAGTACACAACAGAGTTGTAAGTTTGAAACTATGATAGCTATATAGATACTAACACGCCACAGGTTATCATCGGTTCAGGTCCAGCTGGCCACACTGCAGCAGTCTACCTCGCTAGAGCTGAAATGCAACCAGTCTTATTCGAAGGAATGCTTGCTAATGGTATAGCACCAGGTGGACAACTTACGACTACCACCGACGTAGAAAACTACCCAGGTTTCCCAGACGGTATTAGAGGTCCAGAAATGATGGACAAATTCAGAGCCCAATCTGAGAGATTCGGTACAACAATCCACACTGAAACAATCTCAAAGGTTGATTTATCAAAGAGACCGTTCAAATACTGGAGAGAAGGTTCAGAAGAGGATGACAACGCATACGAATTGGCAGATTCTATCATTTTAGCCACAGGTGCATCAGCTAAGCGTTTATTCTTACCTGGTGAAGAAACCTACTGGCAATCAGGTATCTCTGCTTGCGCTGTATGTGATGGTGCTGCACCAATTTTTAGAAATAAGTCATTAGCTGTCATTGGTGGTGGTGACTCTGCAGCTGAGGAAGCAACTTACCTCACAAAGTACGCTTCACATGTTCACGTTCTTGTTCGTAGACACGAATTGAGAGCATCAAAGATTATGGCACAAAGATTACTCAAGCATCCAAAGGTTACCGTACACTGGAACACTCAAGCTACTGAAGCACTCGGTGATGGTGATTTGTTACAAGCACTCACACTTAAGGATGTACAATCAGGTGAAACCAGAAAATTAGATGTTAACGGTCTTTTCTACGCCATCGGTCACGAACCAGCCACTCAACTCGTTAGATCTCAAGTAGACACTGATGAAGATGGATATATCAAGACCGTCCCAGGTACTACACAAACTAACATCAAGGGTCTTTTTGCTGCCGGTGACGTTCAAGATAAGAGATACAGACAAGCTATCACTTCAGCCGGTTCAGGATGTATGGCTGCCTTAGAATGTGAAAGACTTCTTGCAGAGGAAGAAGTTGAGGAGTCTGCCTAAATTCAATAAAAGTATAGAGACCCCTTTCTTATATATCTTGACATGAAATGTATCACAAAAAAAAATTGATAGAAAATTTAGCTTTTATTGTCGTGTATATACAAGCAAATTTAATAATTTCTTATATAATCCAGTGTCTTTTTTTGGGTATTTTATAGACAACGAATTTTCGTTTATATTGATGGGGTGGGCAAGTAAACGAGATTGAAAATGAGAGAATTTCTGCTTTTTTGGTATGCTCTTTAGTGAAATAGTTTAATTTGTTGAATTTGTAGAAACCTTCGTTGGTATCCGTGATTGTTTATATGGAAATGCAAAAACTAAAAGTCTCTTAACCTTAAGCGCCAAAGCTTTGACCGACACTTTCACTGAGATTTGATTCACCAACATAAGTAAAGCCTTGGAATTGACCTTGAACAGTTTGAGAGAGATGACTATCTTCAACAACACTATCCTGAGGTGCTTCAGATGTGAATTCTTCATCAAAGTTACTCGTATCAATTGCAGATGCAACAGCAGGTTTGAATGGTGGCTGGATCTTCTTTGATGATAACCTCTTCCAATCAATGTTGTTAACAAAGAATGGATGATCTTTGATTTCTTGTGCACCATTATATCCTAATCTAGCAGAAGGATTACGATGCAACAATCTTGTCAAGATATCTTTAGCTTCTAAACTGAATTCATCACCAAATCTCAATGGATCTTGAAGAATTTTTCTGTACATTTCATTTGTATTTTCATCGTAGAATGGTGGTAATCCTGATAACATTTCGTATAATAAAACACCAAGCGTCCACCAGTCAACTGATTTTGTGTATCCTTTATTTAACAATAACTCAGGTGCGAGGTATTCAGGTGTACCACAGAATGTGTTTGTTGTCTCATTTTCTGTCATGTTTAACTTGCATAAACCGAAATCACACAAAGCAATGTGACCGGTATAGTCTAGCAAGATGTTTTCTGGTTTGAGATCACGATAGACGACGTTGAAACCGTGCAAATGCTCTAATGCTAATAACAATTCAGCAGCGTAGAATCTGGATCTTGCTTCGTTGAATCTTCCTTCGCGTTGTAAATGGTGGAATAATTCACCGCCATTAACGAAAGCCAAAACAAGGTAAAGTTTCTCAGTTGATTGGAAACTGAATTTCAATGGTACGATGAATGGATTGTTGACTTGAGCCAAGACAGTTCTTTCAGCTAATGTATGTGTGACTTCGGATCTATTGACGATATGTGCTTTACGGATTGTCTTTAAAGCATAGATACGTGAAGTATCTCTCTTTCTGACTTGCATAACCTTACCGAATGATCCCTTACCGATGACCTTGAGTAAATCGAAGTCCTCGATCGTCAATGAGGAAGCTCTAGCTTGGAAAGAGACTTGGATGAACATATGACCAGATCCGCCGGCGACTGGGTACCAAGATTCTGTAGCACGCTTGATTGTCGTTAGATAAATCGTCAAGATGATTGATCACCTACATTTGACTCAAAGTCTGGTATAAACTTAACAGCACCCAAGAAAAGATCAGAGTTGCCCATATCGTTCAATCCTGTAGCACTTTGACCGGGTAAATTGCTTGAACCAGTTCTGAGATAGGTAGAAATAGCGATTTCGCTAGCTCTTGAAACATCGCTGTAATTTTATAAGAATAAGTACTTGTGAAAGACTAAAAGACTCACAAATGTGCCTTATACATCCAAACTGGTTGGTCAAGTCTACCTCCGAGGGCATCAACCAAGATTTCGTTCTTATCGAATTCTAGAACAATATATGGGAGCCACCAGCATTGCTTGCGTTGTACGCTGTCTCTATTGCTGGAGCTGTATGACGACTGACGTGCGTGGTTGACAGATGTGGAGGTCACGCTAGCTGCAGCAGCAGCAGCCTGGGTAGAGAGTGCTTTCTCAATCTGCTGTGGTAATTGCTGTCCTGATAATTCCAAATCGCGGGCTTCGACTACTCGGATAGTGAGGACACCTGAACGGTGAATAGGAGCACCTGAAGCTGTTGATACCGATGTACCATTCGTTGAAGGGGTAGCTGATAAATTTCCGCTGGCAGTCGTTGGTCTCGATTGTGCGGATAGGTTTGAAGACGAGGATTTTGAACTCAATGGGTTAGCTTCTTTTAGTTCTAAGGAGTGTGTCTTAATATCGTCTAGACTGTGAGCTATATAACTTACTTCTGCCGAGTTTCCAAGTGCTTGTCATTTCGTTCGAATCAAAGAGGTCTAACCGGGGTGAATGTCAAGAAGGAGACGAATAAATAAAAAATGAATAATTCTATTACAATTACTGTCTATATTAGATATATTTACCCTATCACACTCCTCCTGAGAAGCTTAGGATTACGTAAAAGAAGAAAGAATACAGAAGAATGAGACAAACGCGGTCGTCTGCTTTCTAGACTGTCCGTTTAATAAAATTGCGGAAATATTACAAACACCTCCCCCCTCTAAAGATCAAGGTGGTCTGTGCAGTAGGAACCTTTTTTGACCATCATCTACCAAGTCCCCTTAAAATTCTACGATACCCAGACCACTAAGAACGCTCATTAAAGATACACTATGGTCTCATTCTTGCAATCCTGTAGGAACTCCTTCCGTAAAGAGAAACGAAACACTGTCCATCTTGATAACGTTAAAGCTTCACCAAGTTTACCCGATTTAGGTGAAACCTTAGGTAAACCATCTAGATTCGCTGATGAGATTGCACAATCTGTTCAAGGTCTTGATTTTAAAAGAGATGATTTTTCGCCAAATCATTTGCAAGTACCGCAGAATCTAAACGTCAGGTTATCAACTGTTTCAGATAACACGCGCAGGTTTACCAAGCCGAATTCCTTGACTTCACGCAACGCGCGTCGGAGAAAGACACCACGCTCACTTAATGTTATGGTCGCTGGTGGTATACGCACCGGTAAGACGAGTCTTTTGAGGTTGATTTTGGACACTGTCAAACTCAGTCCAACATCGAATATTACTCAGCGTACAGAAGCAACAATCTCTTTCACCAATAAGCATCAACCAAAACAACCACTCTATCAAATGTCCTTCGACGTCGGTGGTGATGTCAACAGTGACCGTACTATGCTTACTCTCACCGATACACCGGGTTTGAATTACCAAGACAGCCAACAACTCAGCGAGAACACGGATATGATTATTAAACATATTGAACACCTCTACACGCAAACACTTGAAGAAGAATCCCGAGTCAACAGATCAAACAGCTCACAAGCTCTCGATAGACATATCCATGTTTGCGTATACATGATCGATCCAGCGAGATTGATCGAATCTCATAATGGCTCACTAACACTTCAACCTACTGAACTTCAAACTATAATAAGTCTAGCGAAGAGAGTCAATATATTACCTGTTATAGCCCATGCTGATAGTCTCACTGATAATACCTTACGTCTGGCAAAGGATGGAATATTGTCAGATTTGGCTAATATCGGTTTCAAATTCGAGATACTAGGTTTGAATGAGAGGGCATCAACACCTGATTCGAATGCCCACTTGAGTGATCTAGACGATGATCATAATAATTCTACGAAATTGATCAAGATTCGTCATAGAGCTAAATCTGCTACACCTTCAGTAGCATCGACAGATAATTCACATATGACAAACTTGGATCCAGTTCCTTATGCTATAGTCATACCTGAGAGGTTTGATAAACCATCGACAACTAGGAACTTTAGATGGGGAGTTGTTGATGTTCTCGATAATCAGCACACTGATTACAATGCTTTATATGATGTCTTATTTGGTAATAACTCTGACGTATGTTTTACTTTTCCATTGAGTAACGATTTCTAATTCCCGTTATAGTCACTTAGAATACGCACAAGAGAGACTCTATATGAATCATTCAGAAGGGAAGCTTTAATATCTCGCCAGAAGGACGCCGATAGTGGACCAAAGAACTTGTCTTCAATCAGAAATTCCAACATATACAAGAAAAGACAAACAAGCTTTAATTGATCATAAAACCCGGATTACCAATGATCATAATTTCTTTAATATCTTCACTTATCTTCTAAATACCACTTACTCATCTTATTATTACACTCGTTTGATTGAAGATTAGGATAATCTTCAATCTGGAAATGTATTCTTTTTATTGTTATGTTTGTCATATCTAATACATAAGCTTTATTCATTAAACGTTATAATGCAATTATAGTACAAGTATGATAGATGCAAAAATAAATAACACTTCTTTATGGATCACCAAACCAACTTGTGATCAAAGTTTGACAATAACTCATCGAGTCCTTCTAATTCATCAATATCGCATTGATTCTGTGAACGCTTGTAAAGAACCTCACAATCAAGGTTAACGCAAGGAACATCTTGAGAAGGATGAACATGAGCACATGATGAGCAAATAGTCTGAATATCCCTCATCTTTAAGGTAGTTCTGTACTTCTTACTTAGCAACTTATACATTGTGTCACTAACGTTAGAGTCCCCAAGACAATCTGTACAGACTGGCTCTTTTGAGATTTCACCACATGTTTCACATGTTCCACTCCGAACGTAATTACCGATAACACCTCCTTTACGCGTAATTGCGAATGGCTTCCTGGCCTCGGGCTTGAATTTTCTTGACATCGTCGCATACCACGAGTGAACATCTGCGCCCATCAAGTTGAATATTCTCTCAAGGGGTGGAATTAACACTTTCTCTATGTAATACTTGGCATCCAAGTGAAGATTGCTATTTGAAAGCATCTCTTCTGGTTTTACAGCTCGATCTACTTGTCGATCAGAGTTGCCTTCGGTGATTACATAAGGTACTCGTTCTCCATAATGTGCTGTGGCACGTGGATCATCTGTCAAAGACTTTGTTGCGACCATTACACCGGGTATTGGTACAGCGTGAGGTGCATAACTACCCAACCGGACTTCTTTGGCGAATGTAAAGTCCTTAATCGAAACTCTACCTTGGATCACCTTGTTAAATTGCTTCACGCAGTAGCTCTTTACTTGTGACAAGTCTGAAGTTTTGTACAACACTCTGACAGTTGATATTAGTTGAGGTCATTTCATAACAAATAACTCACTTCAATGCCGTCTCGACCATTTTAGATTGTGCAGGAATACCATCCCTACGAACGGTCTCAATTCCTTTCGCTTCAAATATACCAACTTCATCTGTGACGCGTTCGAACATGTTTCCCGTATAGCGTTTCTTCGCCAGTAACACCGACGGTAAATACATCTAAAGCATCGTTTAGAAGTGCTAATCTAAAACTTTGAAATTACACACCTTTTCCAATTTTAGTTTGACAGGATGAGGATTAGATTTCGTAACTGCTTCAGCAATATCTGCGCCAGTTTCGAAAGCTTCTTGCTGAGTTTTGCCTTTGAGACGAACGAACAGTGAGTCTGTATCGCCATAGACAACATCAGCGCCCCATTCCTTGTTATTGTCTATAAATCTGATAGCCTTCCTCGCTTGTTAGCAATCTGAACATAGATTATCGCCACAATACTCACCCTTTCGAGAGTTTCACGTCCTGTTTGGACGATTGAATCGGCAAGCTCAACGCAAGGCATTCTACCACTGAAGCTGGCAGATGTATATCCGTATGTAACATTAGCCATGAGTTTCAAGGATAGTTGTCTGGCATGTTGGAGTTTTCTGAGATACTTAAATCATCATTAGATTTCTAAATTGAAATAGGAAATGATGCCCACCTTGTCTTCTCTGTTTTCTTGCATGGATTGCTTTATCATAATGCGAGTGTCAAGCAGCTCAGCAAGCATCTTCGATAATAAAGACTTGCGGACGTGTGGTTTAACATACATCATCCCATTCGGTGCGACTGCGAAGCATGAGAAAATACACTTAACCCGCTCTGTACTCACAATTAATATCATCCTTTAGTGAATCCAGCACTTTGGATGATGTAGTGTGTTCCGTAATACCCAATTTGTAATGCCCTTCATATGGTTTGACTCGACCGAGGCATGTAGAATAACAATAATTGTAAGCAAGCATGATAGACGGGTATAGAGATTGGAAGTCAAGAACTATAATTGGATCCTTGTAGAATGCGGATTGAGGCTCCATTACTAAGGGGAGTGCTTCAGCTGCTTGTTGTCCACTAACTTGATTCCTCGAAGGCGATATCAAAACGTAGTTCTCAGGTTTAGCTATTCGGAACATCAGAGCTTCTACTTTGAACTGAGATCCGCGTGTTATTACACTGTAGAAATCCACACCAATTGTACGTGCAAACTCTCTAAGAATTATAAGGGCTAATTCTAATTCAAATGGATAGTTACTCACGCAGTTTTTGTGATTGTTTCCATGGAATTGAGAATGTCACCGATCATCTTAACTCTTAATGAAAACAATTCTAAGACTCTTGCGTAAGACGATACATTTCCTGAAGTCCACCACCTTGTCAGCGTCTCGGATGTGTATTTCGGTAGCCTTAATATTATCAGTCAAAACCTTCAAATACGATCACATTCCTACCTTTTTTTGAGTACGCTGTGTGAAACATGCTCAAAAGTAGTTTGCGGAAGGCTTAATTCAGATCTAGCCAACCTCCAGACATTGAAGACGTGTCTACCAGGTGAGGTGAATGTAGTCGTTTTCATCTCTGCCCATTTTTGACCACCAGTTATGTTCCTCATTGTACGTGATTTAACTCTTGATGTCTCCTCACTGAGTTCCAATCCAATCTCAATTCGAGCTCTGTCAACTAGATATCCCCAAGACCCTAACTCTGTATCCCATCCAGCTAGGATATCTGGATCGAACTCTTGTACTTTATCAATCAATGTGAATATCAAATCAGCTTCATTAATAGCTATCTCCATATTCGTTTCGTTTAATTTGTACTTTGTTTCGCCTTCGACAACGACCATACCACTTTCAACCTCGTCATCCGAGCTCTGAAAGACCCAAAAAATGGCTTCGACGGGATTATGCTCTGGATTTGGAACTTTATTTCCGATATTCTTGGCAAACACTTCAACGATCATCATTGTTATTTGAGTTTGAATATCATGTTCGCGGGGTATGTGATTCTTCTCCCCACTAGCTGTTGAAGCATCCAAGCCAAACTTTTGTCTCGAAGGTGGGCCCTCAATCTGTGTTGTTAGCATATAGGAAGGCAACTTAGAGTCACATACCTGTGTATGTATTGCGCGTTGAGTGGAAGCAGCTTCTCTTCCATATGCACTAATCACGTCTCTCTTTGATGGAGGAAGTGGTGCGTACTCAAAATGACGGATACCCTGTGTGGATACTGTATCATATTTTGCATCCCAGCTTGGTATCTCGTCACCTTTCAAGACAAACACTCGCCCTGCATATTCCCTAGGTCTCTCTGGAACGTCAGTTGGCTCCGAGTAGTAAGGATCGCGATAGACTTTTGAGGGTAAGGTATTGTCTCTGAACGATCGCATCGCTTCATCCGTAGTTGGTGGTGGGATTTTGTATTCGTATAATACACCGCAGTCTGATTCATGTGGTTGAGACCTATGAGGGATTGTTGTTAGTTGCCCAGATAAAACAACATCCTTCTGAGGACTTGCTTTCTCGATCTTTTCCTGGACCATCCCGATAGTGACACCTGGCATTATCTCACGCTGTGATAAACTGGCCAAAATGGCATCATACTCTTGTGAAGCGAGTAACTCGCTACTATCCGATCGACTTCTTTTCCTCTCCGGTTCTTCACTCTCTTGGCTATCAGGAATAACTTCCAGCGTGGGTTCACGCTTAAGAGGAGGGTCGGTAGATGATTTGAACATCGAGTCCATTAGTGAAAGTTGTCTTATCGATTCTCGATTCTCACTCAACACCGTACTCTCCCTGATTGCTAAATCACGCCTGGGTACTCCATTAAATACGTTATTTTGAGCAAAACTGTCATAAGCCATATCGTCTATGTCCATTTCCATGAATTCCGTCTTCTGACTTGCCAGTTGTTGACTTACAATTGGTTCAATATCTTTATTAGGTTGTGATGAACTTATATCTAAATACAGACTACTATCTTCATTCTGCGGTACTTTTCGACGTTCAGACGGACGATACAGAGCTTCAGTACTTTCGAAGATAGTCATGAGTTTATGTTCTTCTGTGAAGTGAGACAAGAAATCATCGTCTTTGTCCTGATCAATTATCCTCTCATGAAATGAATCTAGAATTTCTTCCAAAGCATCCCAACGTGGGTAGGTTTTAGAATCGTTGCGTCCACCTTTCACGCTGCCTTGAATTTTAATTGATGACTCTAAACCTGCAGCTTCACGACGCTTCTCCTCATTGACCCAGAGCTCCCTCAGCGAAGGAAGAAGTTTATCATCAGGAACCAGTTCTTCGATTGACGTATTATGTATGTACCGCGGCGCTATTTGATACCTGTTTTCAATCCACGACGCACGAATATCGAACTCAACGAGGCAGTTCGTATCTCTTGGAACAGTATGTGTGTCTCCTTCATTTATTGAGAAAGAATTCACTGTACTATCCTGCGCTGATTCATTATCCCAATCAGTGATAGGAGGATCTGCCAGACGTTAGCCCAAAACTTGGTCGAAATAGGTACGCACCCGGTAAAGGTAATCTAAACTTGGCTTGTGACACTTGCATCCAATCGCAACCGTAGAGGTTGTAATCAGTGAAAAATTGCAATAGATATGGTGCGTGAGACTCGTATGCTTGAAATGTGGTGTTCATTAGTTGGCCGGACTCCATAAGCTGGACTAATCTCGGAATGTGTTTGGGATCGTTCATTATAATTTTGAGAAATGGACGCGTACCGACGTTATAACCATAGAAAGGTGTGCCTTTACATATCACGATAGCCCGAAGGAACTGCGTAGTTGATTGCTTATCATTCATATTACGTCGTAAACTCAGCGATAAAGATTGGTTGATTGATAATCCTAGTTGATGTATGTAATCTCGGACTAGATAACGAGATTAGCGGGGAAAAGAAGAGATGACGATGCGTACCTTTCTCAGGTGTAACACTATGCTTGTATTCTATATAAAAATAAGGATAGACGCCATGTACGTGTGCGCATGCCATCTGGCCAGTATCTAGTCTACCAAAAACGCGAAGAATGGGTGAATTTGCAAGCGGTAAATCAGAAAAGGAAGATAAGTTATCATCAAAGTAATTAATTGGTTTGAATAAATTATAATCTAAATTTGTTATGCGTATTTTCATTTCATTCTTTTAGATGGTTGTTGGTCGTCGATATCAGAGAGCGGTCTCTTTGTGATTTTGCTGCAAGAATTTATTAAATTTGTTATTTACAAGGAAGTTGGATTTACTGTTGCTTTGAGAAGTACTCAGACTTGTTTTCTGGGTTAATAGTTGAGTTGTTGGTCTCTGGGTTCCAGTCTGCTGGGCAAACTTCACCGTGAACGTCAGTGAATTGGAATGCCTTGATGAGACGGATAGATTCCTCAACTGAACGACCAACTGGGAGGTCGTTGACAGTGATTTGACGGAGGACACCCTTTGGATCGATCAAGAATGAGCCACGGAGGGTGACACCGTCGTCAAGGAGAACACCGTAGTTCTTTGAGACCTTGTGTGACTTGTCAGCGAGCAATGGGAGCTTGAGGTCTGGACCGAGACCACCCTCGTTACGTGGTACGTTTGACCAGGCAAGGTGGGTGAATTCTGAGTCGGTAGATGCACCGAGGACCTCTACGCCAAGCTCTTGGAATCTTGGGAGAGCCTTGTTGAAGGCGAGGATCTCAGTTGGGCAGACGAAAGTGAAGTCCATTGGGTAGAAGAACAAGAGGAGCCTGTGAAGTGTGAGGATTAAATTATATACAGATTCGACACTCACCATTTACCCTCGTATGTCTTGTTTGAGACTTCTTCGAAGAGTCCTTCCTGTACACGATCAACGTCAGCGAAGGTCATCGAAAACTGAGTCAAAACTCACACGGACGACGGTACCGCTGATTTCTGGTGCTTGCTTTCCAATAAGAGATGCCATTGTGTCTATCGTTTGTTAGCTTTTTTATTTATTACTAGTTTCTTCTCACTTTAGTTGGTTGTAAGTGAGGAACCCACCCTGAGCGCTTAAAAGGCTAGGGTTGCTACATCATTTAAGAAACTTTTAGCCGGTTTATCAAAAAACATTTAGCAGTCTAGTTTTGCAGCATTTATGCCTGTATTTTATATATTTTCTTCCAAAATTGCTCGCGTAGCTCCGATATCACGTAATCATCTCGATTCCCTATCGCTTCGGAAAGGTTAACATCAGTGATATTTGCATAACTTGTCATACTTTTGTAGAACAGATAAAAACTTCGCTTTGACTCTCTTTTACTACTACACGAACAACAGAAAAGAACTCAATAAAATGACGTAAAACATGCATGAATAATCAATGTAATCATATAAATCAAAGGAGATTTTACCAGAATGCACACCATCCCACAAATGCCATACATAGCACTTCTAGTGAAGTTGCCTGTAATATTAATTTGTCGACTTGTTCACCAACAGTAAGCGTCTCAGTTGGTCTAAAGTCACGACCTGAGAACGCGTAAATATGAGAACAACATATGAACAACCGACTTACCTAATAACTTTGCTTCTACCCTTCTCATTACCGCCAAAGCTCTTCTATTCACCGGCTCTGGTCTTCTGTCATTACCAACAGCCTCATCTCTTGCATCACTGTCGACGAGGTTCCTTTCATCAGCCACACTTCGTCTGTTTCTTAGCGTAGATGGATCTAGAAATATGTAAGAATATATCGAGTATATATCAGACGAGACTAACCAATGTTTTCTGCATCGAGACGCCAGTTGATGAGTGGGTCATGAACGAATGCAGCCAGGACAGCCATCAGGGAGTCTCTGTTGTTTCTGAGGACACTCATGACAATATCGCAAGTACGCTTGAATGATCCCTCTACACCGCAAACCTTAAAATCATTGTGAGTATATAAGAATACAAGAAAGCATGAAACTCACCTCCATAGCAAGAACGAGCATTCTTGTCAATCTAAATGGCATCCTTTCAGGATACTTATCTCTATGCTGAGCAACTTCAAAGCTGTCACCGAAATCAATATGGATAACGCCACCCGTGATCCTATCAACCAGCAAGTTGGAAGGATGTCTATCACCAAGACCAAGGATGTATCCAACCATACTCATAACTGCCAAACTACGCGTGTAATTCGTACGACGTTCCAACCACGCTTCACTGTTTCTAGACTTCAACCAGAGAATTCTATAGAGATCTTGACCTGTTGTGTTATCCAAAGCATACTCGAATACTTCCAACTTATTCAAATGACACAAATGATCATAATCTGGAGCCATTTGTAACATCAGTCTGTGCTCAATATTTAGCAATATCTTCCTAGTTTCTCGGTAGTCACGTATGAGCATGTGCATGGTATCAGTGTTCTGTACCCAACCCAATAAACCGGAGTTAGGCGATATTGGTATAACTGAGAATCTATGAATAGATAAATGACGCTTGAATGACTCTGGATTGACTGAAAGAAGGAGGTTGACCAAACCGAATAACTGCATCGCACGTTCATCTTGACGAAGATCTTCGTGACCTTTAAGTAGATACATATACTCTTTACCATCGCTACCCTTAATTTCCATCTTCCTTGGACGTTGCTTAGTCTGCAAGACGGACAATTTTGGCACAACAGCAGCTATTCGAATAACTGGTCTTCCAGATTGATAAGTACCCGGAACTGCCAAATCGAGGTCTTTGGCGCTCAGCAAACGTGGTGCAACATATTGGAGTTCAATCGCGGTAAGTGAGTGCACTTGCTTTTCTATCTTCCTAAACACTGGATAGTAGAGGTCCCAGGCCTGGTTGAGGTCCGCTGCATGCTTCGTATGCTTCCATTTCCTACAATAGTCACGCGCTTCCATGAGCTCCCTTGAGAAGGCCTGGACAAAGGATGTCTCTCGCAATGTTTCTGGACCTCTGTCGAGCAAGTCATGTAACGGTTTGAGCGTTTCTATCATTGCTGCTGGATTGTGATGTACGAAGTAGTGTCTTGAAGCTTCCTCTAAACCTTCATGCCACATTTCATTCCAAAGGATCGCAACTCTGATGAGTTCATTAGATACTAAGCCAGCCTGTTCGACCAGTTTTGGTGAATGCTCGCGCATGCGGTCCATAATGGCGAGTGCTGCTGCTTTACGTGTCTGAGATTGAGATTTCGATGCAACTGTTAATGGATATATCAAAGCCTGTGGGTGGGCTCTGCCAACAGCACATAAGAGCTGGTGAATTAACCTTCTTACGTTAGCATTAGGAGCGTGAATACGTGCTATAATTTGCGGTATGACTTCCAACCAAGTATCTACTGAAATAGTAGCGAATCCTTGAGATAATGTCGATGAAACGTCTTCGTGATAACCGAATTGGAACCAGAGTGTCAACAGACGGAGTGTATCCTGGAGTGAATTACCACCAGAAAGGGCAATGGACTTGAAGAACGCCTGTACGGCAGGTACAATATGCGTAACAAGAGTTTCTGGCTCAACATCCTCATTAGCGTGTTCGAGATGGGCGATTACTTCGAAATTAGCCAATGCGAATGTGTGCCAAGCCTTGTACCAGTTAGGATCCAGTTGAGTGGCTTGGTAGAATGCACCGAGGATATCGTCAGCATCGTTGACGAACCAATCCTCCTGTAAAGCAACTTGCCATTGACCTTGTTTGAAATAACACCTAGCGAGCAGATTCTTGTATTCGGTAATCTTGCCCTGCTTATAGTATTCATTTGCGATTGCCCGTGAGCTTTCGGTAGGATTCAAACCGAGATCGTTCGAAAGAGATGCCGTAAAGTCGCGTAACCAATTGAGTGATTCATCTTGTGCGCCCTTTGCCCAGCTGAATTTCAGATGAGCGTAGATAACCTGCGGAGGTGCCTTTTGGACTGAACCATTAGACCATCCTGTTGGATCTGGACCAAGGAGTGAATTAATAACCTTCTCAGCCAAGAACATTCTGTCAGACTTTCTGCATAAGTTAGCAAACTTGATCCACATCTGAGTGTCTTCCGCTGGAGATAAGACAAGAGTGCGCACTTGCAATATCCTCTGCCAGACTTCAACATCAGGCTGAGCACCCTTCAACCTTTAGGTTGTTAGTAATTATTATTTGCAGAAAAAAACAAACTCACCTCTTCATCCAAGTCTTCCTTATCGTGGCTTGTCGATCAGGCTGATCAGAGAAGAGCTTGTATTGAATAATTTCCTCCAATTCCGCCAACATCTGCACACGAACGACAACATTGTAAGCTCTACCGTATGACTCGGTGACAAGTGACGTAAGTTCACTATCGAGCGACTCACGTGCTTTCGTGATATGATGGAGGGCTTTTTGGTAATGTGAATCGTGTACTGAGAGGATAGCTCTGTAGAAGAACCTATCTGGTGACTGTTGCTTCATGACGGTGATATAATTGTCCATCATTTCCCAATTATTCAAAGACCATGCGGCGGCTGCAGCAAGTGGTGCCATTGCGCGTCGCTCATCATGACCAGCGTTAACCCATTTATTCTGGACGAAGTCAGACAATTGCTCCCATTCACCGAGGGCGTGAAGACACTTCATGCGACCAAGCGTAACCTCTGGTGAATCACCCTCAATTTCAGCCTTCTCGGCATATGCAACAAGTGCTTCATGCCATCTACCGAGCTTTTCGTACCACTCTTCGTGATGTACGATATCGAGTTGCTCCCTCGCGTATTTGAGTGTACCCCAAGCGGCGTCCTGTTGCTGCAATTTCGTATTAACATGAACGAGGCTTTCGATAACGGTAGGTGTCGCTTCAGTGAGGAACTCCAACTCTTGGTAGTGTAAGGCCTTCGCATATGCATGGACGTTCATAGCGTATTCACCAAGTAAAGGAATGTCGATTGGCAGTGGCTTGTCGTCGTGTTCCATGAATTCTGCTAGGTTAAGCAACGTATGAACGACATCTGGTGGTGCAGATGGTGAGGTGAGGGCTCTCTCCATAGCCTTACCAAGCTCGTCTTGATATTGATCATAGAGGTCTGTCCAACAGGAAACAAAAGCGGCATTGAATAACTCCCTTAAAAGCGGTGGGTGTGCTTCAGCGAGACCTCTGCAAGCACGAAGAGCATGTGATGGTGATTCCTTCAAGAATTCAATACCAAGTCTTCTCAACCAGTCGGTCCAATCCTCCCTATTCTGTATAAGCTCAACATTTTCGATACCATATGCTTTCTTAAGGTGCTGCTGGTTGGCTATCAACTTTGTGTTCTCAACTGGCGGTTGCTCATCCGACTTTTCGGTAGTGAAGTTGTCAAATATACTGTAATCCTGTGGAAGTCTTTCACCATTGAGCAACATATTAACAAATTGGTTATATGGACCATGTTGAATACGATGCTTGAGTAAAACTTTTGAAATCATTGGCACGAATACAGCAAAGTCAGGACCGAGCTGTAAAACCAACGCGGCTAAAATATCCATTGCAGCACTACGCAGTTCTGGAGGACCCGATGATAGAACTCTTACGATTGGATGAATAATTCTTGAGGCGTGATCGCAGAAGTTCACTTGCCTCGACAGCTGACCGATTGTAATAATGGCGGATTTTCTTAATTGTACAGATGCCTCCGGTCTTTCAATAGTCTTGACAATAGCTGGTACGACTAAATGCAAGTATTCTTCAATGTTCGATCCAAATACTGAAAATGCCCTGAGAATGCGTATAAGAGTTGGTTGACGCTTGTCGGAAAACTCATAATCGAATGTTTGCAACATTGGCGGAAGCAATACTGGTAGGTGAACTCTAAATTCACCTTCGAGTGCTTTAGCGAGTATTTCGGTGAGTGAGATAATCGTTATCTGAAGAGTTGAGTTAGGATTCCAGAATTCTCTAATCATTTCCAAAATATCGGTCAAGAAATTTCTAATGTGATGCTTGACGATGCTGACAAGGATAGCTAGTTGCTGGAAGTAAAACTCTTGAAGGGAAGGCGCGCATGATCTTATAACACCCATGAATGCCGGAATAATCTGATTATGGGTTAACTATAAATGCGGAGCTAAAAACAAACCCACCTGAGGCAAGTAGGATACACATTTGAGTCCCTGTGTCTTGAAGATATTCATAATAGCTTCAATGACAGCGTGATGGTGATTACTAAGGGACGGATCTTTAATCATGTTGACCAAAGCATTGAAAGCGACAGTTTGGTAGAAGTCATCGTTAGTAGCGTTAGAAGATGGAGTGACAACATCAGCAGGGTAGATAGTGACTGACTCAGTGGTGACATCAGACACAGGTTTATCAAGAACCTTATGTTTGTAAGGGTCAAGAGCACCCAACAGACCCATTACACGAACGGTTTCGGAGCGTGTCGATGGTGTCTGATCAGTTTGTAAGATTTTTACCAAAGCATCCAATAAACCTGGGTATTTGAGATAAGGTTCAATAACATAACCAGTGTTTGAAACTAATTGGCCAAGTGTCTTGAGCGCCGCGTCTCTTCTCAATAGTGAAGATTGATCGTGTAGTGTTTCAATTAAGAGCGGCATTATAATGTCGACGTGACTCATCAGTTCCTCTCCACCAACTTGAGCTAATTCTCCAATACAGCGGAGAACGTTTGATGATACTGTTGAACTGTTATCGGATGCTTTCGGAAGTAAAACTTTCATCATAGGATTTGCATATGGCTTTATCAATCTCTGGGAAGCACTAACTAGCAAACCAAGTAACCTGGCGCTCTCTTCCTTGTTACGACGGACTGTTGAATACTCCAGCTCAGTGAGTAGCTGTATGAGTGCCTTACGAAGTGAGGGCATAACATAAGCAGGATTGTGACATGAAAGGCGACCGATGATTTTAATTGCTACCTCTCGTACAGCGAAAACTTCATCATTGAGTGCAATGAAAAGGGATCTAACATTCTCAGCTTGAGCAAGGTGTCTATCAAACTTCTCATCCAAAGATTGCAGAACTGATAATCTGATATCATATTCAGGATCAGCGATTGCGAGGGTCATCAGTTTATCCAGCATGTCTCCTATAATTTCAATAGCATGTGTGGATGTCTGATAAGTAACTGGATCATGAATGAAAGTGATTGAGCAGGTCAAAGCTGCAGCTTTCCGTATTTCAGCATTGTCATCGTCTACAAATGGCAATGCGGTGTCGCGAACAAATTCATTGAGAATATGACCACTGAAATCGAATGAGCCTAATGTTTGGAGTGCCAGCTTAATTATTTCTGGTTTCTTGGCTTCAGATGCTTGTACTTTTGACAGCTCCCTTGCAGCAACAGTTTGTGAGCGTGAAGGTTGCGGTGCTCCGAGTGCCCTATAGGGGCTATCGCTAAGTATCAGGGAAAGCATGTTGAGTAATCTGTCTTGAATTGTCTTGAGCAATGGTGGAATATATTTGGCTATATCCCTCAAAGCGCTGATTAAGGATTCAGACAGATCAGTGCTAAAGATCTCCCCTAAAAGCTCATGTACATGCTTTGCTAGAGATGGACCGATAGCGGCTGCAAGTTTTCCCAAACATTGCAGTATTGCGTCTTCTGGTACAACTGAGCCCTTCTTTGAACGTTGACGAAGTTGTTCGTCGATTGTGAACATCGCACTGTCCATATAATCCTTCATAGCACTTCCAACAGCACTTGATACGTGCCCAACGGCGTTGTAAGCTACAGTTCTTTCTCTTTCCTTTCTGATTGCGCTCATGAGATGACCCATACTCATTCTGAGTTTCGTATGTGAGAACGCCTGTGGATCGTAGGTTGCCAAGGTTGGGATCAGAAGAATAACAGTCTTGCGAATCAAGAAATCTCTGTGATCTTTATAGCGCAAAATGAGATCACAAACGTCACCGAAACGTGGTTTCAAAAACATTCCTGCGTGTAAAAGCAAGTCTCTATAGACTAAAAGAGAAGCGTGAATGGTATCGATGGTGTTCATTTTAAGGCCCGCTTCTGCTTTAGCATAGATTGAGTGCTGTATATCATTTCTATTCTGTGCTTTGCGACGCTCGAGGATGATCAAACAAGCTGATAGTGCGTCTGATGCAGCTTCTCTAATGGTGACTTTTGGGTCTCTGAGGGCGATCCAGATGCGGTCTATCGCTCTTGTGACGAAGGTGTTAAACAAGGCAGGGCTATTCTGAGCCAATTCTTTGATAATCAAGACAGCGGCATATCTTCCGCTTTCGGATCTGTCTCCAGTGAGTAACTCGAGCGCACGTGGTGCTTCGAAATCGATGAATTGTTCACCGAGGAAAGCACCTCCAACGCGTGCGATGTGACCTATAGATATTTGTTAGACCAATAGTGTAGTAAATGGGCAAGCGCACCTAAACACTGAGATGCGGCTATCATGACGTTCATATCATTGCACGGGAGGGCGGGTTTCAAGTAGTTATAGAATCTATATAGCCGCTGCTTCTCTACTTCAATATCTAAGAGTACATCTGGGCGCTGTTAGTGCGTCATCTCTCGATAGGTCAGCACCTACCAATTGCGACGATTCCACCGAGCTTTTCGTGTGGATGGCTGCTATTTATTAATTCGAACAATCTGCGCATGACCTCAGATTGTAGTTTGGCTACAGACTCAGCGCTGAGCTCTGCATTGCAGGTGATAAACTATGACTGTGAGTTGTTGGAGATAACTAGAGATAGACGCACAAATTGCTGTAATTCGTGTGCAGCCTCTTTACGTAATTTACTATCTCTACTACGCAAGCCCGCAAATACGCGGACTAAAGCGTCAATGTACATCTCGTATTTCGTAGGTGGCTGTCGCTGTTGAACAGCTACAATGATAAGCGGCTTGGGCAAATTAGCCGACAAAAGCCCTCTCAATAAGCCGATATTCAGAAGCTTGTGTGGTTTAGATATTAAATTAGGTTGGTTTTCTATTCAGTGATTTAGTCGATGCACTGACTGCTGATTTAGGATGCACAATTATCACAGCATTTGCCTTATTCAATAAAGTCGCAGGCGTTTATGGCGTAAATGTCATTTTCACAGGCGGTACTTTCGCCCAACTTAGTATGTACCTCTACAGCGTCGGTACTCTCGCTGTCTTCGTTTGGGGTTTGAAGCAGATTTCAGAGGAAAATCCTAGTAATTCATTAGCATACGCGAATTTATTCGCCATAGATCACATCATATCAACAATCTACTCCTTGATTTTCTTCAAGCATTGGTACATCGACGAACCACACGACGGTCGGCGGGCAGACGTAGGCGACCTTACTAAGGGCTGGGGTGGTGTCGCCCATCAGGACCTTACAGAGTTAGAGAGGGTCGCTGCAGCTGAGGAAGTCTGGGGACGCGAGAAGGTCTTTGCTGCACTCGTTCTGCTTAGTGGATTCATCGCAAAGTTATACTTTATATTGATCATTTACTCCTTCAGTCTGTCCTTGATACAGGGGACGTACTATAATAACAACCAGCAAACTAATAGAGCTAACTATAGGAATGTTCAAAATGAATAGATAGATAGATTACATCGAGTGGTGGTCTGTTTTGTTTGACAGCTTCTTAGAAGCCATCTTGGAATTGTTTGATTTTTAATGCATAGTAAGCACCGCTAGCCAATCCGAGAGCAGTCAAGAACTGTGGTAGTCTGGCACCCTTTCTTGCTCTTCTGATTGATGAGAGTGTGAGGAGTGCCGAGCTAGCTAAGGCGGCTTCATGGCCATAGTCACGGTTTTCTTGTATCAAGAATCCGCTACCAGCTGTTATAGTTAGTGAAACATCCTGTAATCTAATGAATACGCACCGAATGCAACTGAACATATCAATCCACCAATCAATGAGGCCTTGCTGCCTTTCTTCAAGAATCCAATGGTACCTTTAGCCAAGATAAGCTTTATATTGTATTATCATACACACTAACCTCCCAAGCCAGTCAATCCAGCGAGTGTGTAAGCAGGGTGGTGTGACATCCTCGTGGTTCAGAAACTAGAGAAGGAAGTAGAAAAAAAACAGACAGCAGATATTTTAATGTGTATAAATAGGCATTAATTATTTTTGAGTATGCAATTGGGGAGTTTTGTCTTGTAATGATTCTGTCTCAAACGTTAGATAAGAAATCGACGAGGAGAGGACTGACCAGAGTTCGATTTGTATTGCATTTCTAAATTAGCAGGTGTTTGGTTAAGTGCCTTGTATATTTCTTCCCTGTTGGGCGTCAGTGTGTGTCTTCTCTTTTAGCAGTTGACGCACTTCACACTATCGATCAACAGTGGATCTTCTCTCTTAATCCATACACTAATTATATCCTCCGCAGCTCTAATTGAGACGACAGCACCACAAATGTCATCTGTGCCGCCCGCTATACTACCACCAATGATGGCGAGCACGAGATCCTCCCAGAGCTGATCGACAATGCCCTTCTTCAGCCTGAGTATCCATTTACCACCTTTTATGTTCTCTGGATCTTCCCATACAGGTCTGACCCCGGAGCGGAAGAGCTGGTAATCTGTAACAACTGGTAGCGTAGATGGAGGATTAAGGTATGAGTAGGTATTCCAGAACGATTCTACCTAAAAAGCTGTTACTTTCAATATCGACTACGGCAATTTAACTAACGGAATCAAATGAAGCTACTTTTATCAAATCTTTCTCATAATCGACAATCTTCGATGAAGGTGGTCTGTGTATTCCCCATACCGTCCATGGTGTTCTCAAAGCGAGCGTCATCGTCGTACAGTTGGAAGTCACTTCTTTAGAAACAATATGCATCTCATCACACTCGCAACGTTAGTAAAGACTTAAAATTAAATTTAAACCTAACGATCTTATAGCTGGTAACTATATCAGTATTCTCATATATTTCATCTCTCATTTCACTCATTAGTTCGCTAAATCAGTGGGCTTTAGACTTTCAAGTGTGTTACTTGGCTATTTTAGTCCGTATAGTTAATATATTAATAGGGGAATTACGAAAGGATCTTGGAAAGTATCAAAATTGCTAAATCTCGCGGCGCTTCTCTTCGTGTTGGTCCTGAATTAGAGATAACGTATGTTCACTCCAATTATTTCATCATCCATCTAAATTGCTGTTATATAGTGGGTATGGTTGTCTAGATCACCACCTAGAGGGTGGGTATACCTCTTCCTATCTAACATCTCCCATTGATAAGAATCAGGTGACACAATCCTACATTCTTGGGAAATCTTAGCCAAGTTGCTCAAAGATAAGGAGACACATGGCATTATTTCGGATATTGGTATGCCAGTTAGACACAAAAATGTGAATTACAACTGCAGGGTTATCGTAAATGACGGTAAAATTGTCTTGATCCGTCCAAAGATGTGGATGGCTAACGATGGAAACTATCGTGAGATGAGGCACTTCACGCCATGGTTAAAGCATCGCCAAACGGAGGATTTCTTTTTACCTCGCATCATTCAGTCAACAACTGGACAGACTACCGTGCCTATTGGTGATGTCGTCATGTCGACGCTCGATACATGTGTTGGTGTCGAGCTTTGCGAGGAGCTCTTCACTCCTGGTGCACCACACGTTAACATGGGCTTAGATGGTGTCGAAATATTCACCAACTCCTCCGGCAGTCATCACGAACTTCGCAAACTGAACCGCCGTTTCGAGCCAATAAAGGAGGCTACTCTGAAGGTATGTCACGACGAGTTTCTTCTTGGTATTACTGAACTCAAACCAGCTCGGTGGTATCTATCTCTACGCTAACCAACGCGGTTGCGATGGTGACAGGTTATATTATGACGGTTGTGCCATGATCTTAATGAATGGCGAGGTTATCGCACAAGGTCCTCAATTCGCGCTCACAGACGTCGACGTTGTCACTGCTACTGTCGACATTGAAGACGTCCGCTCAAGTCGCACATCAATCAGCCGTAATCTTCAAGCAGCACAGAGCCAGCCTATGCCACGTGTACATGTACCAAAAGCTCTATCGTATGGCATTGGAGAGAACTTCCTCGCTGCTGATCCATCACGTCCTACTGAACTCAGAATACACCAACCTGAAGAGGAGATTGCGTAAGTAAGCTTTAACTACCAATATAGTCGCTTAATATGTCACAGTCTGGGCCCTGCTTGCTGGTTATGGGACTACCTCCGTAGATCCCGTACTCAGGGCTACTTTTTGGCGCTTAGCGGTGGTATAGATTCCTGTGCGACCGCGACTATCGTGAGCTCAATGTGTAGACTCGTAGTTAAAGCGTGTCAGAACAAAGGTATGCTGAAATGACTGCCATATCTGCTCATTACTAAATCTGGCATAAGAACAGCAAGTGCTTGACGACGTTAGAAGAATCACAGGCGAGCCTGAAGGATCGACCTACGTTCCAGATGATCATCGCGAATTGTGCAACAGAATATTTTACACTTCCTACATGGGTACTGAGAACTCGAGCGCTGAGACACGCCAGCGTGCTAAAGATCTCGCGGAAGATATTGGAAGGTATGTCATGACGTCTGCATTTGGTTAATTGTATTCACAATATTATAGTTACCATGTCGACATAAACATCGACACGATCATCGCTGCTATCACTGACTTGTTCGGTGTCGCTACAGGTTTGAAGCCAAAATTCAAGGTGCACGGCGGGAGCTATGCTGAGAACATTGCCTTGCAGAATATACAAGTGGGTAAGAACTTAGCTTTTGAATAGACTAACGATAATCCAAGGCGCGCTTGCGTATGTTGCTTTCATATCTTTTCGCTCAATTGCTTCCATGGGTGCGTGGTAGAGTGGGTGGTTTACTGGTCTTGGCTAGCAGTAACGTGGACGAATGGTAGGTTGTTATGCCCTTTTTTGTTTGGTTCTAACTTAAGCTTAAGCCTTCGCGGATACTTGACCAAATATGATTGTTCAAGCGCAGATCTCAATCCAATCGGTAGTATCAGTAAGACTGACTTGAAGAGATTTATTGGATGGGCTCAAACAGAGTTTGATCTGCCAATTCTCGAACAGTAGGTTTAGCTTTACTGCAGACAATTTATCTAACCAGATTTAGTTTCTTGAATGCCACACCTACAGCCGAACTCGAGCCAATCACTCAAAACTATGTGCAATCTGATGAGGTGCGTTGTTGTTGATTGAATTATCTAGCTAACAAACTCAAGGCTGATATGGGAATGACATGTAAGTTGATCATTGAGACATTCTTTTTCTAACATGAAGCAGATGATCAACTCTCAGTATTTGGAAGACTTCGCAAGGTGGACAAGTGTGGTCCTTACAGTATGTTTACAAAACTACTCGCAGAATGGAAAGACACTATGTCACCAACTGAAGTGAGTCTGGTATGCCAAATGAATATCTCACTCAATCCACGTAGATTGCTGAAAAGGTCAAGAAGTTCTGGTTTGAATACTCACGTAACAGACACAAGATGACAACAATGACACCATCTTACCATGCTGTGAGTTTCTACGTACACTCGCCATACAATAGAGAACTTAGCCTTCTTTAGGAGAGCTACTCACCGGATGACAATCGATTCGATCTCCGTCCATTCCTCTATAACGCGAGATTCCCATATCAATTCGACAAAATCGATGCAACGGTAAAGCGTGTTGAAGAGATAAACGAGCAACAACCAAAGGAGAAATAAATAAGTAATAATTATATATAGTATACAAATAAACGATTGTAACGATCAATACGATCTTTAACGCCTCATTGAACTACGGCCTTTCTTTCCAATTACTGGACTACTGTAGTATGAAATTGGGGTGCCCGAAGTAGGTGAAGTCAGAGCATCTGGTGGAATAGCAGGCAAATCTGAATCTTTGAGGTAAGGATATGGAGAGCTCTGCTTCGGTGATCTCTTATTCTTCGCTGGTAAGCCAGTCATCCAGGGTTTGACTGGAGGCATAATTGGTGAGTTTCCAGGTGTCCACTGTCTCATTTTTGGCTTGTTCAACTGTGACTCCCGCTGTTGCTGTTGAAGTTGACGCAAGTTCGTTATCTTTGTAGGAGCAGTCGTGTATTTGTCAAGCACTGGTGCAGGAAGTGGTTTCATATCCTTGAGTGAGCTATTTGAGGACTTCAGTGAAGATGTTGAAGTGCTTGCTAATGAGCCGTCCTCAGATTCCATCATTTGTTGTCTAGCTTTAACTCTTCGTCTGTAACACTTGAAGAGTGAGACACAAATGATTAATAAGACAGCGGAAACGAAGACGGCAATTGTTATCGGCAGGACTGTCATGCCTTTAACGACCAAACCTTTATGCTCGTTTGCTTCGAAATCTCTCGCGCGTATTATCCGTCCTAAGATTCTTTGTTAGTCTTTTACTTAAACTAGTCATCATTTCCCACCTTGAGATTCCACCGGTGGTTCTAAATTAGTTTCATTCAGATCACTACCACGTGGAGCAATATTTGCAAAAGGTTTCAGCAAGTTTGGCATCGTTGGTAAGCTCGGGTCGCTCCAGGCGTCGGCTAAATTAAAAGGAGACTGTCTAAACATCGACTCTTGTTTAAATGTTGGTTCGAACCAGCCGAACTTTTTGACTTGCGCATCAAGTGGATGTTGGCAATCTACGTGTATTGCTGGCATTTTTCGCAAATTATAATAACGCAACCAGGCGTATGTCAAAGAATGTGTAAGAGCTTTTGTTGATATTTAGTGAGTATGTCTCCTTTCCTTTGAGATGCCAGCTCTCAGAAATTTAGCTTTAGGTTTATTAGAACGTGAATGAACCTGATTAAGACCTGCCGAGGACGAAATCGAAACTAGTCTCAAAATTTTAGCGTATCTTTCCGTTTTTGGAAGGTGTGGACGCGTAAATTAATTTTCGTGATTGGAGTCCTCATTTTTGTTATAAACTGATAGTGTTTTATCTAGACCTACTTTCCTAGCTTGTTTGAGTATGTCGATCATCGCCTTGTCTATGTCATTGCTATGGACATCTCCTTTTTCGAGAATAATAGAAGGATAAAATACATAAGTCCAATCTGGTTAAAAATGCGATCAACATAAAGTCATTCAACCGTTGGGAAATTTTGACATACCTCGGAGAATAAGATCGTCGGCGCCACCTCTGGTGGTCACCATAGATTGTTCGATAACTGATGTAACGCATTTACGTATTCTTTTGCGCAATCTGTTGCGTATGACTGCTTTTTTTGAGGTATACGCAATTGGTGTGATAACAACCAAAGGGAGTTCAGCAACGTTGACTCTCTTAAATCCATAACCATCCTGTCTGCCTATCGCATCCAAATAGAGCCAATAGCGGAGACCAAAGTCATTATGAGGAAATGGCAGTGAATCGAGCTTCGTTCGTACCAGACTTTCGGTTTTCGATGGTGGGAGTATCTTTAATGTGAAGTAGCTATGCTGGAATGTATACATCCCTCTATCGCCCAGGCTACCGAGGTTTACAGCGTATCCAAACGACAATATCTGAGGAGACGTATGAAAGGGCAGTTATAGAAGAAAGTAAACTTACTTTAACTTTTGGTTTAAACTGTTCAAGTAATTTTAAAGCATTTCTCATTATTTCCTACACCTTCACTGTCTTCTCGTAACAGGCTTCTTCTTCCGCTACGACAATGGCATTCAATTTGACTGTACCACCAGCGACTAACCCTGCGCCATTTGGCGTTATTGGTTTAGCGCAATATTTATCCACCCCAAAGAGTGACTCAATTCCATTCGAATACACACAAATCGATGCAAAAACTGATTTCAACGGCGAAGTCAAGTCTTTGTCTTTGAAGGATAACCAAGGCACTGAAATCACAGACGCTAACACTATTCTTTCTGTTCTCGGTCGCGCTGGAAATGTCGCAGGTCAATCTGAAGACAAAGGTTTGGTAGAGGCATACCAATCAGACGCTCTCGCATTGAGCAAGCAACCATTCCCACAGCTTACGGAATCACTCAACAAGCTTGATGATTTGCTCTACTTGTGCTCTTTCCTCGTCGGATACGCACCAACTGTCGCAGATTTCGCTATCTGGGGTGCAATCAAGTGTGAGTAGAGACTATCAGAAATGATGCATTTTGACAGTTTACAGCATCACCACTCGCTCTTGGTATCCTCAAGAAGAACCAACATCTCAACGTCGTTAGATTTTTGGCTTTCTTCGACACACTCTGTCAATCATCATTGCAAACACTCGCAGCATCAAAGTCTAAGAAAGCTTCTTCTAAGCAAGCTGCAGGTGGTTTCAACATGGGATTGAAGAACGCAGAGCAAGGCAAAGTTGTTACTCGTTTCCCACCAGAACCATCTGGATATCTCCACATTGGACACGTTAAAGCAGCCATGTTGAACGACTACTTTGCTAAAATGTACAATGGTACACTTAGAATCAGACTTGATGACACAAACCCAGTCAAGGAGGATCAAGAATACCAAGACGTCATTCTCGAAGATCTCAAAATGATGAACATTGAATCAAAGTTGATCACATTCACTTCAGATTACTTCCAATTGCTCTACGATAAGGCGATCGAAATGATCAAGCTTGGTAAAGCTTATGCTGATGATACACCAGCTGAGGAACTCAAGACATTAAGACTCAACCGTCAAGCATCTAAGCATCGTGACATGCCAGTCGAAGAGGTTCTTGCACGCTTTGAAGAGATGTCTAAGGGTACTGAAGAAGGTTCCAGATGGGTCCTTCGTGCTAAGATTGACTATGCATCTGATAATGGTACTTTAAGAGATCCAAACATCTACAGAGTCGTGCCACATGCAGACCACCACCGTACAGGTACACAATGGAAGGTTTACCCACTTTACGATTTCTGTATGCCAATTGTTGATTCCGTCGAAGGCGTTACACACGCTTTGCGTTCAAATGAATACCACGAACGTAACCCACTTTGTGAGTGAAATCGTTTTACCATAGGGTACCCCTACTGACAAGTTACAGATAACTGGGTTGTTGACACTCTCGGTATGCGCAGAGCCGAAATTTGGGACTTCGGTAGAATGAACTTCACCTACACACTCTTGTCAAAGCGTAAACTTGGTAAGCTCGTCGAAGCAGGTTCAGTAAAGGGCTGGGATGACCCACGTTTCGCGACTGTTAGGGGTATCCTCAGAAGAGGTATGACTGTTGAAACTCTTCGTGAATTCATCTTGTTGCAAGGTCCTTCACAAGCTATTGTCAATCTCCAGTGGGACCAAATTTGGTCAATGAACAAGCAACGTATTGACCCAGTCATCCCTCGTTTCACAGCTTGTGAGAAGAAGAATGTCGTAAAAGCAACAATTAATGGTGCGCCAACTACACCAGAAGTTAAGGAGTTCCCAAGACACGCTAAGAACCCAGAAGTCGGTAAAAAGAACGTTACATTCTACAACGAAGTATTGATCGATCAAGAGGATGCTAAATCATTCGACGATGGTGAAGAGGTTACACTCATGGCTTGGGGTAACGCTATCCTTAAGTCTAGAGAATACGACAGCAATGGTGATGTAACATCACTTAACTTCGATTTACACCTCGAGGGTGACTTCAAGAAGACTAAGAAGAAGATCACATGGTTGGCACAACCAGAGAATAATGAATTGGTTGATGTTAAGTTAATGGATTATGACTATTTGATCAACAAGCCACGTCTTGAAGAGAGCGACAATCTCGAAGAATTCTTGACACCAGTTACTGAGTTCATTACAGAGGCTATTGCAGATGCTAACGTCAAGACACTCAAAAAGGGTGACAGATTCCAATTCGAAAGAAAGGGATACTTCATCGTTGATGCTGTCAACGCCGACGGTTCATTCGACATGATCAAGATTCCAGATGGTAGAGTTGCTTCAACTATCTCCAAGGGTGATGAGAAGGCTCAAGCTAAGGCAGCAGCTCAACCAAAGAGAGACAAGAGAGAGAAGAACAAGCAACCAGTCAAGGGAGGTAACGCACCATCAATAACTGATAGCGCACCTACCCAAGCAATGGAATATCTCTCCTTGAGTGAGAAAAGTGAAGGATTTGAGATCCCAGTAAAGTCAAAAATGTACAACGTTGGTAGCATCTATGGAGAGGGAAAGTTAGAGACACCAGTAAAGACAGAAATGTTTGCAGTTGATCCAATCTACAAAAAGTAAATTATTCATTTGGATATTTAACATTTTCGGTTTATAAATTTCATTTCAAACAAATTTCGTTAAAAATATTGCGCTTAAGATTCGAAAGTGAAAGCAGCGCCAATCTTGTGAGCAGAAGGACCAGCGGAGGTGTCGTTAAGACGTTGAGTGTCGAGAGCCAAACCGAATGAAGCCTTAACACCAGGACGGAGAGCTTGAGTGTAACCGAGTGCCAAAACACCAGCGTTGTTGATCTTTGACTTGACGAAAGCGGCGTTGTCGAGGTAAGTCTTAGCACCGACTTCGAGGTTGACTTTTGATGGGCCGACCTTGGTGTCGTAGATGGCCTTAGCGCCAGCTTCGACATCGCGTGAGACACGGTGGTAATAAGAAGCGGCGAAGACGTTCAAGTTGTTCAAACCGTGGAGGGTGACGGCGTATTCTGGGGCGGAGTAACCGACAGCAGCTGCGTACTTTGAGATCTTGCCGTCTTGAACAGAGTAAGAGGCTTCACCACCAGCCAAGAAGCCGTCTTTGCCGACAACGCTGTCGAGGGTGAAGGTAGGACCCTTGAAGAGATCGAGGAAGGCGCGTCCGTGCAAACCTGGTTGCTTGTAGATAGCAGCAGCAAGGGCTGACTTGCCACCGCCGTTTGGTAACAAAGAAGATTGGATGTCCAACTTCAAGCCCTTTGCGATGTTGTTCTCCAACTCAAGTTGGGATTTCAAAACGTTGGAGGTTGTCCAGCCTTGGGTGAAGATGACGCCCTTTGCAGCGTCGACGTATTTACCCTCGATGTCGCCGTTGATGGCGGCGGACTTAGAGTCGCGCAAACCAGCGACCTTGAAGGTGACGTTTGAACTGGAATAGTCTGAGCAGAGAATAGAGAAAGAAGCTAAGAACGCACGGTGTCTTTGTCTTGACTTCTAATTGGGTGCCGTTGATTGGGAAATCTGGGTCTGTGAGATGACGAAAAGAGGGAGAGAAGAGACGCACCCTTGTTGAGCAAATCACTAGCGCTCTTTGAGAGATCTTTCCATGATGGTGGTACTGCTGCAGGTGCTGACATTTTAGTAGGTATTAAAGAAAGGAGTGAATTAAATCCAAGTTTGAGTAAAAAAACATGAAAAAATAAGTAAAAACTATTTAATATCTAGTTAGCTAGATGGCTGCTGCTTATTTACAAATTATCCTTCACTCTTGCTTTTACCCTGTGTGACGCATGCACCCCGCTAATGAAGTTGAGAACAGAAGGATCGCTTGGTAGTGTTCTGTGTGCATATCTTATATGAATATCTTCGTTATATACATTCACGGTAATCGTCTTCTTACGATTTTACTCTCCCTCTCTCCTTGTTCCCCACTACATCGGAAATTGCAAGGAACAATAGAGAGTCCACAGTTCCAGTATGGAATCCATATTAGAACCCGCTGAAACGCGGTATTTATGGGTTTATTACATATTTCAATTGGTAGCCTCTGCTGGACACCTTTTCCTCGCCTTGTTAACGATATTCTCGCGGCAAATTGCGGGAAATGGCGTTATGTTGAACTTTTATGGTATATTCTCTGTGACACTCTTCTTTGACGCTATATTGCTCTATACCGGACATATTTATCACAAAACGGATAGTATACCCTCGTCTATAAGAATAATAAATGCTTCTATAAGGTGGGTAGATAACGCGTTTATGTCTTTTATAACACAGTATTAGAATGTCTGGTATGTTAGCAAACGCTTGCACTACTCTCACCGTAGTTATGCGTGTCTTCACAAGTGTGAACGCAGCATTAGGCACTCCTTTGGCCAAATATCTAGTCAGAATTACAGACACAATACTCATAATTATCCCATGGACTGTCTCAGTACCCTTCCTTATTGCTTACCTCGTACAAACGATCAGCAATCCTGAGAAAGTCGTGCGAACAAAGTACTTCTGTAGTTTCGAAGGCGCAACCATCACAGAAGTGACTTCTAATTTGACATTAGCGCTTATGTCACTACTACTCGTCCTAGCCGTACTCACAGCAGTACTACTTATCAGATTACGCATTAGTCAACATGGTCTGGTGTATATAAACACAAGCACAGATTTGGTTATTGGTTGCCGTATTCTATTGTTCGGTTTGTACAGTCTCACAACTGTAACAATTCTCAGTGGCACACTCAACCATCGCTGGTCAGGATTCAGTGATGGTCCAACATTAACTTTCGCTTTAACTGGGTTCTGGGCATTCCTGTTGTTTTTTATACAACCTGACACTTTTGACGCCTTAAAAACATGCTTCGGTTTACGCAGGAAACATAGAAGACCGTCATTCTCAAGCATCACCGCGAGCAGACCACAACAACCGATGGAGTTCTCACCTGTAGGGTCACCAATGTTATCACCAACTTTGGGCGAATTCGGAGAACTCAGAAGCGATGATTTTAGCCTCAATAACAACAAAATGGGCACCTGGTCGAGTGTACCACGGGTCCACCATAGAGAGCGATCTATCGATCGTATAAAGGAAAAATAATAGGATCTTCATTCGATCTTGCATAATTTCTTTCGAACATTTTTGGATAATCTTCACCTTTCACTTTCGTTGTATTAAAAATTAATCTATGTATTTTGTTTGTTGACGTCTATGTCTTATTTGATAAGGTTACCACTAGAACGTTCTCCATTATATTTCAGAAGATTTCCTTCAAGTTGCTCTAGATTACATACAGTCATGTCTGCATCTGAATTCTACAATTTGAAAGCTGAGAAACCAAATGGACAGGAGTACAGCTTTGATACTCTCAAGGACAAAGTCGTATTAGTCGTAAACACTGCTAGTGAGTTCTCTTTTAACTTTGTAATAATCAACTAATTGTGGATTCTAGGCAAGTGTGGCTTCACACCACAATACACTGGTTTAGAAGAGCTCCACCAGAAGTACAAAGACAGGGGCTTGGTTGTGTAAGTTATAACTCTTTCTGATTACGTAATCCCCTTACCGGTTATATTAGCTTGGGATTCCCGTGCAACCAATTTGGTGGCCAGGAGCCTGGTACAGACGATGACATTGACAACTTCTGTAAAATTAACCACGGCGTTAGCTTCCAATTATTCAAGAAGTCTGATGTAAACGGTGATAAGACAAATGAAGTTTTCAAGTACCTCAAAGATAAGAAATCTCAATTGGGATTGACCAGGATAAAGTGGAAGTGAGTTTCTATTCTTTCTACCTTTTCTTTCCGAACTTACTCGCCACCAGCTTCGAGAAATTTTTGGTTGACAAGCAAGGAAACGTCGTGAACAGATACTCATCAATGGCTAAGCCATCAGACATTGGTAACGATGTTGAGAAGCTCCTTTAAAGTTTGTTTTAAAAATAAATTTTTCGTAAAACTACATTAATATAATTACGTCATTATCTCTAAAAACACATCGATCAAGATGGTCAAAGTATTAGTTACAGGTGCATCAGGCTTGCTCGGTAGAGCAATTTTAGATAACTTTTCAAACGATGGTTCCATTCAAGTTACCGGTTTGGCTTACTCTAGATCAAGCGATAAACTCATCAAGTGTGATTTGAACGACGAGAAAGCGATTGAGGGCGTCATCAGAGAGCAGCAACCGGATGTATTAATCCATTGTGCAGCTGAACGTAGACCAGATGTCGCACAGAATGATCCTGCAGCTACAGAGAAGCTCAACGTTGATGTCTCTGGTAATTTATCAAGATTGATGAAGAATATCGGCGGTAGTATCATTTACATCTCAACCGATTACGTATTCGACGGTACAAAACCACCATACACTACCACCGACACACCAAATCCACTCAATCTCTATGGTAAGACAAAGTTAGCGGGTGAGAAGGCAGTCACACAAAATAACGACAAGAGTGTTATACTCAGAGTACCAGTTTTATATGGAAGAGTTGAAAATACTAAAGAAAGCGCCGTAACTATCCTCATAGATGCTGTAAAGGAAGGCAAAGCTAAAAAGATGGAACACTATGCTAATAGATTCCCTACTAATGTTGATAATGTCGCGATCGCGCTCAATGCTTTAACAAAGAATATCCAAAAAGTTCCACAAATTGTTCATTATAGCTCAAGAGAAGCGTACACAAAGTATGAAATGGCATGTACATTTGCAGAAATACTCGGATTACCATCAGACCATCTTATCGCTGATACAGAAGAACCAACTGGGGATGCAGCAGTTTCAAGACCAAAAGATTGTCAACTTTCGAGAGACAGTTTCGATAAATTAAATTTAAACGTCGATGATAACCTTTCATTTAAAGAATTTTTTATTAAATTCCTTAATTAGTAAATAAATTGATTTTTTATTTTCATTCTAGTCAACCGGATTGAGCATCCTCCTAATTGAACAGATTAGAACGTGAAATATGCTTATTTTATTGGCGCTTTTAAGTGTAATTTCCGTCGTATTATCGGATAGACCATACAGCGATGACCTCGTCGGTACTTGGTCCTCTGGTTCTGGTGGTGTTCAGACTGGTACAGGTTTCTGTACACCATCAGAGTACAGCTTTAACGTACCAGATACAACTGGCATTTCTTATTCGTTCACTAAGGATGGTTTCTACGAGGAGTCCACTTATAAATTCAACAGCAACGCGTCCGCACCACAATGTATACAAGCAGTATTGATTTGGCAACACGGTACATACGTTATCAATGACGATAATGGTATTGATACCACACCTATTGCTGAAGATGGTAGAATACAAGTTGAGGACCCATGTGCTGCATCGTCAAACGTCTTAACAACAGCAAACATAACGAGAAATTTCCAATCTTTCTTGCCATTTGATGATCCAGTAAAGGATAAGAAAGCTTTACAACTCTACGATTTCGATGGTAGTTTATTAGCGCCAATGTATTTGATATCAAAATCACCAAATATGTTACCAACAGGTTCAATAACTAACGGAAATAGGAAGAGAGATGTCAATAGTGATATGGAAGAAATCTTGGAAGAAAGATTCCTTGAGAAGAGAGCAGGTGGTGGAGGTAGAGCAAGTGGTGGTAAATCCAGTGGTAGTGGTAGTAAAGGTGGCTATGCAGGCGCAGGCGGCCACTCAAGTGCATCTAGATACTCACATTCACTATTCGCTGTATTATTATTATCAGCAGCTATATTAGTTATTATATAATTTTTATTTAATTTGTAAAATTACCCAATTGGACAATCTATTATTGCCTCGGCTTTTTAAGACATTACAATGACAAAATATACGCTGTCCTCATCTGGGAAGAGTAGTTTTGATCCTTTCAGTGCTTATTCAACTGATTTAAATTTAACTGTACATTCATCGGGAATGTTATCGCCAAAAGAGCCCGAAATGCGAGTCGACATACTCGAGAATAACTCAGCTATCGCTACTTTAAGGTTATGTTTGATTACAGAAAGTTCAGAATTGCGTGATTGTGCAACACGCGATGATATGGTTAAACAGGAGTTGGATATTCTCCCTGGTACTGATATAAGAATGGTGTCTTGCTCACCATTTGAATTGCGTTGTGATAAAAAACCACCCGTATCATTCGTCGGTGGTAATGTAAGCCTATTCTTTTTTTTATTCGCTTTAACTCACCCCGCAGATCCGATCACAAGATTCGTCATATCCATTAGCGACTTTTAGTCAAACAAAAAGTGGCATTTTCAAGAAATCCACAGGCACAGCTGATTTAACCATATATAACATGTCAGCTGTTGCACCAGCAGTGTGTTTTATACTCATCATCGCTAGTAAAGCTTATCAAGCATGTGTTTGGAATAAGAATCTAGATGATCTAGCTAAGCAACATGATTTAACACAGTATGATAGAGCTCAAGGGATGATTTTTAGTTCGGCTGGAGCTGTAAGTAATATTTTCATATCTTGCCTGACTAAAACATAAAAGGCGGGTGCTGTTTAATAGAGATCTGTCTATTTTTGTCGCGCACCAGTTGTGAAGTCATTCCATTGTAACAAAAAGTTCGTCGTATCTAAATAAATACAATAAATAAAGCATATCGAACATTATACTAGCACCTTCTCATGCGAAGTTGCGCTTAGCTTCAGCTTTGTCTTCCTATTAGAGTGACTCAGTTAGATTCATGCAACTTGAAAGGAACTAACCTTAGCTGCACCTTTGGCTTGCTGTTCTTTGTCGCCGGTGACTGCACCGAATACGTTTTGGGCCTTCGCTTGCACACCTTCAGTAGCACCTTCTGTGTATTGCTTCGCGGTGGCGGCTTGCTTCTCAGCTTCGCCAGAGCTATGAGTGTGTTAGCTGGCTATACAGTCATTAACGTGACATACGCATGTTGCTTGGCACCACTCTCTTTCAGTGATTCGTAACCGAGGATGTTACCGGCAGATTCTTTCAAATTTCCTGTGATTGAATCGTAGTTGGCGTTGAATTTGCTTGGTTCTCCACTCACTGAGTGTTGTTAGATTAAATGTATATTTATTTTGCAAAAACTCACTTTCAATTGTGATGGTTAATAGAAAAGGCTATGCTAGAATGTTTCACACCTAGATAATGATATCACTTTAATTATCACGTGTGAAATCACGGAAACGAACGAAGAATATGTTAGCCAAATAAAATCTTTATAATATTTTACATCCAACTTAAGTGTTATTGCTTATAATTCATCTCGGATTTTGAAATCTACAATAGAAATAACTTAATCAACAGTGACAACAATTTTACCTGTATTTTCGTTGTTTGACATACAATCATGCGCAGCCGCAATATCGGTCCACTTGAATACCTTATGAATTTTCAAATCGAACGTCTTGCCAACTTCTGCGAGAGCGCAATTTTTGAAGTCCTTGAGAAGACCGCCTTGATATTCTGCAGGACGAGAACGCAATGTTGATCCCTCAATGTGCAGTCTCTTAAAGATAATAGGTCCGATGTTTACCTCTTTGGCTACCATTCCACTCAAAACACCAAGCATAATCATATGTCCATCCTTAGCGAGTGCGTTGATATTAGCATTGAAATAAGACTGACCGACCATGTCAACAATGATATCAACACCTTTGTTTTGCGTAGCTTTGAGTACCTCTTCATCGAATTTTTGAGTACGATAGTTCACACCATGCGTGGCACCTAAAGGAAGACTCTTTGTGGTGTTCAATTTGTCATCTGATCCTGCAGTAGTGAATACATTTTTACTATGTATTTGTATGAGTATATAATGTCGCACTACGAAAGTAATAACTCACGCGCCGTAATGTCTAGCGAGTTGGATAGCAGCCATACCTACACCAGATGCACCTGCATGTATAAGTACATCGCTTCCTGGCTTAATTTTTCCAATAGTCTTGATTGCTTGGTGGGCAGTTAAGTAGTTCTCGCATATACCGGCTGCTTGGATATGAGTAAGGTAGTCCGGTTTTTCTAGGATCATATTTTGATCAGCCGCTATATATTCCGCATATGCACCTCCATATGCCAATCCAAAAACCTCCTGATCAATTTTCCAGCTTGAGTTCTCAGAGACGTCGACAATCACACCCGAGAATTCAACACCTAATGTTTTTGGCGCTTGCGGTGGTAATGGATAGAGACCTCTGGCTTGCAGGAGATCCATCCTGTTGACACCGAATGCAACGATTTTTACGAGAACTTCGCCTGATTTTATCGTTGGCTTAGGAATTGTTGATAATTTTAAATCGTTGTTTGATTTTGCTATTTCATTTGGTGTATCTACTACTACCGCACGCATTTCCGTCATGATGGTTGCTTACTAAACTAATCTTTTCATGATGTCATCATTCATAAGCGAAATATTGTCCATTAGAATATTTTGGCTTAACAAGCTGTCTAGTATAGGTGCATTGAATTATTTTCATTCGACTCAAACCTTTAATAGGAAGTCAGCATAGATAGCAGGAATTAACGTCATATATGATGACATACATAAAGTCATTGCCGAGAAAATTATCGAATGAGATAATGAAGGATATTTCATCTGATAGATATACCGTGATGCAAGTTACCGGAAGCATTGAGAATGTTGCATCATTTTTACCTCATTTGGCGTTAATAACATCAATTTTCAGAATCTGGAACAACATACACATTTAGGAATAACAACACCGGCGACTAATTGCATAAGAAGTATCTGCTTCGCCTGATTGTGTGATCCACAATGGAGCTTATAACTCGCCATTGACATAATTAATGACGTTTTTCCACTCCACGGATAGTATAAATACAGTCGCTTGTTAATGTTTATCTTTAACTTTCACAAGTAATCAAATTATAGTAAGTTAGTTACAACAGTAACAATAACAAGTTGACAAATTTAAGTACAATGTCCACAGACCCATCAAAGACTAACGCACAATACAACTCAACTGTCGGCTCAGGCAAAGAATTCATTGGTAACACAATCGGCTCCCAAGACCTCAGCAAGTCAGGCAAAGAACAACACGCCCAAGGTGAAGCTGAAAGAAAGGAAGCTGAAGCCAAACAATATGGTGAAGGTTTAGTCGATTCAGCAACCGGTAAGGCAAAGAACATCGGTGGTGCTATCACCGGTGACAAAGATCAACAAGCCAGAGGTGCTGCCAGAGAACAGAAGGGTGAAACCAAGCGTGACTTCGCTTAAGACTTTTACGATAGATACCAACGATTGTAAATGCAAATATGAAAATAATGTTGTTTACGTTTAATCTTTATGTTTGCTAATCATATTACATTGAAGAAATTCTGAAAATTTTGATATTGTTACAATACACTGGCGACTTCATCCTCTGAGTCATCGGCAGCTTCATCCTCTTCGCTGATAGCGATTTCTCGACTTGATCTTTTTCTCCTCAATGGTTGTTGTCGTGACAGTTTCGGTTTGGCAATAGGGCTACCTTTGTTGCCTTCCGTGCTGTCACTGTCGACATCGCTCGGTGCAGCTTCTTCTTCGCTACTACTATATTCCTTCTTCTTTTGTTTGATTCTACTACTATTATTACCATTATTACTGACTTTCCGCTTCGTAGGCTGCTTCTCTTGCTTCTTATAACCGACTGCATACCTGTCTCCGTATTTACTGGCTGCTCGTGGGGTTGGCGCTGTCTTTGGTATCTTCTTGACGGGCGTAGCATCTTCATCTTGGTTAATCCCTACATCTTTATAAACGTCATCAAGACTCTCCTGATAATCAAGATTTTCGCCGTCAACTTCAGAAAGCTCTTTGAATTTTTTGTATAGTCCTGTGTTAAACCTCACAAGAGCATTGCGGGAGAGTGCATCAGCTAATGGTTTTTCATTCTGCAATTCATCAACAAGCTTGATCATCAACCAGATTTCCTTGATTGGTGTGTTTGCTGATATGTTCAATTTCTGGAGGAATTGGACTAAAACTTTGCGATCCTCTTTGATGTCGACCTTGAAGAGTTCCTTAAGGGTGTCGAGTGCTAGTCGAGATTGAAGCAGCTCGTCGTTATCTGGGTTAACCAAGTTGAGCGGATCTGTCCATTCGGACAAGAGTGTTGCGACTTGGGAGACTGTTACCGCTGATTGTTCATCTGAGTCTCTATCCCAATGATCGCTGATTGCTATCAATGCTATCTCTGCAAGACGAGCTTGGTTGCGCTTAGAGCTAAATGCGAATACCGGGAAGAAGTACGATAAGCATTGTCGCAATGGTTGATTGTCAGCTACTTCCGGACTGAAATATACATAAAGTAGTCCACGGAGGAGCTGTGAAGTGTCAGTAAGTAATGATACAGGATTGAGGAACCTACACTGGCATCATTTATCATACCAGATAACATCAGCTTAGAGACACCTTCGCAAGAGACAGCTTGGTATTCCGGCGAATGTCCATCGAGTGAACGTAAAAGGAAGTGACAGATATATTCGAGCTAAATTGACATTAGTTTTAAGTTTTTCCAACAGTTATCAATTAACAACTCACTCCTAGACCACCTTTCTCTGCGAAATGAGACACATCATGCGTCATCAACAAGTCAATTACCACCTTTAATGATTGGATATTGAGTGGTTCAGGAGCCGTTTCAGCTTGGTTCATGAACATCTGGAAACTACCAATGGCGAGGGTATCAGCAAGCAAACAAATAAGACCAAGGGCGTGCAAGCCTCTCTCACGAATCATAGCCTCTTTCGATTTGACAGAAGGTATTACCAAATCTGGTAGAATACCACCGAGGGCGCTGTTCTCAACCAACGTTGTATTAACTCTTTCAAGCATACCAATAACGACTGCGAGAGACCTCAAATCGAGTTCGGCATTGTGGGCTATTTCCGCTTCACTCAAGACCTTGGCTGCTGTTTGTTTTGGCTTTGCTGGTGTCATCATTACCGTTGATCCTCCATCACCAATATCATCATCCTCTTCTTCCTCTGGGACGCGGAGATCACGTAGTTCTGATATCAATTCAACTGTAAGTAACAAAAAGTCACGTTCGGATGATGACAACTTGTAAAGGATGTCGAGCGCTATTGGAATGAGCGGTTCCGGAAGTGATGGTGAAGACAGGAAATCTCTAACCAAACCAAAGATCTTTCTTCTACCAATTTCATCACCATAATCGAGATTGATTGCCAATTTGAGTAGTTCTCCCAAAATATAGTTAGAATTGACCATGTTATCGGTGTATTCGTCAGAATCATCGTAGTTTTGAGCTAGAGTTACAACTTGATTGTAAGCATGTTGTATGTGGAATGCCATTGCTGTGACTACTGGAAGATTTTCCAATTTTTGGTAGTCCTCCGTCGCTACGCAGTGATCGACGTATACACGTGCAAGAAGAGCCTGTTCTGGCGTCAACTTTGTCCACATTGCGTCATCAAATTGTACAGAATGAAATATATCCAACCTGCTGTTAAAGATGGACAGAAGAGCATCTTCTGCTACCTTAGAATCAATGACATCGAAATATTCAAGGAACTATAATACTGATGAGTAAATAAACAATGTAAGACGAGAAAACATACAACTTGTATATTCTTATCAGCTCTATCTATCCAAGCAGACAACAAATTAACACATGCTTTCATGACGGTTGGATCACGATCACCTAAGCCAGTTCTGATGAGGTTTTCACGTGGACTGAGCCTGATAGATCTTACGTCCTTCAACGCCTCACTAAGTTTTGATCCTTCGAAGACTGCCTTACGTGTTGCTGGATCGACGTCTCTAGCGCGTGTGAGTAGTGCAGGTACAGTGTCTTGAGTAGGGAAGACATTCATGACAGCCGTCTTCCTTACTGCAGCTGTGGGATCGGTGGTAATTGCGGCTTTTAATGATTTAGCGATAGAGCCGCGATCATCGTCTGATGCTTGTAGTTTACAGAGTGCTAGTGTGGCTTGCTGGCGTATATTAGTTTCCTTATCGTTCATTCTTTCTAATGTTGCGTCTAAAAGCGCGTCAAATAAGTCCTCATCCATTGCGCCCAAAACTGATATAATGAGGTTTGAAACTTGAACGCATCGGAATCTAACGTATTTATCCTTTGCATTAAACCCTTTAAGGATATGTCTTAGGATATCTGAGGTGAGCATCATCGCTGGTGACTCCTCTAGCTCTTGACCAGCTTCCTCTGTATCTTTGGCGTTTGAATAACTAAGATATGTAGTAGCGAATGCTATGACTCTATCAGCGTAAGCCTTAGACTTTGGATATTCGAATGTGCGCGTAATTGAACCAATAAACGCCTTTACAAATGTTGTATATGCTTTTTCATCCTCAGATTCGAGAATTTGTTTGTGATATTTGCGTAAGTTTATATGATTTTTATTGTGATTTGATAAAGTCTTTTGCGACTGCGTAAACGCGTCAATTAGCGTTTCTAGCGACATCGTCGTCGATAGCAAAGCGCGTCGCGTCATTCTTTAAATCAAACGACGATGAAGTCAAGCAGATCAAGCAATCAGACACCATTACGGAGAGTCAGCAGTGGCGCCCTCACGCAGTCACATAATAGCAGCGTCAATCAGAAGAATATTGTGCAACATCCACTCGAATTCTTGACACCAGCTTTGAGTGATTTATCGGACGAATTAGATGGAATACTCAGTAGTACACATCAAATGGTAGAGTTAGATAAAGCATTGGCTGATTTCAATCATGGTTTTGGTAGTCTTCTTTGGGCATTGAAGTTGAATGCTTATTGTGTCAACTGGCCAGAGGTATGTATAATATGGCCTACGTCATTTTAATTTGTACTGAGAACTCAATCAAGGCACCAACAGACGAATCATTCAATCGCGTCGAGGAACTCAATGGTGGGTTTCACCTATGTTTAACTTTGATTTAGCTAACAAATATATAGCGCGCTTGCAGCAATCTTTGGCACCTCCTAGAGAACCAACACCACCACCAGCAGAACCTGAACACAATCCTGCAGATGAAACATACAGAACTCAACAAGAAGAGGAAGTTGTGCCGCAACCACCACCAAAGATACAGCCAAAAACCAAACCAAAAGTAGTCAGTGTACAACTTCGCAAGAAGAGGGAAGCCTTTGTTGACAGTGTGATTGAATCCCTTCCATTGGAATACAGAGGTTCTCAGCCGGTGAGTTGTAATTTTAATCCCTCATGGTTTAATTTAACAGGCTATGAAAGGCTCTCAGAAGTGCTATGTCTAGTGTCTTGCATGCTCTGATGAGACATCAATGTACAACACCAGAAGATAATGGCATACGAGTACCAGATGTGGTCAAACAGCCAGATCTTCCACAAGCCAAAGTCAATAAATGTCTCATCGCACTCGTACAGAAGAAAGCTGTTTTGAAATGGACAGAGGGTGTGAGTTTTCATTATTTTTATAGAATCTTAACTGACTATGCCACAGGGAGTCGCATATTACAGATTACAATTAGAGACACCGCGTCAATAAATGGATATAAGCACTTTGTATTTCTAGATTATTTCGGTATCAATCATGTTAAAATAGATTGTGACGTCATGCAGATTAAAATGCTCCTCACTTAGAATATTCCAGGGTAATCTTAAAAGTGAACAACTATGAGTGACAGTCCAAACAAAAACACAGGTATCTACCATTCAATCAAGGGTTAGTATGATGTCTTATTATGAAAATATACTAACAAACACTAAGGTAACATTGTTGAATCTGTTGGTACAGCAACAGGAAGTGAAGAATGGAAGAAATCAGGACAACAAGAGCATGTTGATGGTGAAGCAGAGCAGAAGGCATGTATAGTAAGACTACTTTAATACGGATACGCTGACAAAGACCACTTATAGGCAGCTGAAATCAAGGATAAGGCAGAGGGTGTATATGACCAAGTAGCTGGTAGAGTATCAAATATTAAAGCAGCCGTAACAGGTGACAAGTCAGGCCAAGTTGAAGCTGCTGCTAGGGTGAGTGATCTTTTAATTTACATTAATCAATCTAAAGTTTCACTACAGGAAGAATCAGGCAAAGCAGCTCAAAAGGACGCGTAAATTTGATTTAAATATTTTCTTTGTTTCTTTGATACATCGGTTATCAAATAATGAATGTTGGCTTGAATATACCACTCTTAACTCAAATACACGCTAAACCTAAAGAATATGAAGCCAAAATAAACAACGACTATTCTGATAGCTTTAAAGACTACAATGTTGGATTAAGCATTGAAACAATCGATATTGACGATAGTGATGAGAGTGCTGAGAGCAAATCATTCCGTCAGGAAGACAACTACAGTCAGGATGACGAATTAGCTAACAGATCTGTTTCGAAACCACATTTCCCAGTCAATTACCCACCTCCACTGCCCAAGTTGTTGCCTGAATTCCGAGAATTGGCTTTCACTCACAAGAGCTGCGCAGAACACGCGGCTTTGCTCAAATCTGCGATAAGCATAATGCAGTATAATAGGGTATCTGACGGCAATTTACGTGGAATTACAGCATCAGAGAATGTTTACGTAGATGACCAACAGCGTATCAAACCAATCTATGATAATGAGGTCAGCGAATTCGTTGGTGATTCCATACTTGGTATGATAGTGACTCTCTTGTTAAGACAATGGTACCCTCACCTTCGCCCAAATAGCTTGAGGTGAGTAGACTGGTCACTTTTCAGCATAACTCACAAATAGTAGTGAAATACGCAGTCATCTTGTTGATAAAGCAAGATTGAGCGATTGGGCAAAGATGTATAGTTTCGATATGCATCTTAATCTTCCGCCTTCGCAATCACAATTGGCGATAAGACTCTCACCTGCTGTTCTCTGTGGGACTTTTGAAGCGTACGTTGCTTGCGTATTCGACCAAGAGCAGGATGAAATGATGGGTATGATGGCCGTGAAAAATTGGATCGAGCCTCTTTGCAAACCCTATGCAGATATGTATAACGTTGATATAACTAATCGAGAGAAGGAATTCCGCGAGACTCCCAAACTCGGCAGTCTTAGCTACCTTAATCAGATGATGGTTAAGTCTAATTTAAATGCTACTTGGAATGAAGCCGGTGGCTACGATGCCATAACCAGAACACAGAGCAATTGGGTTGAGACATTGACGCTCACACTTAATAGCAACTCACAAGGTACAAGCAATCATGGTTTCAATACAGATTTCCCAGCAACATTCACAGGCTCATCTTCTAAAAAGAAAGAAGCTAAAGAAATTGCAGCATTTAAGGCCTTGAAGGTGTTAGGAATAAACTCTTGTGAGTTAAAAATGCTTTCGTTTATTAGAAATCTCATGTAGTCTCTTTAGAATCGCATTGTTACTCAGTTTGCAATTCTTCAGCTATTATGTATACCAAATCAACAACACTTGTATTTTCAATTCCATCTGTCCATGCCAAATGCATTTAAATTACAAATACCTCCTGATGAAGGCATATAGTCCATCCATTCTTTCATTTTTATCATATTCATCCCATAAGTGATCCTTATCATGCGCGACGTCAAATTGTACTTCAGCATTTCTAGCCTTGAGTGCATCTACAACTTCGACGGCTTGTGAAAATGGTACAGCCGTGTCGACAGTGCCGTGTATGATGTAAATTGGCGGGGTTGCATCCTTCTTCTCTTTGAGCACATTGATAATGGCGTAATTTCCTGCACGGTCTTTCTTAGTGCCGTAGAGTAATTCGTTCAGTGAGGCAGATTGTACCATCCAGGCGTACACTAATAAGTGTTGTCAGACAAAAGTCGCAGACATGCAAAAACTCACTCTTTGATCTAGTTGAGTTGGAAGGATTACTAGAAACGACAGGTGCATCCACATTCAGATGCTCCTTGACTGTTTCATGGGCAACAGGTCCATCTTCCCATTCTGCCTTCTCATGAAGAGTGTTCCACTGTAATTACGGTTAGATAGCATATTCAAAAGCCAAATATACATACAAATGGTGCCAAAGTATTTGTTATTGGGTATATAGCCGTACACGCCAATCTGCAAGATTGATTAATGTCGTCGATGGACGATAACAACACCTACGGGATGTGTTTAGGATTGGCAACACCGAGACCAACGAGCAAGCTGAGCCATCCGCCAGCAGACGATCCAGAGACAAACCACCTCTTGACGTCAATACGATGTCCTGTTTGACCGGGCAATTCTTCGATTGTGTAACTGACGGAATCAGAGACATCAGATAGAATCTCCTCGAAATCAGCCTGTGGAGCAAGTCTATAATCTACAGAAACAAATGCGAAACCTCGTTCCTGGACTGCGACATCGAAATGGTTTGGATAACGTTCACAGCTGCCCTAGGTGATTGAATGAGCATTGCGAGATAGTTTTGAAGGATCTCAGCACTCACTTGCAATAAGCCACCACCTGAACTTCTCTTAGATTTATTCATTGTTTAGATAAAACCCACCGTGATACCATACTATTACAGGTGCAGGATTCTCAGCAGTTGCTGAAGGAGGAATATGAACGTCTAATTTAATTTCAAGATTGTTGATTTTTTTATAGGTATAACTGCTCTTCATTTTTTTTTGTTTATGGTATGACTTCAAGAAAATGTCCGATATCGAGATAAGGAAATTGGAGAGGGGTGGTAGGAAAATTTTATTACTGGAATGCAATATCATCAACCACACTACTTATCTCCAAAGTATCACTCTCTTGCATAACAAGCCAGACTATATCGACATTTCGAACAGAGAGTGCTTCGTATAGTAAGACAAGTTCTTTCTTTAATGATGAATGTTGCATGAGGAGTCTAAAATCGCTGCTTAATTGCCACACCAGTTCATCCTTCACTGGTATTTCTTTCACGACAGCAGTCATAGCTTGCACTAATTCCCGATGAGCTCGCTTGGCAGTTGTTGAGGTATTCCAATATTCGATACCATCTGACACTATCTTTGTGGTTGATACATCTCTTCCACTATTCCTGACATCTTTAGTGACATTAAAGCATAACGTTCTTCTGATAAGTGGGTAGGCATCTTCAATTATACGCAGACTCATGAATTCTCCAGTCTCAACAGCCAGTACGCGTATAAGTTCGAAAGCACTAGCCATAACGTAGGGATTCTCTTCGCATTCGTCCCCCATTCCCGCCGCAGCTCTTGAAAGAAGACGGTGGAGAACATATGGCCAAGCTTTATGAACTACCGGTAAGACATCCGCTTTTCGGTTCTCCCGCATGAGAACTCTAACGGAATTTGATAGGAGCATCATAGTACGCGCCCTTAGAAATGCAGACTCATGTGTGAGGAAGTGTAAGCCTTTTGACATTATTTTCAAAGATATTGACTGTGACCTATTGAGTGGTTCATGTGGTTTATCTTCCGGTACAGTTTCCTTGTTCACATCATGGCCTTCGCGCAATTCATCCCAGGCTTGGTGTGGTGTTGGACCGTAATCCTCGATAGGCTGCTCTGGTGGGTCTTGATTGAGCTCTTGAAGCCATTCTGCCAATCCCTCAAGCTCTAATTCGGGGTTAGGACGTGAGTCGACGGATATAATGCGGTCTGTATCTTCTTCATCATTGTATGATGGCAAGACATCCACATCTTCAGACATAACACTGACAATTGTGTCTAGAACGGCGAGTAAGCCCTCACCTAAGAGCGGAATATCGTGGAAGTTGTCCAAACTTTCAAAAATGTCCTCGACAACTCCTTGCAATTTCCCGACGAGGGGTGCGCCAACGAGCCTCACAGCTGCGATCAACACTCGTGGCGCCGCAATGTCCAGCCTGACAGGACTGAGATGTGAAGCTACAGAATTGAGCAAGTAGTCCGCATTATCGAGTATGCTACCACTCGTGCTGGCATATCCGACAAAATAAGATACACTTGCGAGTGTCGATTTCGCATGCTCCCTGATCGTCATTGTCGGGCTATCTAATCTGGAGAGTATGTAATAAAGCGTGTTGTTTAGTTGTGGTCGGAAATCATAACCTAGTATCCAGCTAGTTGTTGTAATCATACGGAGAGACATCAACGAAATAAGTGTAAGTCGCACTTTCTTTTCAAGCTTGGCTGATTTCTGAGGAGTGTATTTGAAATTGTCAGCTAGAGTTTCTACCTTTTCCAACCCGCGTATGTATTCCGTTGGAAGATTCTTCTCGTTGTGTTTCACTACATCCTCACCAGTTTCTTCGACAGTAGGTATCTCATCCGTGCTATTTTCAGCATCCTGATTGAATTTCACGACATTTCTGACGAACTTGAGAGCGAGCTTCTGGGTGACTCTAGAGCGTGAGAGGGACATTCCCTGTATAATACAACAGCATAGCCAGAGACTACTTATCGACGCCTTTCGATTGAGGTTCCTCTGAGCGAGATTGAAAAAGTACTCAGCGGAATGTGAGGCGCGCCCTCCAAATGCCTTGCCTAGCGCTACAAGGGCTTTTCGAATCCCCTCACCAGCTTGTGTGTCGAGGGTTGCGAAAGGCATAGAGGGGAAGCCAAACCAAGGATCGTCTCCCGCCTCGTCGAACCTTAAGTCGAATGCAGCGTCTGGTGTACTGCTCCATAAAACACTCCTGCTTGCGTTGACTGAGACACTTTCACCACTTACGGGCGGATTGTAAAAGGGAATACAGTCTATCAATCCCCAAGACCATTTTTCAACTCCACCTTGAGGTCCGAGAATATCATCCATCGGTATGCCGCTTTGGCTTATGGTCAGATTTGCTATTGCCTCTATTTGTAATGTTGTTCCTAAAATTGCACTATTGTCTTTCGACCTTATTGCATTTGGCAAATTAACTAAGAGCTCACGCGCGTGTTGTTTCAAAAGTGGTTCTAATATTTTCTGATGTTCTCCCAGAGATAACAATCTCGCCAGGGCACCTTTAGCAATTGAAGAAACATTATCAGATGATTGGCTATCTATCGAGAGTATTAATAGATTGGAAAGTAAGGTTCTCTGGCAGGTTTCTAGTGTTGCCAGACATGTCTCGAGAATATCAGCGGAGAGATCGGCCATTCCTCTCCTCACTCTACTCGATTGGTGTTTTGTGAGACCTGCTATGGACGTCAACACGAGGCGAATCTGATGTGACGTCGCCTTAAGCCACGATGTTGATCTTATATCATCCTCCTTCTTTTCTGTCGGCGGTGGTGCAAATAGTGAGGATGCAACTGGAATAGCCCTGTCATCATCTTTTGTATCGACTATCTCTAAATTCTCTAAGTCGACCTTATCAGCCAAGTCTATTAGATCTGATATCTGAATTGGTTGTAAAGAGGCACAACGGGCATCTTGAAGGGTAGACATGATAATCAAGCGAAGGATGTCTACAGCTGCAACTGCTAAGTCACTATTGATGTGACTGTTACCTGACAGCACCTTCGTCATCGAACTGGCTGTGCCAGGTAATAGAATAGCATTGATATTTGGTTTATCGAACGCGTATACACCCACGTAAACTCCGATAAGGTTAAGTGACCTTATACGCAAATCGAGAAACTTGTGTGTTGTCGCCATATCCAATATTTGTGAGATAAGTGAACCTAGGATTGACATTCTCTTGTCTGTGAGTAATTCTATGTAGCTAGGAAGAGGATTGATGCTGAGAGTGTATAATAAATCGACGCAAGAGAGCAATAGTACCTCTGATTTCCTATTTTTTATGCTACTGATTAGCGACATCGTCGCTAGCACCCATATCTGTTCCCATTCAGCGATTGAGATACCTTCAACGAGCCAAACTTTAGAAATCACGTCGAGAGCTTTAAAAATTGCTATAGAACCCCTCTCTGGTAGCTCAGTTGGTGCGAAGTGCCGTAGTAGTCCAGCTATAGGAAAGAAGACATATCTGATAAGTTGTGAAGAGCTATTACTTGTGTTAAGGGTATTCCTGAGTGATTCTGAGAACTCCTCCAAAGTTGTTAATAACTCAGGTTCGTCTGGTGATAATCCCGGTTTCGATACCAGGAAATTGAGTTTTACACAGACTGGTTTGAGCTAAGGAGGTTAGTTAGCATAGCTATAAGCTGTAAAGTAATTCTCACACTTTGGAATGCATTATTCCGCGTATCCTGCACCATTACAGATAATATGATGACAGTCGAACGATAAGGCGGAAGTTTAAGTCAAATGGTTTAAAGTACAATATTTGCGTTTTATTTATACGGTATGACTTGCCGATTTGGTTTTGATACGCCATGCAGATAATGGCAGTTCTGTTTTAACATTGTTAGTAAGTGTTCCAAGTATACAACACTCAACTTACGTTGCAATTTACGTGCAGTTGGATATATGTAGGTAAAAAGAATGACTGTTCCGATAACGACGCAAAGGGTGCTCGTAACAAAGTAACCGTCGCGCTCAACGACACATTGACCACCAATATCCGTACAGAGAGATTTTCCATGCTCAGAGCTGCACTCTTGGGCTTTGACAATGACGTCCTCATTTTCCTCGTGAACGTGACAGGTTGCTATGCTGAGCCCATCTACTGCCTTGAGAACAAAATAGCGAGGCCAGGTTCCACCGAGGTTGGAGACTGTGTTAAGGAGAGTCATGTAAGTACCTCCAATCAGTGGATCGGCAATCTGCGTGTGGAAGGCGCATATACCGACGAATTGGACAGTCGACATGAATCCACCGACTAATGTCATTGCAATAACAGATGCAAAAACGGATGAAGTTACAGGTGGCTCGATTAGCTTTATGGCGAGCATAGCTACAATTGCGTAGGCTAATCTACCGACGAATGCACCCAACCATGGTTTCAGTGGGTTGCGTCCTTGTGACCAGCGAGCAGCGAGCCATCCGCCGATGATTTGGACTGGGAAATCTATGAGAACTGCCAAAGCGAGGTCTTCTCTGCTGAGGCCTTTCTCTAATAACTTAAGAGAAGTAACTGCTTCATTCGCTTGGAAACCAATTTTGGCAACCAAATGGACGATTACAAATGATTGAACGTGTTTGAGTTTCAGAATTGATAACATCTGATTGTAGACCTTTTTAATATCCATTTCATCTTGGTTTTCTATGACATTCTCCTCTTTTTTGAAGAATGCAAGCCAAATTGTGAACAAAACAAAGACAAGACCAAAGAATTGAAGGTATCCACCAAGTGTAACGAGTGGGTAGTCTAACGGGGTCGATCTAAAGTATTTGTTGCTAAACTCTACGGAATTCAAGGCCAAAAAGACTGTGAATGAAAGGAAGTAACCAGTGTTTAAACCAATGGTTTGTGCTGTTGATGCAAATGAGAGGTTCTCGTGGCTGAGGAGTGTCAAAGCCCATCCATCTACAGCGATGTCTTGAGTTGCAGCCAAGAAGATCAACGAGAAGAAAGTGAAAGTGAGTAGGTTGACGTCTGGTACTTCCTGTAAAGTGTTAGAAAGAGAAATGGGTAAAATGCGATGACGCACTTGTGCTAGACTGTCTTGAATCCAGAAGGACATCCAATACATCATGGCACCGACGAGAAATTGGATAGGAACGATCCAGCTCTTACGCCTGCCTAGTTTCTGGTTGAAACATGCGTCTACGATTGGTGACCAGAGTAGTTTGAGTGAGTACGGGTATGTCGAGAGAGAGAAGACGCCGATCTGTGAGTAGGAAAGTTTAGATTTGAGTAAGAAAGGAATGCTTCCGAATGCCAAACCGGTCGGGACACCTTGGAGAAGGTCTAATGTGTGTGTCAGCTGTGCTGTCATCAGCATAAAGGATAAAACTGACACAAGATGACGAGAATGATCATCGCTGACCTATCCTTGTGGTACCAAATATCGAACAAACCTGTAGACTGTGGAGGTCTATTACTATCTGACTGTTTAGCTTCCAAGTGGCTTTCTAGATCTGGTAGCTTATTCTTAGGCATGACTTTAGGAGATCTAGAGTATTTTAGGTTGTTCCTCGAGGCTTTCTTCCTCGCTGGCATTTCTCTGATGGTTGGTCCTGACAAACGAGCATTCCTTGATTTCCTACGTTCATCATGCAATCTGAGCGCAGCCGAACAGACGATGGCAGTAGTAGCCAGACGATAGAGAGGTCTAATAGTAGACAGCAGCAAACACACGTCCTCAAGCTACGTGGCCATCAGCCAGAGCAGAGATCTGCTGTTAGATGGGAAGAAGGCACTGTCGATAACGAGAATATGAACAAGAAGAAGTCTAAGAGTGTGTTGTCAATATATTATCTAGTGATTCCTCTAATTGCTTACAATTCCTTAGTATGCTGCATCTATCACAAACCAAAGCGTTTCGATGAGTCCTCAGACGAATCTGATTGCAGCGATAGTGAACATAAGCCCTGCACCTCAAAGTCTAACAAATACGACAATCCAAGCCACAGCCACAGCCATCCAGGTCGGTCTACCGTCTTCTTCTTTCTCTCCACTCTCTTTTACTAACAAACAATAGAGAAATCTTAATAATTATTTACTATAAATCACGGATTGTACTATTATATGTATTTTACACGCTTCACTTCTTCCTTACATCCCCTCATGTTCAACGACGACTTCGGTAACGAGTTATTCAGCGACGGCGCCGACGACGCATATGACACCACTTATCAAGAGCAGCCCGTCTATGAGAAAGAGGTCTACTACCCAGAGAACCTACGCGGTGCTGATAAACAGCAGGTTAGCCCAGAGACGGCATCACAACTTATACGGCGAACTATCGCACAGGAAGCCCAGCATGTCGGATTTGAAAGGGCGACAGAAGATGCGATGATAGAAATAGAGAGACACGCCGTTTTCTGTGAGTTCTACCTCCATTCTAACTGTAGCCATTTTAACATCGAAAAGGTATAGAAAGTTTGGCAAAAATGACAATGGAGTATGCCCAGAATGCCTACAGAACGGAAGCGACACTTCACGAGGTCTGTGAAGCGTTTAACGACGTTGGTATGACACCTAGCGAGTTGAATCCCGTCGTAGAGCGTAACAAGCGATTTGCAAACGTCGGTACTCTCCAACCAACCCAAATCCATTACAAAAAGCAATTTGTTGATCCTACACACGATTTCCTACCAAGTGACGACGAACAGGGACCAGAAGCTGAAATACAAGCCGAAGCAGCGTTCAGAATGAGCGAATTGGCGACACTTGGTATTCTTCCTATGCTACCACCACGCCATTCTTACCACCGCACGGCTGTATATCCAACTCCTCATAGAACTCAAACACCACTCGCGCATTTAGACAGAAAACAGAACACTTCTAGACTCGTAGAAAGAGCCTTGAAGTCCCTCATAGAGAGAACGCAAGTTGCAACAGAATCCTCTCTTATGGCGAAGAATCAAGAGGCTTTGGCGGCTAGTTTGAATGACGACGAGGGCATTCTCCCTACAAAAGAAAAGAAGAAGGACGATAAAGGTAAAGATAGTGAACATGGTGGTGTTCCACCAGAACAGTCTCAGCAACCAGGACAGCCAGTTGCAGAAACCAGCAAAGAGATACCTACTCATCCAGGAGGAGAAGCCATGGAAGGTGTGGAGCAACCAAATGCATCAGGCGGAAGACCAGATTCAGGTGCTATTCAGCAATTCAACCAAGATCAGATCGATCAACCGCAACGCCCTGATCCTGTATCTGAAGAGAAAGGAAGCCAAGCAGCACCAAGTATCCCATCTGAACAACCAGGAGAAAGTGCGCAGGCTACAGTTGCACCAGTTGAGCAAACACCTGTACAGCCTGTATCACAACCGGAAGATACCAACAAATCAGAGCAACCTGAGCAACCCGCACAAACAAACGAAACAGGCCAACCAACCGAGGCTATGCAGATTGGTGAACAAACTCAACAAACTGGTCAACAAACTGAAAACACTCAACCTAAACCCCAACCTACTCAACAAGAGAAACAATCAGTTATACAATCAAATGGTATCCATCGTGCTAAGCCACAAGATACACGTTCAGGAAAGCCACCTTGGTTGCAGAATATTCAAATTGACGCGAACATTTTGAAGGAACTACCACTCGAATTTGGTATTGTAAACTTCGGTGGAGCAGGTGAAACGCTCAATACATCATCGAGCATGGATATGCACTCAAGCACAGGTCAACCAGGTAACAGGTTAGTTCCTACAGATGATGACGCATCCGGCTATGAATCTCGCGTGAAGCGTAGACGGTGGAAAGTGTAAAATTAATTTGATAGTACATTAGCAAGCTCTACGAAACCAATTTGACGACTGGATGGCTCAATGTCATCTATTTCCGTTACGCCATTTACATATATGTCAAACGAAGCGCTATTGACGGGTTCATCCTCCCATAGACGCTCTACGTAGACACTACGCATACCCGTGCGCATAGCAGCTTGACAATCACCAGTATGAGCTGCTACCATGGCACATTCTTCCGGCTTCACACCAATCCGTTTCGCGCATTCGCGATATGCAACTGGATTCGGTTTGTAGGTGAGTGGGATGTCAGATCCATAGGCGAAATCCCATGGGAGATCCGCATAGACTGACATACTGTGCAATGCGTGTGTGGTCGCACCACTGAGTGTCCCAATTTTGTATCCTAGCTCGCGTAACTGTTTGAGACCATGTGAGGAATCCGGCCAAGCTTCCAATCTATGCCATACGCGATTCAGTTCGTCGAGCTCTGCGGATGTGTATAAACCACTTATGGCATACTTTTCTGTCAAATTGTCGAGTGCTTCCCTATGTATCCTGTCGACATCTACGAATGTCTCCAAAGATTCTGCTACGTATTCTGAATGTCTCTTTGTGCCTTCTTTGTATTTATTACGCCAATCTTCAAGGAAACCAGACCAGTCGACCTTCATGAGCACTTCCCTTTGGGCGTGTTCAGACGCCTTTCTTTTGAGTTCACGCAAGACAGTATACCTCCAATTGACTGTCGTTCCAAATGTATCAAATATTAGTACTTTCACACCTGGCTAGTGCTTCTTAGTTGCCTCTCTTCTTGATTTCTCACTTACGAGCTTATTATGAGACATGATGGATAAGCGGTAAAGTCAAACGTCATTCTATCACGCGATAAGAAATAAGAAATAAGAAAAAGTGTATCATGAGAAAGAAGAATTTTATTAGTATATATTATTACATTCATGCAGCTGCTGGTGGTGGAATAGAAGCGCCTCTATTGTCAGGGATGGCGATATCTGGGTTATGATCTTTGAGCAATTTACCACCATACATGACAACACCATTTTCTAATTGGAATTCCCTAATACGTTGTTCCATTTCAGGTCTGAAATGTCTAACTAAACCTTGGATTGGCCATGCAGCTGCGTCACCCAATGCACAAATTGTGTGACCTTCGATTTGCTTTGAAAGTTCAATGATCATGTCAATTTCTCTATTTGATGCTTGACCCTTCTCGAATCTGTTCATCATGTTGTACATCCATGTTGTACCTTCTCTACATGGTGTGCATTGACCACAAGATTCATGCTTGTAGAATTTAGCGAATCTAGAAATAGCCTTAATCATATCTGTTGATTGATCCATAACGATGATTGCACCAGTACCAAGTGAAGTTTGAGCATCCTTCAACGAGTCGAAGTCCATCAAGACATCAGTACAGACGTCTCTTGGGATAACAGGGACAGATGAACCACCTGGAACAATACCCTTCAAATTTTCCCAACCTCCTCTGACACCACCACAATGTTTTTCGATTAACTCCTTGAGTGGGATCGACATTTCTTCTTCGACGACGCATGGGTTGTTGACGTGACCAGAGATGGCGAACAACTTGGTACCTGAGTTTCTGTCTCTACCGAATGCATCGAACCAGGCTGGACCCCTTCTGACGATTGTTGGAACAACGGCAACAGTTTCGACGTTTGCAACTGTGGTTGGGCAACCGAATACACCAACATCAGCTGGGAATGGAGGCTTAAGCCTTGGCTTTCCTTGCTTTCCTTCAATGGATTCGATGAGTGCTGTCTCTTCACCACAAATGTAGGCTCCTGCACCACGGTGGATGTAGACATCGAACTTGTAGCCTGATCCACAGGCATCGTCACCGATCAAACCTGCTTTGTAAGCTTCATCTATCGCTTGCTGGAGTCTGACAGCTTCATGGTAGAATTCACCACGAATGTAAATGTAAGCTGGTATCTGTGAGCATTTTCTATGATAGTGACAGAATATACACACCTGCTGTTGCATTCATAGCTCTTCCTGCTACCAAACAACCTTCAATCAATTTGTGAGGGTCACCACGCATGATTTCTCTATCTTTGCAGGTACCTGGTTCACCCTCATCTGCGTTGACAACTAAATAACGCGGTCTAGGATCCTTCTCCCATCCTGGCTTGTTCATAAAGGACCATTTCAAACCTGATGGGAAACCTGCACCACCTCTTCCACGCAAACCAGAATCTTTGACGGTTTGGATAAGATACTGATCACCCTTGAGAACGATTTCTTTAGTTTTGTGCCAGTCACCGCGGCTCATTGCGCCCTTCAAGCCGAAGTCGTGGCGATCGTACAAGTTTGTGAAGATTCTAAGAGGATATGAGATGGAATAAGTAAGGTATGATCGAGAACTCACCTGTCTTGATCTATAAGATGCATTTTATTAGCAAGTTAGTGCGAACTGATTGAGTATCTCACCTCTCAATCCACCATATCCTCTGCAATAGTTATTAGTAAATAAATAAGACTATAAATATTATACCAACCTTACTGGTGGCTCTGCGACGGATGCAAAACCCCTTGCAGACCTCAGAACGCTTCTCTGTACTCTATTCAACATGACGGTTTTATGCAACCAGAGGAATTTGGTTGGCTGAGATGGATTTCGCTCAGGAAAGAGAAAAGAGGTGAATAAAAATTAATATATAATAATTATATGTACAAATAATACAATCTATTAGTCTATCTCTCTTTTCGCCTTATTTTTCCTTCTTCGCCCGCTGGCCAGTGAGCTGCCAGTTATTTTGAATATAGATTATTCAACTTCCGTTAGCAAATCTGGCTTCTCTGCTTCTCCTATTTGCGTTTCCACGTTCTCCAGACAGTCATTTGCGACAAGAAAGCGTATCGTCTGGGAGAGATAACTCACACTTTGACGTATTTCGTCATTGAATAGCTATAACGAGTAATTTAGTAAGTGTTTTATCTGCAAGTACATTATACTCACCTTAGCCATCAAATTCGGCTGCTGGAATTGGTTATTAGCTGCTTTCTGCCGTGGTTCCAGCTTCTTTCTTTCTATACGCGGTTGAGAGAGTAGCTTTGAAGGTGGCATACGTGTTGGTATCTTTGAAGAGGCACTCTCTGGTGCCTGGTCATCGTCTTGTTCTTGCTCTGACAGATTCGTTTCTTCAGAAATGTGCAGACGCGGTTTCTTTGTTGTATTACGCTTCTTATCATCGTTATGCCAATTGGTGGAACGTTTATTCTTGCCTGTGAACTTTGGATCTAAAGGTATCTCACCTCTAGCTATCTTATCCTCCTTCTCCTTCTGCTTTTCTGCGATGTTTGCAGCACTAGGGAAGCGCTTCTTGCGTTCTAATATCCACTTCTCTATTGCTTCTGGAGTGTCCAACATTATATTCGTACCCTCTACAGGTACCGTTGGTTTTGGTGGTTTGGATGCCTTCTTCCGTGCCTCATTCTCTAGATAACCAGGTGGGTATATAAGATGTCTATCCATCATGTGTATTTCGACTTCCTTCTTTGAACCGGTGATGAAGCAATCTGGCTGTGAGCATCTGTGCAATTGTCTGTATGGTGTTAGAGTGTGTGCTGGGCCTAACTAGTAGTATACCTACTTCGATTGCTGTTGCTGGGGCTGCTTCTGCTTCTTTGGTTTGCTATGCGGCTGTTGTTGCTGCTGCTGCTGTTGTGGGTAGAATTGCTGATTGTTGTAGTAGTTGTAGTAGGCTGCATTGTAACCGCCTACGCTAGCATTCTGTAGTTGCTGCTGCTGTTGTATATAATACCAGTGGTAATACTGCTCGTTGTTCTGCCAATAATTATAATAGCCATTATTTTCGCTCATTCTGGTTCTTATCAAAGTGTCTTCTCTTTGACAAATTTGGTCATCACCAAAATATGAGATCTTTAATAGAATTCTCTAATAAATCAATAAAGGGTTCTAAAATACCCAAGCATTCTTCTCTACGTCAAGTATCCTACTCTCCTGATTTAGAGCTCAATATCGGTGTATTTGAACAGAAAAATGTGAATAAAGTTGATTTCTTAGTTGTTGCATTTAATACTCAGGGTTTATCAAAGGTATTTCTCCTATTCATCCCTCAATTCACTCCATTTTGACGTTATTTACTACAGGAAGTTACAAACGTCTCTTTACAAGCTGCAGAGGGCGATCAATCTCAATTAATTAGTGTAAACTACCTACCAGATGATTCTTCTATCTGTATTTTAGCTAGATCTGGTGATATCGCTCTCATTCGCTTACAAGATTTCTCTTTCGATCAAACTGAAGATTATCCGACTGAAATCGTTGGTACAGTCGAACCAGGTATCGTAGCAGCCAGCTGGAGTCCAGATGAAGAACTTCTCGTCATCGTCACCCTCAACGACGACTTACTCCTCATGTCAGCCAATGGTAACTTCGACGTTTTGGCTGAAATGCCATTAAGATCTACAGACTTCGGTCAAGATAAGAACGTTAACGTTGGTTGGGGTAGCAAGTCTACTCAATTTCATGGTAGAGCCGGTAAACAAGCTGCTTCCCTCCCAGGTGGTCCTTCACTCGTTACAGAACAGCAAAAATCAGAGCCAGTTGGTTTAGCAGATGACGACGGAAAGGCTAGAGTAACTTGGAGAAGTGATTCTGCTTTCTTCGCTGTATCAACCCTTGATCTCCTTGACAAAGAGACTGGTGATGGTCAAGTCAAAGCACGAGTCATTCGTGTATACAGTCGTGCATCAGCTGCGTTGCAGTCTACATCCGAATTTGCTCCTGGATTGTCACAGTCGCTCGCTTGGCGTAAGGGTGCTGGTGCTCCTTCCATCGCAGCAGTCCAAAGGTTTGGTCAAACACCAGGATGTGCAGCTGGATATGACCATTTGGATGTCGTATTCTTCGAGCGTAATGGTCTTAGACATGGTGAATTCACCTTAAAGGGTGTTGCACAAGAGCAATTGGTTGCAGGCAAAATTGTCTCAGTCAGGGAACTTGAATGGTCGGCTGATGGCAGTGTTGTCGCTGCATGGCTTGATATTGATGGTAAAGACGTTATTCAATTGTATAGCACTGGTAATTGGCATTGGTATTTGAAAGCGGAGATACACGCCACTGAACTTTACAAAAGTCGCGTTGAGTCCATCAAATTTAGCGATGAAACTGCATTGAGTCTTAATGTTGTTATGTCATCTGAATATCGCACTATTGAGTGGGCATGGACCGTCTATTCATCGCCTAATGAGGTTCACGATCTCGGCTTAGTTGCTGTTGTTGACGGCGAGGAAACCAAGTTCACTCCTTTAGGTGTAGCCAATGTCCCACCACCAATGTCTCTCTATCAAGTCAAGAGCCAGGGAACACCAATACAATTGACGTTTAATCACTCTAAATTCGCTGTCTTACTTCCTTTAGGAAAGCTTGAAGTGTACAGCTATGATGGCACGAAACCACATTCTAAGCCAACGTTAGAGAAGTCAACCAGCTTGCCTTCACGTACTCGTCAAATTGCTTGGATGGACGAACAAACTTTGGCAATCACCTACGAAAATCCTGAAAGTAATTCACCTGCTATTGGAGTATTTGAAATAATAAAAGAGGAGTTAAGCCAAGTTAAATTCGATTCAGATGTACAATTAGACCATTCATTTACGGTAAAAGGTCCTGACGGTTCAGCTCTCATACAGGATGCGCAGTCTAGATTGTTTAAATTGACACAAGAGGGTATACTTGACGAGTTGGATATCGTGTTAGATGGATTTTGCCCACATCTGCAATACCATGAGGCTACATCCAACATTGTTGCTATGTCAGCCAACGGTAAACTCAAAATAGGAAACATAGACGCTGTGATGATGTCCACATTAGCAAATAACGCACTCTCATTTTCCCTCACTCCTGAGTTCTTGATCGCTACAACATCATCTCATAAAGCAATCTTCCTCGATTTAAATGAACAAAACGATAACGCTAAGCTCGTTGAAGAGTTGGAAGAAAGAAGAGTAGAAAGGGGTAGCAGAATTGTGGTCAGTTGCCCAAGAGCTATGAGATTAGTCTTACAGATGCCAAGAGGTAACTTGGAAACTATCGCACCACGTCCACTTGTTCTTCAGAATGTCAAGAGGGATGTCGATAGAGGTGATTACAGAAATGCTTTCATTGCATGCAGGAAACATCGTATCGATATGAATATCATTTTTGACCATAATCCTCAAGCATTCTTTGATAGATTGTCAACATTCATTGATCAGATCCCAGAAGTTGATCATTTGAACCTCTTCCTCACTGGTCTTCGTACTGAAGATCTCACTTTGACACAATACGCTAAGAAGAAGATTGAAAAGTGAGTGATCACTTTTCTTTCTAAACATCCTAATCTAACAATCCTTTAGCATCGACGCATCAAGACCAGATAAGGCTAATGAGATCTGTACAGCGATCAGAACAGAATTAGAAAAGAGAGACTTGGTAGCTTACACTCAAACTATAATGACATCTTACGTTAGAATGACACCACCTGATGTCGAAGCATCATTGAATCTCCTTCATAAGCTCAAATCAGTAGATAGTGAAATAGCGGAAGAGGGTGTTAAGTATATTATCTTCTTGGTTGATTCACGTACACTCTTCGATGTCGCTCTTGGAATGTATGACTTTGAGTTGGTCTTGATGGTTGCCCAACATTCTCAACGTGATCCTAAAGAATACTTACCATTCTTGAGGGAGTTGCAAGGTATGGAGACGGATGTACAGCGTTTCCATATAGATGACCACCTTCGGAGATATAAGAAAGCGCTTGCTAATATCTACAAAGCGGATGGTCATCTCGAGACCTTCATCACCTACACACAAGATCACGACCTTTACACTTATGCTTTGGAGTTATCTAAAGGTGACTCAGATAATCATAAGGTGAGTTTACTACGTTTATTTGATTATTGTCAACTTATTATATCCTAGGTTGTTCTTGAAGTGTATGGTGATTCACTCATGGAAAAGAAACTCTACAAGGATGCAGCATTGGCATACATTCTCGCCAAACTGTCAGAGAAAGCAATGGAAGCTTACGACAGAGCCCACGCTTGGCAAGAGCTCTTTGGATTGATGTCAGTACATGGAATCGAAAAGAGCGAGATTGAAGACACTGCTTACAGAGTTGCTGAAGACCTTAACCAACGTAGACGCTTCCAAGAGGCTGGTCGTGTGCTTTTTGACTACACTGACGATGTCCAAGCAGCAGCTGACCAATTTGTTAAAGGCAGCGAATTCGCTGAGGCTATCAGAATTTGTATATACAAGAACAGGAGCGACTTGGTTGAGTCATTCATCAAGCCTTCTCTCGTAAACACACAAGAAACAATGATGGATGAGGCTGATGAAATGGAGGAGCAACTCGCCAAGCAACTCGCTAGATTAGATGAGCTTCGCAAAGCTAAGCTTGCAGCACCGGAAGCGTTCTACCTTGAGGAAAGTCTCGAGAATAACCCAGCACTTGACAATGTAGATGTATCATCTGAAGCTACAACCGCATTCACTCAATTCACGAGATACACACAACGTGCATCGACATTCGCAAGCAGTGCTATGACAGGTGCGTCGAAGAAACAAAGCAAGCGTAGTAAGAGAAAGGCTGCGATGAAGGAAGCGAGTGGAAAGAGAGGTACAGTGAATGAAGAAGTATATATTTTAGCATCTATTGGAAGATTAGCAGAGAGGGTTCAAAATACATTGAGAGAGGCTAGCAGGTTGTTGTCATACCTGTTGATATACTCATACGAGGACGAACACAGATCTTTGACTGAAAAACTGGACAACTTACAGAAGAAGATAATTGAATCACTGGAAATTGGCTGGAAAGAGGATAAATTTGAGTTACCAAATGATCTTAGCGAAGAACATAAAGTTGTATACGAGAGAGCAGATGGAGAGCTCAGAAGGAAGTATCAACTACCAAAGAAGCCAGAAATGGCAGAAATAAATTGGAAATCATTGTAAAAAAAACAATTTTATTAGTTTTTATCTACGACTGTCATAGAGAAGCTAGAAGAACTTGGAGACATACCATGAGTTTGAAAATACCAAAAAGTCAAGGCATAGACCTATTCAAGCCAGGTGGAAAGCAGTTATCGGGTATAGAAGACGCCGTCGTCAGGAATATCCAAGCAGTCAATGAGTTATCAGAAATCGTCCGTACTTCATTTGGCCCAAATGGTAGGTAATTTAACAGACACTAAGCTTCTATTCATAGTTTATAGGAAAGAATAAGCTTATTATCAATCACTTGGATAGACTCTTCGTGACTAACGACGCTGCGACTATCGTACAAGAGTTAGAAGTTGTTCATCCGGCAGCCAAACTCGTCGTTATGGCCTCACGTCAGCAAGAGCAGGAGGTGAGTCTAGCCTAGATATCCTATCCGCCAGCTTACACGCTCTTTAGGTCGGTGATGGCTCAAACCTCGTACTCATTTTAGCTGGTGAATTACTCAAGAAGGCAGAAAACTTGTTGGTTATGGGTTTGCACCCATCTGAGATCGTACAAGGTTACGAATTAGCAAGAAACAAGGCACTCGATTCACTTGCTGGTATGTCTTCTCCCTTACTTTTTGAACAACATCTAACAGCACATTAGAACTCGAGAATGATAAATTAGAATTACCAGTGTCAAAGGACTCATTAGTTAAATCTATAAAGACTTCTTTAGGCTCAAAGCAATTCGGAAATGAAGACTTCTTGTCTGATTTAGTAGCAGATGCCGCAATTACTGTCATGCCAAAAGATCCAAGTCAATTTAACATCGATAATGTCAGAGTTGTTAAGATTATGGGTGGAAATCTCTACGAGTCACGTGTTCTTAGAGGTATGGTCTTTGGTAGACAACCTGAAGGTGCGTTGATAGTACGAAAAATATACTTTCTAATCCATCTCAGGTGTTGCACGTAATGCTCAAAAAGCTAAAGTCGCCGTGTTCACTTGTGGTATTGACATTTCACAAACTGAGACAAAGGGTACCGTTTTACTCAAGAACGCAGATGAAATGCTTAACTTCACTAGAGGTGAAGAGCAACAAATTGAAAAGGTAATCGTGAAAATCGCACCATCCTGCAAATTACTAATATTCTATTCAGATCCTTAAAGAAATTGCAGACTCAGGTGTTAAGGTTGTCGTTGCAGGTTCACAAGTTGGTGATTTAGCTTTACACTACTTGAACAGATTAGACATTGTTGTTATCAAGGTTTTATCCAAGTTTGAACTTAGAAGATTATGCAGAGTCGTAGGCGCTACACCATTAGCAAGATTGGGTGCACCAACACCTGAAGAAGCCGGTCACATTGATGTTTTAGAAACAACAGAAATTGGTGGTGACAGAGTTACAGTATTCAGACAAGACAATGATCAATTAACCCGTACAGCTACGATTGTTCTTAGAGGTGCAACTGCTAATCACCTTGACGATATCGAAAGAGCTATTGATGATGGTACGAATATCATAAAGACACTTTTAATGAAAGATCCAAGATTCATTTCAGGTGCTGGTGCATCTGAGATTGAACTCGCAAAAATTATTGAAAACTTTGGTGACAAAACACCTGGATTAAATCAACATGCAATAAAGAAATTCGCACAAGCACTTGAAATTATTCCAATAACTTTATCAGATAATGCAGGTCTTAACTCAACTGAAGTTTTATCAAAATTATGGGCAGCTCACTCAACAGAAGAAGGTAAAAATATGGGTATTGACGTAGATGCGATATCAGATGAAGGTTTAATTGATACAAAATCATTGGGAATTAAAGATAGTTTAGCTGCTAAATGGTGGGCTATTAAGTATGCAGTTGAATCGGCAATTGCAGTCTTAAGAGTTGATTCTATCATTATGTCAAAAGCTGCTGGTTTAGCTCCACCTCAACAACAGGGACATTGGGATGACGACTAAGTAATAAATTAATGTGTATCTCTTCTTTTAATACAAGATGCTTCTTTTCTGAAACTGTTCTAAATAACTAAATATAAGAGTGCGAAAGATAATGAAAGCATTAAAGTAAATGGTGATGAAACGTGAAGAGAAGATCCTCCACTGCTTGCTTTATATGGCTCAGGTGATGCTTGGAAAGCTATTTGGCTGCTAGTTTGATTGTTGTACTCCCAGCTAATATCATCTGGTCCGATAGGAACTTCACTAGATTGTCCACACTTTATTGAAATAGATTGGATAGTAGCCTTAAATGGTCCTTTTGACCAGTCAATCTTACCACCACCCCATTCGAATGAACCTGGTGAAACATCTTCAATACCTGATGGCCATACTGAGAATTGTAATCTAGAAGGTGATTCCGGATAATGTGCTTTTTTATCCCATCCGACTGTGTCATCCTTTCTCAATGTGCGTACAACTTGTCCATCAATCTTCCATTCCAACTTGTCTTCTTGCCAGTTGAAGCCAAAGTCGTGGAATTGGCCATCAGTTGGGAATTTGTGGGTATCTCCATTGGTATAATCCGTGACGCCTTGATAGTAATAGTTTGATTGACCTTCACCGGTTTTAGCACCGACGAATTCCCAGTCAACTTCATCGTGAATGTCTGACATTAAAATCATTGTTGAGATAACACCATTAGTACCAGTTACTCTCATTCTAGCATTAAATTCACCATAAAGCATCTATTAAGACATTAATTTAACGACGTCAAATTGAAACGAACGATCACTCACATATCTAGTTGATGACAAACGTGTTCCTTTGTTATCTTCATCCATAATCATTGTGAGCATGTTTTCTTCTCTCGTTATGTCACCTTTATCAAGTGTAAAGTCATACTGATCAGCTTCGCCTATAATGATGTTAGAAAGAATTCTGAATAACGGATTGATAACGAACCATTATAATCTTCTGGTTTTTGAGTAACGCGCGACCAAGCAGTTCTGTCAAATGCCTTAATTTCTAAATCTTCACAAATTGGAACTAAAATTGTAAGATGAAAATTATAATGTATAAATGATGTCTCACCATTTGAGCATGCGTTTGGAGCAGATACACGTGGATCACAACCACCGCGACAGTGCGCAACTGTATCACCACAGTGACCGAATTCTAACATGATTTAGCTATTGTTTCATATTTAAGGAAGAAACCTAACTGACCAGAACAACATGGATTCTTTTCTGGGCATGTTAAACCTGTTGCTGCACTACAGCTACCGCCATTAAGGACAGCTTGTGATGTGGCTATCAAAGCCGCTAAGAGAGTGACTGATAATACGCGTCTAGCGTTTGGCATTTCTTTTATTATTAAATGAGTGTGGGTGTTCTAACGATAGTGATTATCAAGCGCGCTCATAAATAAGCTTCAGTCTAGTCTAGATTCTTAATATTCATACCGGTCAATCTTCACGCCAGAACGAATCTGAATAGCCAAACGTGGGGGTGAAATAAGTAAATCGATAATGTTTTTATATAAACTGTGGCTATTAGTTTACTGCTATGTATATATATAACTAATATACTGCCAGAAATCTTCTGCACACAAAAACTACGAGAATATCAAGAACGAATATATGAATGCTTTATCATAAAACAATGTAAAGTATATAGGGCCATAGAAGTCAACCTGTCTGCACCGATCCACAAACTATTACATCCATGAATCGAAAAGCAGCAGGTCCGGCTCTTCGAGGCTCAAGTTTTATTCTACGACTAGACGCATACCGTAACCAAATCTATTAGCACAGTCACAGCGTTATTTGCTTTTGCATAACGCCGCCGGTCATCGTCATTCTTAGAGGAGAGACAACAAATCGAAAAAATATAAGTACAGTAAAATTTAAAATCAAATAATTCAAAGTTTCTTAGTGATTAGGTCCTTGCCAACTCCTAAACTACGTTTACCGATGTTCGTTGCTAGTGAGAGTACACCCATTGAGCGTTGTGCTTCGTCCTCGGAGAATGTTTCAGAAGGAAGTGACCAATCGTCGTCATCTTCGATATCCTGCGCATCTATACCGTCATCATGTTGAAGGTTTTCGTGTGCTCTTGTCGTAATAACTGTAGAGGCATAGTCCATATAACGGTATAAGCATTCGATCGCGTTGGCCTGTAAGATAATGAGATAGATCAGTATTATGTGTCTCAGTACTCACGACACCATTTTCATTTCTAATCTTTTCTCCCACGGTTTTGGCGTTGGCTATCTGCTTCTCATCAGTCGTTGCAGTCTTCAAAGCCTTTGATAGTGTCTCTACAGTGAGTTTTCGAACGCTAGAACCCACTCCAGTGGCCTCAACTCTATCAGCGTTGAAGAATTGATCACCAAAGAAGGGCTTTATAACCGTTGGTAACCCTGCTCGTAAACTTGCTCCTGTAGTACCACTACCGCCATGATGAACAGCTGCATCAATCATTGGGAATAGCTTCGCATGGTCAATAGTATCAATAGAGAATATTGAAGGTGGGAAGAGTAGCTTCTCCTCCTTTTTACCAGTGTGCATCCTATCTGACCATCCTTTGGAAAGCACAGCATAAACATCTGCTTGGGATATTGCTTCAACTACGCATTTAGTCATCTCATCAGGGTCGCTGACGACTATAGATCCAAAACCAATGTATACTATCTTCTTATTTAGACTCCTGCCCTGCGCTATAAACTCCAACAGACCAGCTGGTGCGTCCCACTTGCCATTGTTGTCGTTTACGCTGTTTTCGCTGTTTTCAGGCGTAATCGAGTCTAGGAACCAATAACCAGTGACATGTATCCATTCATTCCAATCGAGAGGTTTTGGTACCAAAGTAGGTGAAATGCAATACAAGAATGGTACTTTATGTTGTGCCAATCTCTGCAAATTCGTCCCCGTCAGACCCAAAGTGGACCTTCTCCACCTGTTAACTTGACCAGAGATCGCTCTCCAGAATACCTGATCGAAAAGTGTATAGGTCATCCAATTGTATGAGCCCCCCATTCTACTTTCTGGCACAGCGAACGCATGTGGATAAGCCCTAGTTCTTGTCCATGTCATAGTGAATGCTCGGAAGTAAGGTATTTGAAGAGCTTCTGCTATGTGTATACCCGCCATTGCTGATGGTGACTCAATCAATAAATCACTTCCTTGACAAGCTTCCCAAGAACATTTAAGTAAATCATCTAACCAGCTTCTAAACTTAAACAAGCCTTCTCGTAAGAAGGAAAGCGTGAAAGTGCCGTGCTCGACGCATATTTGCATAAGTTCAGCTGGATCTCCTCCAACTTCACGATGCTCTATTCCGTAATTTTCTATCCAATCTTTGTATTCGAGATGGGTTGCTATTCTACAATGATGACCTTCTTTAATTAACCCTTTGCACAACGCAATGTAAGGTTGAACATCACCTCTGCTGCCTATCGTTAAGCAAGTAATACGTAATGGATTTTTTGGCTTAAACGAAACAACTGACGTTGAAGGTGAGACGCCTTCTTCACCAAGCACTGGAGCCGTTAATGAAGGATGTCTGTATGATAGCGACAAATCTTCGATAATCTGAGCCTCTTGTAATCCTTTCGATGACTGTGTTTGTTGTATGGAAGCGCTCCTAAAGATTTTGTCAAGTTGTGTGTTTAGCAACTTCTCGCAAGCATCACGACGATTCGACGTGGTGAATTCTAGAAAAAGTTCTTCATGACCTTTAGTTGATTGAGCAACATTCAGATATCCGAATGATGATACTCACGGTGAATGATCATTATGAGACCATGGAATGAGAATCGAAGTGGTTTATGAGGCTGTACAGCTTGTAGATCATTCAGAGGTAATATCATCTAAGCACTTTGAGTTGTACTGTAAACTCGAATGTAATAACATACCTTTGTTCTTGACCAGATCTGAAACGACCTAAAGCATAAATAGTTGTTTGTGATATATACTTTTCCTGGTGTAGGATAGACTCTAAACAGAGCACAATTAAAATGCCCTAATATCTTCTCGCCTGGTAGAGCAAAATAGTCATTAAACTTGCGTTGCACCTCCTCTTCAACTTTAAGTATATCCTCCATACCAGCACTGTGCTCCAGAACAGAAAAGTCACTCCCAACTTCTTCAAATTCATCATCAGATTCCGCTACACCTGAATTACTTCTAGATCTGTTATTGTCATTACTTCTACTATTCGTAGGTTCTTCATAATGTTCATAAACTCTACTATTTGTTCTCATTAATTGATTCGTAAGTGCAGGATTTGGTAAAGGTTGCTGACGTCCTTGATTGCTATTGTTGTTATTTAAGAAGGGTATAGAAGGCAATTTTGGTAATATTGTAGATAAGTGCGGATGTGGAATCATCCTTGGTGCACTATAAACAACTTTACCTAATTTGATACTACCTGATTTGATCCATGAGGGTATCTCGGCCGTGAGAGATGAACTTCTGCTGCGACTATTTTTTGTGTTGCTTGGTGGATACGTGTGATTTCCAATGTGACCACTCGATGATGGACGAGCTGTGACTTCAGATCCATCGATGAATTCATCTTTCATTTTCGTAGGAGACATAACGAGATTTTCATTTGACAGTATCCGATGTACATCATGTCTATGTGTTTCTAGAATCTCACTTAAAGTGTTACACGCTGACTGACTATCTCTAAAATGATCAAAGTAGTAGTAATCAGCTCCATCCTCATTGTTGATAAAGCTAACAGATATACTATCAGCAAACTCGAGATTTGATGACCTCTCTACGTTGATCACATGATCATATGGAATCACAAGCTTATAGATTGTCAGCAAATAGAATAGAAAGCTAAATTATTTACCTTGAAAGAGCCAGATTCATTTTGAGATCTAAACATACCCTTTCTGATTACTTTAACCCATTCATTTCTGCCAGTTTTCGAATCGGCTAAGAAAGTGAACTTGCGCTCTGAGGTGAAAATCGTGAATTCTCTATCGGAATTCTTGACGGTTACGCATCGTATGGCATATCTGAGTGCTACATTTCCCACAGGAAAGTATGGATCTATAGCACTACCGAACCAACTCAGGACGTCATCTTTGAGTGCAAGCCAGTATCTAATAACTCTACGCGTCCTTAAAGTGCGCTTACCAATCGGCCCTGTCTTGACGACATTGTTGCGCTCAAGGGTTGGTACGTGAGCAAAGAAACAGAGGAATGAGTTGGTCGAGTATAAGAAACCCTCAAGGAGGGGTCGATAACTGGATCCTAAAAGTGAGCACCTATATTCGGCTTTGATATCTTCCTGGCTGTCTAAATCGAAAATCTCTGAAAGCTTCTTAGAGAGATTCCTGCGTCTTTGGGTTGATTTCTTCTTTAAAGATTGTGACCTCATCCTTGTGAGCTCGGAATCATCAGAATGTGCCGACCTATCTGATCCCGCTTCTTCGTCCTCATCCTGAGATTCATGAGGGGTTCCTGACATTGATGTCGACATTGATTCATGTAAATGTGTCTGAGGTTTATTGTGTACTGTATTCAAAGAGGAATACATATCTAATGAGCTGTCAGAACCAGCAAAAGGTGTACCTAAAACAGGCCTACCAAATACCCGATGATCCTGTGTATCCTCCTGTGCATCCTCATCGTCGTCATTGCTGTCATCGTCTGCATGGTGTGCAAAGGCCTGTATAACCTGGATCAAAGACTGTGTACCCATTCTCATCTATTAATTGTAAGTAAAGAAGTAAACATGTGTTGTGTCCTACATTGACATCACCTCTCCAGCTATTAGGCGGCGTCAAAAAGGCCGATGTTGTACCTGGCTGTGTGAGTATCTCATTAGGGGGTGCTGTATTCTGTTAGGTGTCTGATATCGTAATAAAATCCACTAACTCGACTGAGAGTACTCCTTGTTACTGTCAGCTGCTGAGTTGCTAGTATTTACAACGTCTTCAACGTTTTCTTCGCTTTTATTCGTTTTAGATTCAGTTTCATTACTTTCTTCTGTACTTTTCTGCTGTTCGTCTGTGACGTCGTGCTTATCCTCAGATAAATTCATCACATTCAGAACGAAAGAAGGATTTCAGTCCAAGTATACAAATAAATTATCATTTTTATTAATTTACACCACCGAACAGCTCACGTATTCTTCCGATAAGCGTGCTTGGCTTCTTGTCTTGCTTCGCAGGTTTGCTTGTGGCTCGTGGATGTCGTAATCGGTTTATAATAACCGGTAGGGCTTCTTCTCTTGCATTCTTCATCTCAGTTTCTAGAACTAGTAATCCTCGTCGTGAAAATGCAGGTGCTATCGCGTTATACGATTTGATAATGCTGTTCACCCTGTCAATAAGTATGTTGTGGTAGGACACATTTCGGTCTTCCCAGACTTGATCCCGGTAGCTACGTACGACATCATCGCTACTATAATTTGGTAAATCAACCAGAGCCCTCTTGACAATCTCTTCTCTGAGGTAATTCCGGAATGACGTAGTTTCGCGTTCCACTGACATCTGCATCTCTACGAATGGAGGCACGGCGCCCTGTCTAGATATGAGTCTATTCAAAATTTGTTCATCTCTACTAATGAATGCGTTCTCTTCATTCAAACTCGCAAGTGGTTTACCTCGTCCAGGAAGATTGCTAAACTTACCATTTCTTTGAGCAATTTGTATTTGGTCCTCTATGTGTGAATTCCACGCTTGAATATTTTGTGGACGGGCTTTGGTATATTCCGTCTTCTCTACGTCATCTAAACTACCAGTGAGAGAGTAATCGAGTGCACCTTCACGTGCATTCGATATTCTACGCACTTTTGTTTTCGATTTCTTTGTATTCCGTATATGTGCCTTTGTTCTACTGTCTAAATCCATAGATTGGACTTTCTGGAGCGCCTGAATCTCAGCAGTATTTCGGGCTCTATAGATAGCAGGTCTCTGACTACCCGATGCATGTGAAGGTGCTACGTAAGTTGCGTCCCACGTTTGATAGCTTGGATCTGACGGTATAAGATTATCTGTATGTGTAGGTTTTTGAATGGTTTTTAGACGTGATTCACCATATAAGCCTTTATTGCCACTTCTGAGTGGTTTTTTTGCGTCTAAAAGCATTCTTAAACTTGTATCCTGTGGGTGTTCATCGCCATCCCAGGCATTCGCTGAGTGCAACTCGCTATCATGATCTGACAATCTGAATGCTTTTCTCTCTGTACTGCTTTTAGATTCCTCTCTGATTGCATCCCTAAGTAGTTTCTGTGCAGCAGATTTCTCTAGTAATATCGCTGTATAACGCATAGTGATCGTCGTATGAATAAAAGGACTATTCAATAAGCTGTATAGAAAATTCTTCGTTAATTCCTTCGTTCAAGGATGCCATCATCATCTCTACAACTTGTAGGCGGACACAAAGATAGCATAGAACTCGATGAAGATGATCTCCTAATAAAAACAACGAATAAGACTGAGCTAGAGTTCTACCAATCCGTCAATATAGCACATCCAATATTCGCTCACATACCTCAATTCTACGGTATGCTGACCCTGCAGGCGGGTGAGCAGAACGTTGATGCACCAAAGGAGGTAAGTACACCTTAGTCTGAGTATTCATATTCACCATGCAGGCTATCGTACTAGAGAACCTCACCGACTACTTCTCAATTCCAAACATCTGCGATATCAAATTAGGTAAAATTCTCTATGACGATGACGCAACGGAGGAGAAACGCGAGCGTATGATTAAATCTGCTATGGATACAACTAGCTATAGTACAGGTATGCGTTTCACTGGATTCAAGGTGTGTATTTTAGCCACCTTCCCCAACACTTATCAAGACACAGGTGTGGAACTCAAAAACAGAGTCATACGAAACAACGGGAAAGGAATATGGAAAGTCAATAAAATCCCATGAGCTCCAAGAAGCCCTCCGGAAGTTCATACCAACACCTCACACTCTCACACTCGAACAACTCAAGCTAGTCGTGTCTAGCATTCTTAAACAAGTTCAAGAAATACGTGACGCTGTCAAGATTATGCCATTCAGAGCAATTAGTTCGTCTTTATTAATCGTTCACGAGGCTGATAGTGAAGATTTCCTAGAAGAACAAGCTGCGATGGTTAAATTGATAGATTTCGCTCATACTAGATTGACGCCAGACGATTCTCTTCCAGATACGAACATATTATTGGGTATCAATACGCTAATTGATCTATTGTACAGTTATAACGACTATATTAATGAAGAAGTAGATTACTGATGTAATAATATCTTGGTCCTCTTACTTTACTGGCTCTTCATTCTCGTCATTTGGGTGACTGATGTGTAGCTTCTCTGCCATTCTACGAACTGTATTCGAAGCTTTCTCTCTACGGATCTTGTGTTTCTTCGACATATTCCCGTAGGTTTCAAGACCCCAAAGCATCACCTCTGACTTACCTACCTTCACTTTGTCAAGGTTTAGGCCTTGCTTTTCCATTCTAGAAGTCATGAGTAGGGAGATGTACTATAAGAGCGTACCCACTCATTTAAGAATATCTTGAAGTGATTCTTGGGCGTTTGTCAGCTCATTAAGTATTATATGCAAAGCACACACCATAGATGATCTATAATGTCCACTGAGGGGACTGAGAGCAGTAATCTGACCATTACGAACACGAATCAAACCAGCACTAGCAACTAAACCGCCAGAAAGGAAAGAGGAGTGTTGGAAAGTTCCAGTTGTCTTGATTCCAACAAATACGTTATCTAGGCGCAATTAGAATCTGTCTTAATTTGATTAGATACGTACACTGCATATCACAAACCTAGTTTTATGTTAGAATATCGTTAATATTATATAGTAATGAACTAACGTAAATCCAGGTATTTTTCCCGACAGTCTTGCGCAAAAGTCTATCCATCAAACCATGTGTGGTAAATTTATGCGGTTTATGACCCTTCTTGTCTTCAGAGTCAACCATATAGTGGGCATAATGGTGGGCATCGTCACGTCTACGTTCAGCCTCTTCACTATCCATACCGTCATCTGAACTGGATGGTGAGTCAAAGGATGTCCAAATTGAACTATCTGAGCTGTGACTTGATTTATCATCTGCGACTTCCTCTTCTTGTGGTTCCTCGTTGTCTTCTTTATTAAGTGGTATAATTCCAGAACCATCTCCTGAATCTTGCCATCTTCCTGGCGCAGTATCGACTGGTTCGCCATTCTTAGCCCAGTGTAACTTTCCGGTAGATGGATTAGGAACAACTAGGTAACTGAGCGATGGTAAGTAAATAACGGGAAAGGTACCGCTTTCTAACCCACTTCAAACGCTGTTCTGCTGAACAGTAGCTGTACTTAAGTCAATGAAAGTGCTTATCAATAATGATAACCCACAAAATCTGTTCACGTTCCTTGTAACGAATTAGGTAGATTCTGGGTCTTAAAGGATACACTCACCAATCTCTCCCGTGGGCATTCATCAAGGTCTAAGTCTTTACCTTCACCGAAATCGAGCCTATGTCACATCAGAAAACGCTGTCTTGATAAGAAATTGGCTTACCAACGGAAAAAGTTCTCTTCTGTACCAGACTCATGCCATATACGATGGTACCATTTCAAGTTAGCACCATACCTATGTTTAGTGTCTATCATTTCTAACCAATGTTGCTCTTCCAAACGCTTGGATTGCTTCTCTTGTAGAGCCTGTGGTGGTTTCTGATCAGGCCCTACACGCCCTTGTATACGACGTTCTATTGCTCTCTTCTTGTACTTTGCTTTGGTAATGAAATCCAAATTGAAGGTAGACTGGCTGACGTCTCTATCGCCTTCTTCTTTACTGGCTAACATTTCTTGTACTTTCGCTGATACATGTGTAGGGTCTTGATCTTTGGCTGGTGCTTTCACACCTTCACCGTCTTGTAACCTTGAAGCTAAGAATCCAGCACGTTGGAACCTATCTGAGATACTATTGCGACCTTGTGCACAAGACTGATGTCCCATTACTTGCTTCATTTTGAGATCTAGAATACTTCATCAATTGATAAGCTTTCTAAGGGGGTCAATACTAACCGGTGAGTGTTTCTATAGAAAACTATTAATATCACTACTAGGAATTAGTTGCAATACTCACCAGTCCATCTCGTAGAGGTTGCCAATCTTTGTTGCTGAACTTGCACTCTCTCTTGTTTACCCCTGAAGGCAGCCTAATAAGTTTAATAAAATAAATAAGTAATAGTGCAATAACACTCACTTGCAATGTTATTGCCGCTTTCTCAATATTTTCGTCGCTCATAGTAAGGCCGAAAGACGCAGCAGCCATCTATAAATAGGTCTACACAAGATTTATAAGTACACAACTAATTATTTCTATATACCATAGAAATCTATAGAAATTCAAGGAAGCTATCCTGCTTGTTTTCCTGTGGTATAAACTTTGGAAACTAATGTCAAACAGTTAATTCTTGGCTGTTTCGCTTTTTTTATCACCTACCCAATGATTGTTCGGCGTCGGAGGTGAAACCAACTGCTGAGGTATTTTCAACCCATTCGGTTGCGATATAGCTTTTGTCAGTGTCGTTGGGGACATAAACCCGTTATTATTCTCGCCGCTGTCGTTATTTCCTTTCGAACAGCAGCTACTACCTTCCTGAGTCGAAGTTCGCATGATAGGTGGTGGTGGAGGCACTAAATCACGTTAGATTGTATTTTATAAGTTAAGCATTACCAACTTAAATCAGCTTTGGACTTCTTGTCTGCTTCGCCTTCGCAATTACATGACGTGCAACACCCACAACAATTCTCTTCACACTTACAATCAACACCATGCTCTTGACATTGACAGCTACCACCACAACACTCCGTTTCGAGAGGTGGAAGTCTCGTGATGCCTTTATTCCGGGGATCGTAGAGTTGCTGCCATGACTGCAAACCAAAAGCCTTACCATCAACGTAGCTCTCTATAGTAGAATTCAACCCTTGAGGTGGGTATGGCACCAATGAGCTAGCTTTATGGAGAAATTCTTCGAGATTTCCACATTGTGTTTTGTTGAGCAAACCCTGTACGTCAATTTCGTCACATCCACATGTGGCGCTCTCCTCCTCTAGAGGTAAAGGTGGATTTCCATGAGTCAAGCAACCGGGACATGCGCAAGTTGGTCCACAAGCACATTTACCAATGACGTCAGTGATTGAGGGCAGCATATCGTTAAGAATTTCTCTCTTTTTAGCTGAGCAGTTACACCGCCCACCAACCTTACATTTACAAGGATTCATGAGCCTCTCCAAACTGACTGTGCTGGGTTCACCTTTGTTTGCGGTTGGCAGAGGTACGAGAGTAGAATAAGCATCCTTTAGACCATTTGGATAGTGTGGTTTCTCCGGTAGTGGTGCTCTCTCGCCTTTTTTCAGTTTCCGTGGTGGAGGACCATCTTTCTTCGGCAGAATGGTGCTTTCAGAGGGACAAATACATCCATTACTACCCTATGAGTGTATTAGAAGTCGAATTACTGTCTCAAAAATCCCATACCTTATCATTTTTACGTATTTGCTTACATTTTGGACATTGCGCAGGCGGTCGACCTTTCCTTTTTACTTCAAATAGCGGACGATCGTCGTGTGTGCATGAGGATGATCTGTGGCCTTTATTCTATTAGATAGTGAAGGAATTGAATAGTTTTAGCTACCTTTTATACAAGTAGCACTAACTCAATGAGCGAAATAAGAGATAGACTAGGGATACTAACCAGGCAAGTTTCACTCCATTGATGTGAGGCTATCGAATTTAATTGGAGCATAGTTATTAGGAAATACCCACCATCCTGCCTATCGATAATGATCGTCAACAAACAAGAGATAGATACCGACAGAGTGGGGTACAATTTTATGTTGTTATTGTATTGTATAGACTATTAGTTTTCTACTATTTACATACTAGCTACACTAGTTACATTTATTACAGAAGGTTATACCATATAAACTGTCACATAAAACATGATGACTTGGATTGTGAATGTTTCTCCTAATATCCTAAAAATGATGCACAATATGCCATGTATTTGAACACACTGCCTTTATTTCCCTCTGATTGAAATTAGCTTGAATAGGCATGTTAACTAGTTTGTCTTTTTTGCAAACCCCTATAGAACTAAATATTAGCTATAAGTACTTCCCAGTATTTACGGTAAACAGAAATAATTTCCAACTCTATAGCATCCCAACCCATGGTTGCAGCGTAATGCTGTGACCAAAAGACATAGCTATCGCAGGGCAGTTCTAGAACTGGGAGACTTATTTATTCAAATTTCTTATCATGTAGCATAGCTATTTCACCATTTAGACAGCAGGTATTCAGTTTTAGATCATATTTGCTCTCCTGATAAGGATAACAACGTCATATAGCCATACGATAACCCTCCTTTTGATGATTGAATTAGTATTGTTATTTACATCCCCTAAGATAAGCTTCCTTCACCACTCTAACTTCTATGCTGACCGCTTTGAAATCTCCAACATAATCAAGTCTGTACCCTAAATGACTTCGAGTTCAACGTAAAACGAGAAAATGTTCATCGAAAAGGCAACTAGTAACTAGTAAACTGTCCAAGAATTAAATTATGAGCCGATCAGGGTCGTTATTATAGATGTAGTCGCCGAGGTAGTTGACTCAAGACGTACCTTTGATGATCGTTTATCGCGACTATTCCTGCCTGAGCAAACTTTTAAAAAGCCATCGCATAAGTACCCTTAGAGTTATCTATAAAATAAGTCGAATATCCTTCCTATATTCAAATTATACACCTCTCCAGATGTTACCGAAAAAGGCAAGTCTGGCGATATATTTCTCGATCATCGCTCACTAATCTAAGTACGAACTGCCCATACATTATTCTGTCTGTCAGACTAGAATTTTCACATTATATTGTTCTGGGAAAGTCAGATTTTATACGGGTACATTTGATCTGTCTCATTGATTGTTTTCTAAATAATGGTAACAGCCATGAAATATTTCTCTTTCGACTCAATCTTTTGCCATGCGCTCAGTTACTTATCTAGAGTAGCTGATTTCAACACATCTCTTGTACCATTTATAATGTAAAACACGGTTATTTCTAGACAAAAATAATTATTTTAACTGTATTACCTTACTAAATAACATTAAAACACTTCGTGTATACTGAAAAATATTATATCAATGCAAGAATTATAGAACTAATAAAGATTTTTAATAATGCTCTAAAATAATTTGGTTATGCTATGCTATTTAAGTTGATGCATGTTCCTTTTACCGATCGAAGTAGTCTTGCTGTTGCATTTCTAAACTATGTAAACCCAATTGTCGTACGTCCGCATCAGATGAAGTTTGTTGTGAATCTGAATTAGACAAGCCTAAAACATCGAAAAGTCTATTAGGCCTTGGCCTTAATATACTGCTTATGCTTGGAAGATTGGTGTCACTACCTCCATTACTTGAATTATGAAATGGTGGTAATTCTTCAAATAATATATCACCTCTCCTTACCCGCGCATACTCTTCTTGCATATATGCGCGAAGATCATGTATACCCTTACCACTAAAAACACAGAACACTTGTCGTTGATGTTCACTAAACTCTTTAGGAGGTGCTCTACAAAACCTTTGCAAATCAGGTCTTCTAAAATCAGGTATACCACTTAGTGAAAGATGCGTTAACTTCTGAAGTCTTGAAATGAGAAAGTGTACCGCGTTTACTGTAATTTTTTCGCAATATGATAAATGTATCCTCTCTAGTTGAGTATATGTATCGCAGAGAGCATATATTGAAACATCTGTCAAATTAGTAACTCTAACTAGTCCAATTCTTTTCAACTTTGGCATATTCCTTGCTAATTCTGTTATTGAGTTATCCGTTAAATTTGGACAACATGCCAGATCAATATATCTTATACGCGTACACATTCGAGCGAGAACTATAATGCTTTCATCAGTAATAGACGTCACGTGGCCAAGATGTAATGAGTGTAAAGCCTTTCCTAATTTTGAAATGTTTTTTATTGCTATATCGGTGAGATTTGAGCACTTTGCCAAGACGAGATTTCGCACCTTGGGCGCATGTGCTATTATGCCTTTGATCGCTTCATCTGTTATTGACGTACAACTTGTCAGATCCAAATGTCGTAAGACTTCGAAATGTTTGACTTGCGGTTGACTGACTAAAGTGTACTGATATGGGGTTGTCGTAGGTGGAGGTGGAGATGGGAAAGCGGAATCATCTATAAAGGCGCATTGTCCTAGTCTAAATTCACGCGTATTTATCCCGTTCTTCCAGAATAAGCTTACGGAAGATGACGAGATTGAACACTTTGTAAAGTCTACTTCAAGTAAATCTGGGCAATTTTGGGCTATTTCTACGACTGTAACATCCGTGAGCTGTCTCAAATTGCATAATTTAAGCTGTGAGTGTGTTAATAAGTGTTATATGGGTAGTATAGTAACACGTACTCTTCGTAAATGTTTACAACCTCTTGCTAATTCAGAAACACCTTCATCTGTCACACCATCACAATCAGTGAGGTTCATTCCCTGTAACTTTTTGCAATTCTTGGATATCACTTTGAGTGTCTTATCTGACATCTTCGTTATACCAGATAAATCCAAAGCTAGGACATTTTTACAGCTTTCTAAAACGAATTCCAAGCTGCTATCACTAAGATTTTTGCATCCTGTCAATGTTAACCGTTCTAAGCGATTACATTTGGCCACAGGGAGGAAGTAGGGGTCACTGATCCAGTTGTGAATATTAGAGAAGTTCAACCTTCTGACGTAGCTTGAGTAATGGAAAGTAGGCGTGTTTGGGTATAGACCGCCGAGTATGTGAGCGAACTTGACATAAGGAGTGGCGGCCGGAAATGAGGGTCTATGCCATAGTATCTCTATACTACAAGCACACCAGGTGCGACAAACTAATAAAGCGTTTAATAAATGCGTTGGATTGTTGAGTAGACGTAATATGTGAATGAGGATCTCAAGAGGAAGGGTGGTAATTGGACCATTTGGGTTGTTCAAATTATCGAGCAAACCGTCGTTAGTTTTTATTGATAGAGGAATCGACTCCCTGGCGCCCCCTTTTGGTGTCATTTGAGTGCCGGTGACTTCAGCCAAAGCTAGTGATTGCAGTATCTCAGCTTCAAAATTTATGTCATTCTCATCATTTATTGAGGATATAGACGTGTTCGATGGCGTTGGTGATCCTGGTGTGTCCATTTCGACGACGACTACCTTGGAAGTTGACTGTCAAGTCTTAGTATCCAGAAAGGGAAAATAAATATGGAAATATCTACAAACGTCATAATAGATTCCGTTGATTTATTCGTACAGGACGCCATAAAAACTATCAGCCGTAAACGTACAACAGACGGGATTTACAGTCAACAATCTAAGAAGAAAAGGCTCGACGAGAGTGCTTCAAATGCAATAGGCGGATACTCTAACCCTCCAGATCACTCCCTAAATCAATTTGAGTCAAATTCAAGCACAACAAACTCCGGTAAAGCTCAAGATCTTCTCAAGTTGCTCAGTAGTAAGCCATCTACGTCTTCTTCTATGGAGAGCAACCCTCAATCAACTTCTTCAACTCAAACGAACGCACAAGATCTGCTAGCTTCTTTACTTCTACCTAATAAAGAGAAGGAATCCAATAAGAAGCGGAAGCAACCACAAACCGCCACAAGTAGCTCCAAGGAAAATGCTGATATCGACATGTCAGATATGTTTGGACACGCAAAGATGTTCTTTGGCGACACAGAGAAGAAATATCAAAGAAAGGATCGTATACCACGTACAGTTGAAATTATACACGAATTAGAAAGGGGTGATGCATCACACGCTGACCTTTTAGCCAAGAAATGGTTAAGTTTCGGTGAATTAGCAGAGTTGGAGAAATCAATTGGTCTCAAATACAAGAAAGGAAGGTTTAGCTTAACGGAAGACAAAGCTATTGAGGATTTCCTCAATAGATATAAGAGCACCCAAGATTGGAATGACGATCAGCTTAGGGAGATGATATTCGACAAGAAGAAAAACAAAGACAAATTTTGGTCTGAATTGACCGAGCAACTTCCACAAAGGCCATTGATGGCTGTTTATTCTCATGTTCATAGAATTTGGCACCCTATGTCCAACAAAGGCCGTTGGACTACCCAGGAGGACAAAGTACTAGAAGAGTGAGTGAACACCAACAGTTATAGACGTTTACTAAACAAAACAAATAGAGCATATAGAGATCACCCTCGTCAGTGGTCAAAGATTAGTGAATATGTACAAAGGACACCGCGTGACTGTATCGACAGATATCGCACGATATTTACCTGCAGAGATAGGAAAGTAGGCAAATGGTCAGAAGATGAAGTAGCAAAGTTCATTTCAATTGTCAAACCAATGATGAATGAACGCGACTATCAAACAAGAGATGGTTCAGATCCATTCTGGTCAATAGTCCAGGAGAAAATGAACAATAAACGCTCAGCTCATCAATGTAGAGTGAAATGGGAAGAAGATGTCTCTACTATAGTGAATCAACGTAAAGATTCAACGTTCAAGATGTCAGATTATGGCGAATTGATAAGGCGGATAATGTCGCTGAAGATAAATGATGAATCCGAGATAAGCTGGAGATCACTTAGTCAAAATGACTACAAAGACGAGTGGTCTGCTCGCACCCTTAGAAGCAAATGGAGATATATTCAGAAGACAAGCAGCCCAGATTGGAAGACACTGCCATATACCGAACTTCTGAAAGCTATTAAAAGGGTTTACGGCGATATAATAGATGGCTCTATAGACAGTACCAAGGCAGATAACGAAGCGGTCGGGGACGACGAGCATGACGATAGCGATAGCGATAGTGAAATTAATTAATTTATATTTGAAATGCATAGTTTATTTATACAAATTCCGCGTTTGTAACTTATTCTTGATTTATAACTGTCATCAATGCATCTAACATTCGTGACAGATAGTGGACAAGTTAGTATATCGATAGCTTTATCATAAATCTGACCCATTATTATAGACATACACGCTAGAAGTAAGCGCGGATATGGAAATGGACAATCTATATGCGCTCTTGGAAGTTGAAGTGAGTTTTAGTACGTTATATAGACTTTTTAACGTATATCTAGTCAGAAATACCTTCATCTGAGCAAATTATAACACATTTGGATAAGCAACTCTCAAATGATTCTTCACGCACTCTCAAAGATGAGGGCGTCACTGCAGACACAATGCTCGGTTTAAGGAGAAAAGTACAAGTCGCAGGTAGAGAAGTAGCACACGATGGTGAAATGATGAGGTTACAGCTGCTCGGCAATCGTGATATACTTGATCAGATGAAGCAGGTTGGTGTCAATTCTACGTGATAATATCGCTTATATCTGCATATAGGTTCAGCCGGAATTAGCTGATGCTGCTGAGAACAACCCTACAAAGTTCTACGAGCTCATGCAGCAAGCTGTCAGCAATAAACATGTAGCTGAAGCTCAACAAGCTGAAATGCTCAACTCAGAGTAAGCTTGAATACTTTCCTGCGCGAAAATGCTCAAATTCAATTCTAGTCCTTTCAATGTAGAGGCTCAGAAGCATATCGAGGAACAAATCCGCCAACAAGCCGTCGCAGAGTCATTCGAGCGCGCAATTGAATACAATCCGGAGACTTTTGGAATGGTCGAAATGCTTTATATTGATACAGAGGTTAACAAGAAACCTGTTAAGGCATTCGTTGATTCAGGTGCCCAAAGCACTATCAGTAAGTCTTATGACGTCGGTTTTAAAATCTAACAAAAGCTCCCAGTGAGTCCGAAATGTGCAGAAGCTTGTAACCTTATGCGTCTTCTTGATACTCGCTTTCAGGGTATAGCTCAGGGTGTCGGTACGGCAAAGATCTTAGGTAGAATCCATGCAGCTCCAATGCGAATTGGCGACATATTCCTTCAGTGCTCCTTTACAGTAACGTGAGTGGTTTATGTAGTATTGATGATGTTTATTGACGTGCTTCCTATAGTGAAGGAAGCGGCGTGGATCTCTTATTTGGTTTGGACATGCTTAAACGTCATCAAGCAATCATCGACTTGCGGCAAAACGCTTTGATCATTCAAGAGAAAGTAATTCCATTCTTGGCTGTTGGTACTATCTTGTCTGAAACTGTCATAATCTGACATATTAAAGGAACACGAAATACCAAAAAACAAACATCAAGATCCGGCACAATTAGCTTCAGGTTCAGGTTCTAACGTACAACAGCAGCCGCCAATACCTGCTCATTCAAATGATAAGTTCCCAGGTAGTGGTAACACATTAGGAAGTAGCAATAATCAAACGCCAGCCGGTACATCAAGTTCAGCTTCAAATACAAATACATTATCAAATAGCGCTATATCTGATGATAAGATTAACAAGTTAATGGAGCTAGGTGTCACGAGAGAAGAGGCTATTCAAGCACTCAAATCTACTAACGGAAATTTGGAGTTTGCATCTAGCTTGTTATTTTAGTTGCGAATTGTTGATTTATTTTGTAAGTTTATTTGCATTGTCAGGTACCTCTTCCACGACCTCTGCCGCGTGTTGCTGGACGTTTTAACATTCTGCCTCTCAACGGTGCGGTTGCTCTACGAGTCGGAAGTGCACCCCTAGGCGCACGTGATTCCTCTTGGTTTGATGAAGATGTTATAATACGCTTTTTGCGAGGTATTGATGTCCCATTCTGGGTATTTGCGCCAGTGGTCTCACTTGTGCGTTTCTTTCGATCGACGTCTTTCTTGTCCAAACTCATTTCATCTGTTGTATTACTGTCACTCTCACTATCACTACCACTGCTCAAGCTTGACTTCGAGCTTTCACTACTTCTCATGTTAGGATCAGCTCGACGAAGGGTTTTTATGGCAGGTTGGCCATCGCTATTAGCACTTCTGATACTCTTAAGTGAAGCTGTTGAAGCGTTACGCTTTCTGTCAATCCCTGCGATGCTATCTACACCCAAATTGGTATTTGACTTAGCACGTAATCCAGTTTTTGGTGGTAGAGGTGGTTTTGGAGCCTCTTCCGCTGAACTACTACTGCTATCGCTGCTAACATGATGACTCTCCTCATTATGGATGCGATTCTCCCGGGTTTGTGATCTCGTACGCGTTGATGGCGGTGTATTTGGTATAGCTCCTGGTATGTATGGAGTTATATCAGCCTTCTTATGAATACGTGATACCATTGATTTGGGCGTGCTCATATAAGTTGGTGTATTATCAATTAATGATTCACTTCCAATTGTGTATTGTTTGGAGGTCTCATCATTCTTCTTGAAAGCTTGTGCACGCTTCAAAACAACATTAGGACGAGTTGTTGCGATAGTTTTGCTTCTGTTGATATCACCAACTTTCTCTGTTTGGGTATTATGATTGTTAGCGATCATATTCTTGCGTTGACGAACGATTGGGCCTGTTGTACGTCTGACTACTCTCTTTGTCTTTAGTGTAGTTGGTGGCTGTGGTTTATCAAGTTCAAAGTACTGCCTTAGAAGTTCTATACTTTGTATTTTCTCCTTTATCGATGAGAATATCACATTTGTTAGTAAGTAACTTCCAATTTCAGCTGAATCTTTCAAGAAACAGAGTGATTTATCTATCAATTGTTCATAAGGAGACAATGTAGGCTCGAGTGCGTCGGTAAATAGCATATCAGCTGTCTATGAATGACTTGATGAGTCTGATTAATGCGATAAGTATATAAACGCACCTGCCTACTTGTTAAGACGAAAGTAAGTAAAAAGAATGATTTTATTTGCCAATAGAACCATATCCAGCTCAGTAAGAAATCAACAACTGTACTCAATTTCAGCCAGACGAACTTATAACAACGTAAGATGATAATATTATAATCTCATTTGTAAACCCACCCAACATAACCATATTTTTAAAGAAGAACTGATTTGCCTGCGTCTCTGGCTGAGTGTTACTTTTTGATCGCGTTCGCTGTTCAATTTAAGAGCTCTGTATGACGATAGAACGGTATTGAATGTGTAAAGTTTAAAGAATATTGAATAAAGGAATGACATCGCGCTTTTATACGCGTTTAGATATACTCAAGTGTTGGTAGAGAGTGTAACAAATGTAGAAGAGAGTAAATAAAACGTTATAATAAAATGATTGATTATGTAATTCTATTAAATTTACTTGAGATACACTTCAACTTCTGTCTTCTCGACTGCGATGTTTAATCCATTTGAAGCTGCACAGGGCGGCGGTGGAGACGATAAGACTTTCTTAGGAGAAAACCAGCCGCATAGACCTACTACGGGTGCATTGCGCTATTCAGATGATACGGAGTTGTGCGTCTAAAGTAGAAGTTGTCATACAATTAGCTGACAACTCAATATAGCAATGATGCATTGCGAGCACAAGGAATTATACCACAGAAACCACCCTCAAGACCCTCCACACCTGAAGGTTTAGATATAGACTACAGCCAGATTAGAAATGCAGGCTTGTCGTTAGCTACGGAGGACACACTTGCAGAAGCAGCTGAAGAAGCTGACGATAGTGAAGATGAGCGTGTTCTTCTCTCGTATAGAAAGAAAAGAATGGAGGAAATGCGTAAATTGGAATCCACAGCACGTTTCGGTAGAATGTACCCAATTGCTAGACCTGATTATACGCGCGAAGTTACTGAAGCAAGCAAGGAGCACACAGATCCACAATTCAACCCTAATGATGACAGTATTGAGAATCTAAAGCGTGGTGGTACAAGTGTCATTTGCTTCCTTTACTCAGAATCGTGAGTTTTTATTTGAATAATTATCACTTTCTTAAGTATTATTAGGATAGAAGAAAGTAGAATAGTTGGTCAACACCTCCATGCACTTGCTTCAGATTACCCGCATACTAAGTTTGTCTCAATTGTCGGTAGCCAGTGTATCGCAGGTTATCCAGAACGTAATTGCCCAACATTGCTGTTTTACAAACGCGGGACGCTCATGAAGCAGATTGTTGGTGCTAATGATCCAACTATCGGTTTGCATGGAAAGCAGACAACTAAAAAAGGTGTGTATTGAAGCTTTATTGATTGAATAGCTTCTTAATGGCGCTTTTAGATGTAGAAAACTTGTTACTTGCGATGGAAGCTATCAAACTCAAGCCAGTCAACACAAACGCACATGACTTTGCGAAGAAGGACGAACAAGATCGTGATGATGATGATTATGATAGCAAGCCAACTCATATTAGACAGGGCGCACAGGATGACGATGATTCAGATCTCGATATTTGATTGTACATAAATGTATATCACTTCATGATAAAATATTATTAAGGATTACGTATGTACTCTATAAAATAAGAGTTTAGATCCTAATATCACCTTCCCTTGTCTATCATAAGTACTTGTAACACTATAAAACATAAAGTTTAGTTCGAATAGCTCATAGATAGTATGCATTCCATCGCAGAATACCTCCACCTCGCATGCCAGCATTGACTAGTAATGCTTGAAGTGCTGCCTAGTGTTAGAATATATAAGAGTCACTGGCTATCGACATAACGACACGATCTGTCACTCGACTACGGCTTCAATTCAGATGGAGGTAAAGAATGCAGCTGTCATTCCTCTTTATAAACCATCTAAGTTTTGGTAGTTGATATAATTGACCTCGCCTGACGCTCGCCTAAAGAGCACTCATGCAGCTGGCGTTTCTCCGTACGATGACGCTTTTTGCTAGTTAGGTGCAGCAATTAAGGGTATATAATATGAATTGCTAGAAGAATAACCTCTTTTGGTGAATATAGCGATATATAGCAATATACTACTAAACGGTTAGGCCACGTCAGCTCCAATATCTACTATAATCACATTCGGTATAGATCAAATAGAGAATTACGCGATAAAATAGCGTGGATAAAAGAATAAATAAATATTAACATCTAATTTTCACTCGTTATCGAATTGAAACGCGGGTTCTCTACAAACTACCATCCGAATAAAGTAATAAAGCGAGATAATAGCAATTATTGATAATTAGCGGATATTTATTAAATTTACGCTATGACAGAAATTGATGATGAAGATATCTTGACGATACCTAAAAATATGGAAACGCTATCACTACCTTCATCTCCCAAGTCTAATGAGCCATTCTTTGGTTATAATTCAATTCTCAGCTCAGTTAACAAATCTAGCAGCCCTACTAAATCTCATTTATCCCCTTCCGTGGAGCCTTTTAACCCGACGCAGCGCAGCAATACCTCAGAGTTAAAAGGCTCACCGGACTCAGATGGACAGCCAGTTTTCAACTCAGTATTCATGCCACCACCTCCATTACCTATCTCGAACGTTACACGCAACAACAGCTTCAACAACCTTGCTGGATCTGATGACATTAGCACAATCTTCGTAGTCGGTTTCCCAGACGATATGACTGTAAGTAGATTTTTAGTACCATTATGACTCTAATAACTTTATTAGGAAAGAGAATTCCAAAATATGTTCATATTCAGTAGCGAGTTTGAAGCCGCCACACTTAAAATTCCTGCTAAAGAAGTTTTACCACCGCCACACAAAGATCCTTACACGTTGGCTAATATTCCAGCAACTGGTATTATGTCAGAAAGAGAGAACTCCTCCACTATCGATGAATCCGTCAACTTAAACATAACCGCAGCACAACAACTATCAGCTAGAAAGCAAACAATTGGTTTTGCTAAGTTCAGAACAAAGCAAGCAGCTTTAGATGCTAAAGATGTCCTTTCTGGTCGTAAAATCGATGGTGAAAGAGGATCTGTTTTGAAAGCCGAAATGGCAAAGAAGAATCTACATACAAGATCGAAGAATGCTGAGAATACTATGCAATCATCTCAATCTCAAGAAGGTATTCGCGTAAATCAACCGACATCAAATTCACTCAATTCTCAAAACTCAAACTCAAGTTTACTAGGGTCTTCAAATTCGGCGTGGGACGGTCCAAGATCTTCAGCTGTTTTTGAAGCATTTCATAATGCGACTAGTTCGCCCACTACTGCTTCAATTTGCTCACCAAATCAAGAAACATTATTTAGACCATTCGATACCGATCCTACACCACCTTCAAGTGCATTTGATCCATTTCAAAGTAGTAAATTTACTTTATCACCATCACACTCTCAATCCCGTACCCAAGAGCGTTCAAATTCTTCCACGTTATCCCCTCTAAATAACTTTGACGGTTATTCACCTACATTATATAATAATAACCAAGTTAGACCATTATCACCAAGGTCTTCATTAGATCCAAACTCAAATTCTGCATTTGTTAGTCAAAGTTTAGGTAGACGATTAAGCGCACTTGCTTTAGGGCATAATTTAGCTGGATCACAAGAAATCAGTAATAATCCATCATCCAGCCATATAGGCTTAGCATTAAATGATGTACAAGTTACAAAATCATCACCACCTTCACAATCAACAAATATTCAATCTTTGCATAGTCAATTACAACAACAGTCATCCCATCACGTTAATAGCTTAGCACCATTGAAGCCAACTAATCCTGCAGACCAAAATCCACCTTGTTCAACACTTTACGTCGGAAATCTTACAACACCACCACCATCGCAACCGGTTAGTTTATTAGAGGATGCTCTGCGAGCACTCTTTTCTAAGCAAGGTGGATTTAAGAGATTATCATTTAGACAAAAAGCTAATGGACCAATGTGCTTTGTTGAGGTAAGTGGAACATACTTTTACTTAAAATATTCACTAATAGAAATTATTATAGTTCGAAGATGTACAACTTGCTACAAAAACTTTACATGATTTATACGGAAACACGTTGAACGGATTAATTAGAGGTGGAATTAGGCTTTCTTATTCAAAGAATCCACTCGGGGTTAGGTCAAACCCAACGCCATCTAGTCAACAACCAACGCATTTGCATCAACAAGCACAATCAACACGTTAAATTACCTATTTTTAATAATCTTTTTTTATATTCAGTCTCGATTAAGGTTAATTGATTCTCTTAATGAGAGAATCACATTGTTTTTCTTTTAATAGACATTCAATCATCAAATTTATCAAATATTCACTCCCAATTAATCAAGTTGTCAATTTATTCAATTTAGTCAATTCAATCAAACTCGAGCGATACTTGTTACCAATTTAAGTTTTGTCTATTTTATATAACAGTTAATGCATTTTGTCGTATTTAATTAAAAAGAATGTTTCTGATGTGATGTTGGTATTTTAATGGTCTCATTTATAATATAGAAATTGATTGGGTAGCACACGAAAAGCGGAGAGTACATGTAGACAATAATACACGTAAACTTCAATTACCAGCTAATTCATTGATAGAATATTCACATTCTACTTTCATGCCAACTCATCAACACTCAACTCATCAAGTCAAAACAGCCAGAAGACAGCAAAGACATGGAAAATAGAGTGTTATAAGAGAGCGCTGACGGCACATGCAGTAGTGCAGCGCAAGGCCATCTTCCAATCAACCTGTGCAAGCAGTGAGGTCGAATGGACGCAGATAAAAATTAGATCGAACATTAGTCACATAAATTATGTGATCCAAGTTGTTCGAACTTGGAAGAACAGATACTACACTTGATCTAAGCCAAAAGGCCAGAGAGGATAAGGAATCAAGGAGTGATTTCCCTCAATTTTTATACTCGCGTGTGTGACTAGAAACTGAACTAAAAACGTGAAGAAACTAATGGAAAATATGTGATTATATAATTAAAATATTCTAGTAGATTTTCATTGACATGATTTACGTTTTATATATCTCTGCAGTCTTTTATTACCTTTCCCCTTTCTTGTAACTTTGGCTTTAGAAAATTTGATCGATAATATTGAAACATCTTAGAATCAAGAGAAAGCGATTGCATGTATTTAAATGCATTGTAATAATACTGATAGTATATTTTTTACATACAAAAGTTAGTCTTATCACAAAGGTATGACCTATTGTGTCATTAAAAGAAAATACGAAAGAATACAAATAACTGGTGACTAAATACAATAAATATTTATCAAGGATACTCTATAAAACAAAAAATGCTTTCAAAAAACATTAAATCTTTCATTGACAATTCTTCTTACTTGATAAGAACAACCACAATATGGTCGATAGCCATAAAATCAAGAATAAGATAAAGCGTGGTCAGATTGTCGAAGCTGCTAAGAAAGCTAAAGGGAAGAATAAATTAGAGAAACGTTTAAAAAACAAGAAAGAGGAGACTGAAGAAGAAGCAGAAGTTAGTTGATATACGATAGCAAGCTCTTTCCCTTATACTAACAATTTAATAGGAGCGGAGATCTAAGAATGTACCAAATACACTCGATAATACTAGAGAATTTGATGCTACAATCCCACAAGCACAGCCAGTGACTCAAGATAACGATCAAAGTCAGGAAGAACAACCTGATAACGGAGGTACTAGTGATGCGTTAGGAACAGATGATCCTGAATTAGCTTCTGATATAGCTAACGATGCGTTTGCTACGTATTTCACACCACAATTGGTCAATCCAGATGATCCAAACTCACCAATCAAACTTCCAAAGATTCTCATAACTACTAGCGTAGGAGCTGGTAAGAATAGTATAGAATTTTGCATGGATTTGACTTCTGTGCTGCCAAATTCTGAGTATGTAAAGAGAAGAGGTGGTAAAGGATATGAGATTGCTACAATTGCTGGATGGGCTAAGAAGAGGGATTATACCGATATGATGGTTATTAATGAAGATCACAAGACGCCAAGTAAGTAAAGTCAGTCCCGTAATAACTGAGTCTAATATAATCAGATGCTATAACACTTATGCACTTGCCATATGGTCCAACAGCATACTTTAAGCTTTCTTCAGTGAAACTTTCAAAAGCTATAACAGTGAGTATTTGACGTTATTAGTTATTTCATTGCTGACAACATTTTAGGGACACGCACGCCCAACCCCTCACCATCCAGAACTTGTTCTCAACAATTTTGCTACTAGACTAGGTCATACAGTTGGTAGAATGTTTCAAGCACTCTTTCCACCTGTTCCAGAATTTGAAGGTCGTCAAGTTGCTACATTTCACGTGCAGCGTGACTTTATTTTCTTTAGACGACATAGATATGCCTTCAAATCAACTGAGAAGACAGCTTTGCAAGAAATAGGGCCAAGGTTTACGCTTAAGTTGAGATGGATGAAGCGTGGTCTGCCATCTATTAAATATGAAGTTGATAATCGTCCAACAGAAGCACGTCTGGCTAATGCAGCAGACAACGATAATGGTAATGACGGATTTGAATTTCAATGGAAACCAGAACTTGAAACTAGTAGACGGAAATTTTTCCTTTAAGATTGTTTATAAACTCATTATTAGATTCATTATCATTATTACAAATTTAAGAATTTACAGAGATTGTGAGAAGTCCTAAATATTGACGTTCAGCTATTCGAATGGCCCATATACTAATATTTTCACTATTTGAGATTGATGCAGAGAAATCTAGAGTTGGTTGGCCAACTGCTGAGCACTTTTCAATTATAGTTTTCTTTTGTGAATCATTGAGAATAGTTTCAGAACTTTTTGGAAGTCTCTGAGCGATAGCGTCATCCTCAACTATGAGCGTGTAATTTAATTGGAGCTGATTAAGTATTAATCTAGCTATATCGTTAGGTGACCTATGCGCTATATCCTCATCACGGTCAACTGTTATTGTGAATGGGACGTCTCCAAAATCGTCTGTTTCAGAGTTGTGTCCAACGAGTAGAGAGGAGGAAGAAATTTCATCAGCTGAGTGTCTAGCTACTAATGCGAATTCTAAAAGCTGTTGCTTTCTAGTACTATCCAGCTTATTGTGACCTAGACTGAGTAATCCATCTTTGTCTACTGTGAGACTCGTCCTGCTTAAATCGTTTATACGGTTACTAGGAAGTATTTTAGATGGTGTATGGCTACATATGTATATTAATTACTTACATTGTGTTCTTTAGAAATTGATCGTTGATCGTCGTCATCAAAGAAGACAATATAAATATCTATTTAGATAATAACTAAAGATAAATCAACAAAAGAATCTATAAATAAACTTTTTTAACCTAACTAAAGTAAAAAGCGTCCTATACTCTTACTGACTAACTACTACGATGAATCGTTCTAAGCCAGACACAACGGAATACAAGAATCAGCAGGTTTGTTATGAATTATATAATAAATGACTTGTTAAAAGTATAATAGGATGCTTTTAAATCTCAAATTGAGGAAATACAGTTAAAATTACAAGCTGTCCGTCAGAAGATCAGCAATTCATCTGCTAATGGACCAGCCCAAGAGCGTAGAAAAGCTCTCTTTAATGAACTCAATGAGCTCAAGCTTCATCAGTCTGGTAATAACGCTAGCAGAGGAAAAGTCATCGATCGTATACGTGTCCTACAAGATTCAATGCAGAAGAAGGTATCAAATTAATCATTTTCATTGACTATTTACTAACGAAATACTCAGTTGAAAGATTTACAAGCTTCTAAATCAAAGATACCTTTCAAAACAGTTGACGCTATTGATGATAGAGTAACGTATGTAATATCCATACTATATAGACCATTTTTAACACTTCTATAGCTCCCTCGATGGTGAAATTGAATCAGGAACTTTACGTCTCGCTGATGAAAAGAGAGCACTTCAAGAAATCTCAAACTTGAGAAGGCATCGTAAGGTAGTTGAAGGATTCGCGCAACAACAACAAGCTATTGATGCTGATAGAGCTCAAATTGATGCTCTTAAGTTACACCTCGATGATCCTGAATCTAAAGCTTTGAATGACAAAGCAGAAGAAATCAAAAAAGGCTTGACTCAAGCGAAGGTTGAAATCGATCAAGCTCAGGCATCTAGACAAACTTTATTTGACCAGCGTAACAAATTACAAGCTGATTTGGACGCTGTATATGCAGAAAAGCGCGAACACAATGAAAAACATCGTGAAACTATGGATGCTTACTACCAAAAAGTAAACGAGGATAAAGCGAGACGCGCACAAAGAGCTAAAGAAGAAAGAGAAATTGAAGAAGCTCAAAAAGCAAAAGTACTAGCTGAGCAGATACGTGAAGATGCTAAGCTACCAGGTAAGTTCTTCCGTTTTAGACCCGGCAACCAGTATTTCTGACGACCAATAGCCTTCGAAGCGCAAATCCAAGACTGTCAAACACTGATCGATCAGTTTGCTAGAATAGGTGGACTTCAAACCTCATCTCAAGCCAAGGAAGACGATGGACAACCATCAAACGGATTCGGACAACATAATATCCGTCAAGTTGAGGACCAAATTCCAGCTGGCACAGTTCTCAAGAAGAAGAACCAAGAGGATGATGACGCATACTTTGTCGGTGGTGCGAAATCGAAGAAGAAGGCTGGTAAGAAGACGGCCGCTAATGGCTCATCGGAAGACAAGCTGAATGTACCACTTGCTACCCTTACAGCACTTATGGGACTCTCAATTCCACCGCCAAAGTCACAGTCAGAGATCCAAACTACGGTCGAAAGCTTGGAGATCAAGAAAGCATGGTATGAAGCGAACCAAGCGAAGCAAACGAAGGAGAATGTGGAAAAGGCAGAGAAAGAGATTGAGAAGCTCTTCGCGAAGAAGAAAGTAGAGAAGGCATAAAGGATAAAGTTTTGTAAATAAAAGAACGATATATGAATAGATGAATGTGGATAAAGGTTAAATAATGTTGGATACAAGCGAATCCTCGACGTGTAGTACGCACATCGAATGAATTGTAAGCATCCATTAATCTATACGAAGCCAATTAGCTATTCCATCATGGAGTACTCTAGAGAACAGCTGGTATTTTTCGTAATGAATGTAAGATAAGAAGAAGTGAATTAGAATTTCGTCTGAATTTATAATTTTTAAAATTTTTGATTGCGAGCTGCCCTTGTCAGTGTTTGCGAAATTCTCTTATTGAGAGACGCTGAAGAAGTGAGAAATAACCAAAGAAATAAATAAATAACTAACGAATTATAACAGTGTCAACCACTACCAACAACCTCCGCGTTGGCTTGAACAAGGGTTTCCCAACCACTCAGCTCCCAAAGCGTGTCAAGCCATCACACAGAAAGGGTGCAAACTCTGAGCGTGGTCGCTTGGTAAAGGGTGTTGTTCGTGAAGTTGCTGGTTTCGCTCCATACGAAAAGCGTGTCATGGAGTTGATCCGTAACTCAAAGGTCTGATTTTATACAGAGAGAAGAACTTCCGCTAACGATTCACAGGACAAGAAGGCTCGTAAGCTCACCAAGAAGCGTCTTGGCACTCTCCGTCGTGCTAAGGGCAAGGTTGAAGAGCTCTCAACTGTCATCCAAGAAGCTCGTACCAAGGGTACCAACTAAACTATTTCAAGAATCAACCAGGCGTAGTGAATGTACTCTTTACATGCATCTCTTATGACGGAAATTTTATTTCGTTTGCCATTCTTAACAGTCTATTAGATTCTATTACAGTCAGTCTATCACATACAGTTTATTTTCAAATTAGAATTGTATATTGTCTTTTTATGAGGACATTCGTTAAGCAAGAAACATTATTCAAGGAATTGAAATTCGTTGCGTGTCGATAATTTACATCTTAGCTTGGCTAAGGTCAGTAACTGGCCATTTGTAGTTGCTTGGTGTACGCTTGTATCCAAATCTGGTTTGGAAGTCTTCAACACCCTTTGGACCTCTTGTACCATACTCGTATGAGTCCGGTGTTGGTTTCTCACCTGTTGATATCTTAATTATCTCTTATCAAAGTTTTAAATTATCACTTACCACCGTTCTTACCTTCAATCCAGTGAAGGATTGGAGTAAAGATCTTCCATGCAGTGTCAAGCTCATCATCACGAACAAAGTTTGAGTGATCGCCATTAAGTGCGTCAAGCAATAATGATTCATAAGCTTCTGGAATGACGGCCTTCTCAAATCTATCCTTATATGTTAAATCTAATTCAGTTGGTAATGCTGACATTTGTAAACCAGGAACTTTTGTGTTTGTTTTCAAGTAGATTGCTTCAGATGGTTGAATTCTGATAACTAATTCATCTCTTGGTATATCAGAGAAGATACCTGAAGTAACATCCTTGAATTGAATTCTAATTTCAACTTTACCTTCATTCAAAGCTTTACCTGCTTTAAGGATGAATGGTACGCCTTCCCAGCGTGGGTTGTTAATGTGTAATGCGACGGCAGCGAAGGTTGGACAGTTAGAATCTTTTGGTACAGTTTCATCCTCTTTGTAGCCTGGTTTATCATTTCCAGCAACGTACTGACCAAGTAAGGTTTCATCAGGCTTAATTGGTGGGATCGTACGTAAGACTTTGACCTTTTCATCACGGATATCTTCTGAAGAGAACGAAACCGGTCTCTCCATTGTAATTAAAGAGAGGACTTGCATTAAGTGATTTTGAAGAATGTCACGAATGATGTTAAATTCATCAAAGTAACCACCGCGACCCTCTGTACCAAATGGTTCCTTAAATGTAATTTGGACGTTATCAACAGAGTTTTTATGGAATTGATTATCAAGGAAGACGTTTGCGAAACGTAAAACAAGTAAGTTTTTAACCATTTCTTTACCAAGGTAGTGGTCAATGCGGAAGATTTCCTCTTCTGACCAGTTAGCCTTGATAGAGTTCATTAACTGTTGTGAAGACTCTGTGTCCTTTCCGAATGGCTTTTCTACGATTAATCTGTTTGTACCTGATTCTGAGTAGCAGAATTTACGTAAGCCTTCAGATACCGAACCGAAAACGCTAGGTGGAAGAGCGAGCTGTAGGGTGTGTATGTTAAGATTATTTGTTATGATTTAAGCTGCTCGTAAACTTACGTAAAAGAGACTAAATATATCGATTAGCTAATAATAGGACGGGATCTCCGAAAATGAACTCACCGATTAGCTTTTTTACCAGAAGAAGCGTTGTTCTTTTCAGCATTTGTGAGGTTATCGTTGAGGTTTTTAAATGAATCTTCACCGTCGTATCCGCCAGATACATAGGTTAAACCTGATTTGAACTCCTCTAATAACTTCTTAGATTCTGTATCTTTTTCATCAATTTTGATGTATGCAGTAACCTTGTCATGGAATTCATCATTTGTCATCTTAGAACGAGCATATCCGAGGATACGAGTGTCCTTTGGTAGAAGGTTCATCTTACGGAGACCGAAGAGAGCTGGGAAAGTCTATTGAATAGAAAGTTAATGTTTAGCGCTGTGTATCTTATATACAGGGAAGTATCTCACCTTCTTCTTTGCTAAATCACCTGAAGCGCCGAAAACTGAATCGGAGATGAGTAATTCAAGTAAATAACAGAATGATTGACTAACCAACGATTGAAGTGTTATCTTTGAGTTGTTCGTAATGCGAAGACATCTTTTTACTCTTGAAAGTTTCTAATCAAGTTCTCTTAGTCAAGCATTCGGCTTAGCCAAACGATGACGATAATAATCAATAATCAAAAATTATGATATAATTAATTATTTTAATTATTTTACTTAAATTTAGTATCATTATTTATCTATCTCCCCTTTGATCGCTTTATCTCTTAAAAGAAAATTTTCATCAACCATCTCATGTAAATTACGATATTTGAATTTGTATCTAAGAAGTGTTATAACATATAATATTAATAACATTTTTAAAATATTTTATCTGCTTTATCTTTTAATTACACCCTCTATCACGCACTTTAATCAGGACCCTCACCACGAACCTCTCACGGCCAATAAATTCTTATATAAATCGCTCGTTAAAGAATTATTAGCTATTTAACTACAGTTAGTTATTATATTTACTATTTCTCTACTCTCACTCAACTCATCTCTAGAGATCTACAATGGCAGATAGTAACTCATCTCAACACAATCCAAAGAATAGGAGAACTCCTAGACATGACAGACGTCAATCTACACAGCTTTATAACCCTGACGATAATAGTTAGTCGTCAATTTTTCTTATGTACACATACTAACAACACAATATAGCACACTCAAGTTTAGATATGCCACCTCTACCTGTACAAAATCAACAGCGTAATAATAATGGTCATCGCAAAACTGCGTCTATGAACCCGAACCCACAAGATCGTAATCGTCGTAAGAATCTAGCGCCTAGATTCCAAGAAGACCAAGTCGAAGCTGAAGGCGAGGTCGACAGCTATGGCACACTCAATCAGAACTTCCAATTCGGTGCTAAGCGTCGTACAACTCCAAATTCTATTTCATTCAGCAACCACACCCCGTCGCAGTCACTTGGCGGAGGTAACTACGGTCATCCACTTAATAATATGACTCCAGAACAACTTCTGATTCAACAACAAATTGAAGCTTTACAACATCAACAGAGAGCTCTCATTCAAAATCAATCTCAATTCGTACAACAATACGATCAGCAAACTTTAAACTCTAGAATGAATACGGCAGGTGCCAACAATCACCGTCGTATACAATCTCAACAGGTTCCTAATATGAGATCACCTAACTTCGGTCAATACTCACCGCAATCTTCTTCACTTTACAACCCACAGTCTCCTCAAATGAAGAATATTCCAAAAGGACATGGTAGACGTCACTCTGTTAACGTCTCAAAAGTTACACAAGATTTAGATAACTTTTCTTTCCCACCAAAGAATCCTAATAGCGGTAATATCCCTCCAGGCCATGCGAGAAGGATTAGTACCGGACAAGGTTAGTAAATTACCTTCTTTTCATTGAAATTTTATTAACTCAGTTACAGCGATTCAGCAACCAGTTGCTATAAATAGCCAAAGCGGCGTTCCTGACCTGGCACAAGCTCAATCTCAATTAGCTTCATTAGCTCAATTTCGTGTCGGAGTTGGTGCGGGTGGTCACAATAGAGCTCAATCTTTTGCTTTCCCTAATGCTTTTCAAAATATGGTTGCCGCTGCTTCTTTATCTGCCGCACTTGGCGGTAATCAAATGGGTAAATTTGACAATGGTATAAATTACGCTTTACAACAACAACAAGCTTTTAATTTACAATTACAACAACCAGGTGGTCAAGGTGGTCCACAGCGCAAATCTTTATTCGCACCGTACCTTCCACAAGCAAGTTTACCACCTTTACTTACAGCTGGTAAATTAGTTGTTGGTATGTTACGTGTCAACAAACGTAATAGATCAGATGCCTATATTTCAACTGAAGTTTTAGATGCTGATGTCTACATTTGCGGTAGTAAAGATCGTAATCGTGCATTAGAAGGTGATATTGTCGCAGTCGAATTATTAAACGTTGACGAAGTTTGGGGTACAAAGAAAGAAAAGGAAGAAAAGAAGAGACGTAAAGAAGAGAATGCTCAATATGATGCTTTGCGTGCTATTAATCCATCAATTGAAACTAAACAACAAGCTAAAAACAGAGATGATGTTGAAGTTGAAGGTCAAGGTTTGTTCTTGATTGCAGATGAAGAAGTTACCGATGAACAAAAGCCAAAATACGCTGGACATGTTGTTGCGATTGTTGAACGTATGCCGGGTCAATTATTCTCAGGTACACTTGGTATTTTAAGACCAAGTTCAGCGGCAACCAAAGAAAAGCAAGATGCCGAAAGACGTGAGCGTGAAGGTGGTATACCACAAGCTCAAGAGAAACCAACTCAGAAACCAAAGATCGTTTGGTTTAAACCAACTGATAAGAGAGTACCACTTATTGCGATTCCAACTGAACAAGCTCCAAAAGATTTCTTGGAAAAGAGTGAAGACTATCAAAATGAGATATTCGTTGCTTGCATTAAACGTTGGCCAATTACTTCATTACATCCATTTGGTACTTTAGTTGAAAAGCTTGGTACAATTGGTGATGTTGAAGTTGAAACTAGTGCTTTATTAAAGGATTCCAACGCTTGCTTCTCTGAAGATTTCTCAGAAAATGTACTCAAATGTTTACCTTCACTTCCTTGGTCAATTCCTGAACAAGAATATATGAATAGAAGAGATCTGAGAAACGAAAGAACGTTCACGATTGATCCTGACACAGCAAAAGATTTGGATGATGCTGTTTCGATCAAATTAAACGAGGATGGTACATATGATATAACAGTTTCAATTGCAGACGTTAGTTACTTTATTAAACCAAATTCTGCATTAGATAAAGATGCGAGGAAGAGAGCTACCAGTGTTTATCTAGTTCAAAGAGCTGTACCAATGCTTCCTTCAGTTTTATCAAGTGACTTATGTTCTTTATTACCTGATAAAGAAAGATTAGCATTTTCTGTCACATTTACAATGACGAAAGACGCTAAAGTTATTAAAACTTGGTATGGACGTACAATTATTAAATCTTGCGCTCAGTTAAGTTATCAAAATGCTCAAAATGTGATTGAAGGAAAATCATTAGATGCCGCTAAAGAAAAATTAAGTGATTTGCATTCAAGTGATGAAATCGAAGGTGATATTAAGGTATTGTTTGATTTATCAAGGAAATTACGTCAACGTAGATTTGATAATGGTGCATTAAAAATTGATTCTATGAAATTGTCTTTCCAACTCGATGATAATGGCGTTCCAATTGATTGTGTGGCATATCAATCAAGAGAAGCAAATAATTTAATTGAAGAATTTATGTTATTGACGAATATGTCGGTTGCATCACAAATTGCAGTTAATTTACCTGAACAATCTTTATTAAGACGTCATGAAGATCCAATTGATAGAAAATTGGAAGGATTTAAAGAAAGGGCAAAAGATTTAGGATTTGACATGGATATTTCATCATCAGGAGCACTACAAAAGTCATTTTCTGATATTAAGGATAAGGAAGCTAGTAGTATGTTACAAGTTTTGGCTGTAAAAGGAATGTGTAGGGCAAAATACTTCTGTTCAGGTGCAATCGATATTAGTGCATACAAACATTATGCATTGAATGTACCATTGTACACACACTTTACATCGCCAATTAGAAGATATGCTGATGTAATTGTTCACCGTCAATTAGATACAGTGTTACAATTTGGTGAAGATGCAGAGAATAAATTTGGTACAGGTGAAAGAGAAACTATTGCAAAGATTGCTCAACAATGTAATATAAAGAAGGATGCTTCAAAGCAAGCACAAGAGAGCTCACAACATTTATACTTATGTTTGTTGATTTCAGATTTAACTAGAAGATATGGACCTGTTGTTAGGCAAGCAACAGTTATTGGCGTTTTGGATAGAGCATTTGATGTTTTAGTTAATGATATGGGTATTGAAAAGAGAGTACATGTCGATAAGATTCCTGTTGATAATAGCGAATTCAACGAGGAAGAGAAGACTTTAGATTTATATTGGAAGAATGGTGTCGATGTTATCTCTTGGTTAGCAGATAATAGCTCAGATAGTCATCTTAGAAGAATACAAGAGATGGCATCTAAGCATGCGCCTTCACATATGACATCCAGATCAACACAAGATGAATCAGCATTATTTGATGACGATGATGAGGAAGACGATGATGAAGACGAAGATAATGGAATTCCTAATGACACTAACGATAATGACAACATTCAAACAGTTCAACACATGAAATCTAAACAAGTTTATGAACCTAAATATCAGAATGTTAGAATTGATAATGGAAATTACATACAAACTATAAAGGAAAGAATGACCGTTGATGTAAGTCGTGAGAGTTTTTGGAAATACTTTGTTAACAACTTCATACAGATAATTGTTACAGCAGACTTTTCAGCATCCCCACCTATTTTGAAATGCTACTGTGGTAATCCATTTGCATAACAGGATTATCAATTAATATGAAAACTCTAAGATTTCTTTTCCTTTTTTATTTTTCGAAATACAATTTTGTTAATGATTAATTACAAATCAATGATTTTTCACTTTTTTTTCACTTTTGACGAGATAATCCATATAGATTCTCCAAAATGGGAAAGCAATTGCTGCTATAAGTAAGTAAAAGGTATCAATTAAGATATTGTTAGTTGGTGATGCACCTCTACTTATATTCTTGATGAGACTTCCTACAAAGTCTGATGTAATTTGATATTCGTCTTTATCTATACCTTTTAGTAGAGCGATTGCACATTCCTGCGGTGTTAAACCATCTGCAGCACCCTCAATTTTCTTTGTAAGTGCAGGTTTAGTTTCATTTTCAGTTTCATAACCTGGTGTATATATTGTTCCTGGGAAATAAACATGTGTACGAATATCGTAGAGTTGTAACTCTGTTCTAAGGGTATCGCCTAAACCTCTAATCGCATGTTTAGAAGGAGTATAAGAAGAGTAACCTGGAAGACCTAATGGGAAACCAAGGACTGATGAAACGAGAGTCACATGTGAGTCTTTAATACCATCTTGTATAATTATTGAGGTTGCAGCCTTGAAGACTCTGGTTAGTAAGTTAAAAAAGTAAACAGTCGAATAATCACCTTAACAGTCCACAAGGCGGAATAATAATTGGTTTGCATATCTTTCATGAAATTATCTACTGACATTTCTGCAAACCATCCAGGTGTTGAACATCCTGCACAACAGAAGATCATTGAAGGTGTCTCACCGGAATCTCTCTTGGCTTTATTTAAAGCAGAAATCGTCTGAGAATAGTCCGATAGATCTGCTATCGTATATCCAATATATTGATCATCGTAAACTTTATATTTCTGCAGATATATTTAGATAACATCATAAAATAAAAGTGTCAGAACGCACTGTCAATTCATCTACTGCCTTGGATAGTTTTGATTTATTCCTTGCACAAATTGTTACGTTACTTCCACGCTTTATTAATTCAATTGCAGTTGATAATCCTAAACCTTGTGAACCACCAGTAACGAATGAGTGCTAAATGAAGCTAGTTAGTGAAAGAAATATCACATGTAATAAAATGTCAACCTTTTTATCATAATTAACAATATTTTTCGTTATCATCACTAATAATTTTTGATTTTCTCGAGTCAAAAATAAAAATTCTTCAGTTCGAAACGTTCTTACAGTACATTGAGGATATTAAAAAAATGGCAATCGATTTGAAGCAATTAGACCAACACTTAGCCAAGAACAGCTACGTTGATGCGTGAGTAAATTTATACTAGTCAATTCAGTAGCTTCCCATAAAGATGAACCCTACATTGGTCCGTGTTTCCTAGTGCGGCTTAAGACCCCGCGTTAATCTGCAGAAAACTAAATCCAATCTCACTGAATTTATAGCTACTGATTTGATATAACTCTTCACTTGCTAACAAAATTTTCAGATACAATGTATCACAAGCTGATGTCTTCGTCTACAACCAACTCGGTTCAGCTCCTTCATCAGAATACCAAAACGTTACCAGATGGTACAACCACATTTCATCATTCAAGAACGAATTCGCTACCCTCGGTGGTGGTGCATTCGCTGCATCCCTTTACGGTTCAGTTGAAGGCTCAACCGCTCCAGCTGCTGCTGCTGCTGCTGCACCAGCTGCTGAGAAGGCTGACGATGATGAAATTGACCTCTTCGGTTCAGATGAAGAAGAAGACCCAGAAGCTGAGCGTATCAAGGCAGAGAGAGTTGCTGCTTACAACGAAAAGAAGTCAAAGAAGCCAAAGGCTGTACAAAAATCTGTTGTTACATTCGATGTTAAGCCATGGGACAACGAAACTGACATGAAGCAATTAGAAGAGAACATGAGAGCACTCGAAATTGATGGTCTTACCTGGGGATTATCAAAGTTGGTCCCAGTTGGTTACGGTGTTAACAAATTACAAGTTACTCTCGTTGTTGAGGATGACAAGGTTTCATTGGAAGAACTCCAAGAACAAGTTGAAGCTGATGAAGACCACGTTCAATCAACTGACATTGCTGCTATGCAAAAGCTTTAAAAAAATTTTATTTAATATTTTGAATTCATATTTACATTTTTTTGGTTTATATTCTTGATCTAAACTGTCGTAATGGATTCTGCAAAGCCAGGTTATTTGACAACACCAGAGGGTCCAACTAATGAGGGATTCCTTAGAAAATGTATAAAATCATCAATGAGTCCAGATAATTTACCAATCGTATGGGGATCAACATTCTTCATTGGTTCAATTGCGTTCATTAGAGTAGCAGGCGAATTATTAGTGAGTAGATAGTTTAAGATAATAAATAAATCTAATATAATAGGTACCTGCATTCTAATTGTTCTTATACTTGTTTAATTTCTTTTGTTTAAAATATAAATTTGCTTCTTCAATTTCAGCTGGTAGTAAATGATTGATAGGGTATCCTGTTGTGTTTAAACTACTTTCAATATTCTTTATATCAAAAAAAGTGTAATTAGTCTCAATCGTTGGTGTAGCTATCACTAACTGAGTTTGATTGTTAAACTGAGATAATGATTTCTTTATTTTATCAAAATGATTATCATTATTATTATATTCAATAGATTGCAAATGTAGCTTCCTTTTATTTAACTCCTTTTCAATAAATGATGACGCTGACCTTGATAGCTTTTCTAATTTGATATTATCTGATTGCTTTAATTCATCTAATGAATAGATCGTATATAAAGGTATATAGATCGTATAACCATCTTTTAACCACAATTTAATAACGTTTAAACCGAATATTAAGGATGTTATATCAACGAGATATATACTTTTATCTTTAACTTTGTTCTCCAAATTATTTACTTTATATTTTAGGAACTCTTGTCCCATAAGTTTCTGTATATCTGTAGCCATTAGATAGCAGGAAAGGAAAAAGGTTAAATCAGAAATAATTAGGTTAAAAACCTCTAATAGTTAAAACTAGGTATTATAAAGATATATATTTCTCTATAATTTATAGATATTTTATTAAACTTTCTGTCGTTTATGTAATAAGAGTTTAGAATGTTTCAGACAATTAATGGAAATATAAAGTAAGAAATTGTAATTCATTCTTACATAATCCTTTAGATGTATTAATTATATTATTATTATTAGATTATTTCAGCTTTTCTATAAGTTAACCACTTCTCTACTTCATTCATCGATGATTGATGAAATTATAAACGATAAAAACTTAAGCTTGATAGTAAAAAAGCAACAATTAAAAGATGAAATTGATAAACTAATTAATTCTAATGATATTACAACAATAGAATCAACAATAAATTCATTACAACAGCAACAACAACAATCAAACTACAGCGACCTATTAAATAGTTTATTGTTTAAACTATCAGACTTATATTTGTCTAATGATGAATATACATCCTCTGCTAATCAATTAGTTAAATTAAACTTCGATTTACTCAATCATAATGATTTATTAAACATTTATATAAAAATACTTAGATTATACTTGGAAGATGATGATTACATTACCTCAGAAATTTATTTGAATAGGTCTGCTTCTTTATTACATCAAACCACTGATAAATCTATCATTTTGGCCTATAAGTTATCACAAGCTAGGATTTTAGATTTCAAACGTGAATTCGAAAGGTCTTCACTGACATTTCAGGAGCTATCATTTGATAAAGATCTAGATATTAATGAGAGGCTAAACTCTCTTGATTCTGCTATCATTACAGCAATTTTGGCACCTGCAGGTCCACAAAGATCTAGAATTTTAAATACACTCTATAGAGATGAAAGATCAAAGTCTTTAGAAACTTTTAGCATACTTGAAAAAGTCTTCTTTGATAGAATTCTATTCAAGAACGATATAACATCTTTTGAACAGAATCTGAGTTCACATCAGTTGGCAAAAATAAATGAACCTCCTTTAGACGATCAGGGTAGAAGACAAGGCCCTTCAAATGTTCTCGAAAGAGCTATGATTGAACATAATATTCTTGCAGCGTCAAAGATTTACTCAAATATAACAATTGATGGTTTAGCTAACTTGCTTGATTTAAGTCCATCAGCGGCAGAATCGTTTACATCTAAAATGATACTTCAATCTAGATTAGACGCTTACATTGATCAAGTTTTAAATGCTATCATTTTCAATCCATCTTTAGCTGATCCTGCGAACGACCTTGGTGGTGCTGCAGCAGTAGCAGCTGCTCAAGAAGATGAAAGACAAGCTGAAACTGCTCATGCTCCCATGACTCAATTATGGGATGAACATATAAGAAATGTCTCTACTTTGGTAGGTAAAAATGGACAAAAAGCCATGTGTACTGATTAGACTACCAGATTGAATCAATTGCTGCTAAAATTGAAGAGAAGAATTTAGTACAATGAACTATTTAGCATGTACTTACATGAGAATACTTACTAAATCACATCAAAAATGGCAAATCCTTACATCTAAACTATTTAAAGTATCACTTTATATCATTTTTGTATTTTATCAACAATATTGCATACCATTCTACGTTTCTTAGACTCTGAAAGACAATATTACATAGTGATTTACAATTTACATACATCCAGTAGAGATCCTAAACCATCCCATTTCGTACATTGTTCATTGGCATATTTAGATATCATCTTGAGAGTAGCTTGAATAGTTGGCTCATCGGACAAGATAGTTGCATCTGTTGGTGGAAGACATTGCTTGACTGCATCCCAACTACTCTCTAAACCTGTACTCTCTCTTATCACAACACCACTATTGAATTCATGATAAACCCTTACGTCAAACATCCGGAAAAGAACCTTATCAACACGCAAGAAGAGTCTCTGAAGGATGAACCAACCGAATGGCATAACACGCTATATTGTGATTTTATTAGAGAAAGGTCGTAGGATAATGATAAACCTACGATTTTTACATTCAGTCCAACTTGACCGTTATCACCTAGCTCATCTTCATAAAGTTGAACATCGTCATAGAACAAGATAGGCTGATTAGTATCACTGAGTTTATCAATTGGTATCGTATCATTAACGTTATTTGATGTAGAGAATACGTTTGAGGTGCTTCCATTATATCTCGTAGTGTAAGTCCAATCCCAAGGTTGGCTAGGTTTTATAGTTGAAGATTCTTCTGTTTGTCTATTGGATGTGCCTAATTAGATGTAAGAGTAAATGATTGATTAAACCTACCGACTATTAGCCCAATGATCGGCGTATGACACTCTAAGTTCATTCTTCTTACTCACACCTCTGAGAGCATCCCTAGTATTGAATGATATCTTAAAATCACTATCATTGTCGCGTAACTCAACGAAACTATCCAAGAATGTCATCTCTGGTGGTGGTATACCCAATTCCTCGGAGAGACTATATAAACACTAATCAATTGACTATAACTTAGATTTAATAGTATTTACGAACTCTTCAGTTTCTTTCATGGAAGGTATAGTAGATTTTTGAGTATTTATTACCCAATTATTTAGTTTATATTCACTTTTATGATTTTTGGACATGACAGCACTAAAGATAAGAAGAAAATCAATAAGCAATCGTAAATTCTACTGCAAAAACATATATACACATAATTTGTTTACACATAAATAGTTTTAAACAGTTTAGTCGAAGAGACCGAGACCCATGTCCTCATCTTCATCTTCCTCTTCTTCCTTCTTCTCCTCAGCAGCTGGGGCAGCTTCACCACCTGATGCTGCTGCTGCTGCTGGTGCTGCGGCAGCGTAAGCATCTGGGTTGGCGATCATGTCCTTAATCTGGTAGATTATCGTTAGTTAAACGTTCAAATTAGCCAGGTTATTCATTTCGAATGAGTATTTAATAATTGTATCAGAGACCCGTCTCGGTTTCTCACCACGATTAGTGTAAGAATTTTCAGTGTGTTGACATTAAAAGAAATCATCATGTTCAATTTTAAATACCGATATTCCAAATGAATAACCTTTGAATATAAACATACCTTCTCAGAGTACTCGAAAGTGTAGTCGGTTGAGATAGAAACAGCGAGAACGTTCTTGAATGAGTTGACGAATGAGTGCATAACTGATGGCAATGTTGGGTAGTTGATAGCCAAAGAGATAGCAGCAATTTGGTTACCAGCAGTCAACAATCTACCAACGAGAGTCTCCTCAGAAACGTCGAGAACGCTTGGTGAGAAGATTTGACCATTGTCGTAGACTTGAACACAAGTCATACCGAAAGTGAATGGAGAGATGTTAAGCATGTTAAGAAGGGTAGCTTCAGATGCACCAACACGGGTGTTTGCTTCAACAACTCTGATGTCACTGACGATTTCAATGGTACCACGAGCAATCTTGGTTGGAACACCAAGGGCTTGGAAGAAGGAAGTCTTACCTGGTTCCATACCGGTGTTACCAGCTGGAATGTAGACATCCTCTGGTGAGTACAAACCAGCTCTTGCTGGTGCCTTGACCTTGTTAGCGACGATGATGTCTCTGATGTCCTTCAAGTCACCTGAGGTGAAGACGAAACCGATGTTACCCTTAACGTGAGCCAAGAGACGTTCGAATTGTGGGTTTGATTGGATGAAGATCTTCAATGCTCTTCTAACCATGGTGTTCTTACCCATCAAAACTTGACCTTTGCCTCTCAAAGCTTGACGAATTTGGTGCATTTGGTTTGAGGAAACATTGTCAATGTTGACAATGAAAATTGAAGGGTAGGTCTCAACCAATTCTTGGAGACGGTTGAAGTATTGCTCCTTTTCAGTTCTGTTGGCACCCATTTCTGAAGATTGCAGTTACTTTTAAAGTAAGTAAAGCGATTTAAACCTTCGACGTTGGTCTTGAAGATTCATTTCAAGCGATTTCTAGTAAAATCTGTCTAAGATTTTTTATTTTAAGAGGAAACTAAAATTATTATTTATATTTTATATAATTGCATAATATACACACTTACTCATCATTTCATCTCATCCTATCCCTGTGCAACAATGCTGTTAGCGGAAGAAGAAGACCACCGTGGAGCTTATCAAATGTGATCTATCTAGTAGGAGAGCTAAATATGATAGTATAGTATATACTGAAAGCATTCAGAGACAGAAATCTCATTTCCTTCTGCGACCATACATACGTCAGAGCAAGATACTAGAAGTACTATAAACGACGGTTTGAGAGATTTTATTATTTTTTTTCTAGCCATCTACACTCAATAAAGATATTCATTTGCTCCAATATAATATTTTACTGATTTTATAAATTTGCGTCTCAAAAAATCTCATCGTGAAATATTCTTCTTAAGTACATACACCAAGTGAAAAATGGTGAATAAGATTCATAATAGCGGAATATTAGTTAACCAATAAAACAGGTCAAACGTACTCGTAAAGTTGGGATCACAGGAAAGGCACGATATCGCACTCTTTTAAGTCTATTTAGCTAACATTCAAATTAGTACGGTGTCCGCTACGGTGCTTCCTTGCGTAAGCAAGTAAAGAAGATGGAAATCTCACAACACGCCCGTTACACATGTACTTTCTGTGGTAAGGACTCCGTCAAGCGTACTGCCACTGGTATCTGGAACTGCAAAGCTTGCCGTAAGGTCATTGCAGGTGGTGCTTACACTTTGGCCACCCCAGCTGCCACTACTGTCCGCAGGTTAGTTTATAATTTTATCTGATTCTCTGATTGACAAATTTGAAGCACCATCCGTCGTCTTCGTGATGTCCACGCTGAGTAAGCGTTGAGCTGCACAGCAAGTCTATTTACGACCATGTACTCATGTAAGAACCTTTCATACAGATCCTTCCTTGGTATGAGATCGTTTAGACGCGTTATACTGTTTAGTGACGAATATAGGCAGATGCCTATGTTCCTGTTGAATTGAGTGTGAAATATAATGTTAGTATAACGAGTTAGTGTAATAGTACAACGTTACTTCTGTTTATAACCTTCCTTTTTCCCAATCAACAACAGCACGAGCCTGAGTTTATGTTTGGTAGATTGAATAGAGGTATAATATAGCAGCGACTATTTAAAAAACAAGAATATATCACTATAAATTTAGATCCATCGACACAATCTCATTTAGGATTATCCTTTCACATACTACCAAATGTGTCAATTGAATGAAAAGCCGTCTTACTAGCCATAGTGAGCTTCTACCTTTTGAAGACTAGCTACCTTGCTCTCTGTATGTAGAAGTTGCACTGGTGTGGTACACATATGCGAGACTTAACCCAGGTTGGTTTAATAGGATCAGATAATAATTAGATTTAGGCTGTCCAATATATCAAATACTAGTTCTAGAACTAATGAAAGCTCTGAATAATAAGTACTACCACGTCAGATAAGTGATCACTAACAGCTGGCAATTCTCCTAAACTTTTAATTAAAGTAAGTAGCTAAAATGCTACAAGGCACTCTTCGGATGGTTTATATTTTACATTGATAGTTAAGTTGGTAGTAGGTTCTGAACTGTAGAGTTAAATTGGATTACACGGAAGCCTTAACCGATGTTTTTAATGTTTTACGTTAGATACTTCCTACTGAGATCTTTACTATTATATGGATACTAATTTCATGAGTATTCGTTTCAGATTCATCATAGTTTATAGGTCATTATGATCAAATACATTGCAAATGGGTGAAGCGAGTAGTTGTAAATATACAAGCTGGTTTCATATTGAGATCCTGATATTGGCAATCATTGTATGGTGGCTTTTCTATCAGACGAATATTATGAAGCGTAGTAAATCGAGGATAAGATGACCAAGATAGCCATATGTGGAAGCAGTCAAGCTTGTAAAAAGTAGATATATGAGATCTTTCGCGAATTATTGATCGACCTCATTTAGACAGATAGTATACCAAGATAACGATCGCGCACCTGCTGACGTGCTAAATTCGCTCCAAATATACATGTCTAATATCAGATCATAAGTATACATGATAAGCTTACCGATTTCTGCGAAATGACATAACATAGAAACGACAACCGTTCATACAGTATATATATGCTCTAATACTATATTTCTAATAAGTAATTATTTTCTATGGAAAACATAATTTTCTTACTGAACAACTACATATCTTACTGAGCGCACTTGGATAAGGTTTGATTATCTCAATTCTGTATATTATGATACGCAATAAATTTACCTCAAATGTAAACTAAAGAGAAGGCTAAGATATCTAGTAAAAAGTTAGACTTAACCTTATTTCACTAAGGTAAGGTGTAAAAAATAATGTGTCGTACTTTTCAAGCCACAGCACGAAGATACATGGATTGAAAAACTTTCATTGTAATTCAATTAGGTTTGACGATCTGATGATAATATAAGTCACTAATGTTGGCTTGTTCGCCGCCTGGTACCTCCTACCTTATTCCGATGTTCATGTTTGAGTTCAATACAAATGAGCATATCAACTTATTAAGATACATTCGTTATCATAAACAGTGGTTTTGAAGCATGCATAAAAGATGTCTTACAGACAAAATGCTGTTTATGAGCTATTGTAAAGAAGTTATAATGTATCCAGGCTTGAAATATGCTGCAAAACTCAGATTTGAATACTTACTTGGGATTTTACCAGCTCCCGGGCTTATGATCTACGATGTTGTCATTGCCAAAGAGTCAGAATATATAAAATGAGACTTTAATTATTTTATTATTAGTTTTTTTTATGATGTCTATGGTTTTTGTTTATATTTGAAAAGTATCAAAAATTTGCTGAAGAATGAAGAAAATAAGACAATGTCATAATAATGATTTTCTAGAGTAATCCACATTATAGAAAATAATTTCTGATCTGAGTATATAGAAGCAGCAGAAAGATTTGTAATATTGCAGACGCAGAAGGTCGTGTTTTAGGTCTGTTTGTGTTCTTAATCGTTTTTAGTTGGTTCCTCATCGTCAAACGGATTATTAAATACTTGGGACTATCACCTATGAGCACAAAGATCCATGAGCTGTAAAGTAACAAATTACGCTAGTAATTTGGTGTTGTTCGTTATAACAGCCAGCTCGTAAAATGATATCACTTGGGCACAACCATATTGGTACTGATCAAGCGATGGTGAGCTTAGTAATGACTTGCAACCAGGCTTGATTTTAAGTGGATTATATATAATCATTCTACAGCTTATCAAAATTTCGATATATGTGCATAATAATCTACAAGAGCTTCTGATTTGAGGTAACCATGTTAACGAGATCAACAGGGGCTGGACCAATACCTAAAACTGTTGTAGATCCTGCCTCAATCTGAGTTCGGCCCCTACGAAGTTAATGATAAAATAAAACAAAGACTTCACTTACGCATCTTGAATACTTCTTGCACAAACATTTAATGATTGAGCTTGTGCTTGTAATATTAACAACTCTTCCTCAGATTTAGCTTGAACAGTGATTTTAGCTTGCCTAGATAAACTTATGAGCGAATGAATCAAATATAGATAAGATTTTACCCTGTACGCTCCCAATGACGAAGTAGCTTAAGATAAATTAATACTGAATGCGTCACTTGCAAATAAAGTACATACAGTTGGGTTAGACTGTTGAAGGGCTTTATAGCAAGCCAAAGTAGCGTGACTGTACGTAGTTGAGCTTTTACTAAGGGTTTCCTTTATACTTACGAGCATTGTGCTGCAATCTTGCCTTTTGTCATACCAAGATCTGTTCTAACGACTAGGACCTATAATGGGCTAGAAACGCAGACACACAAGCCATGAAGGAACTTACAAGCTTGCAAGGTTCTAGTATACCTGGTTTGACAGTATCCAGTCCGGTTTGATCGTCTTCGTCATCAGACTCATCAGTAAAATCTGACTTTGTAGATAATTTTGCAGGTTTGCCTAAGAGATAGCCTAATCCGAATGTTATCTGCTTAATAGTTAAACTTCTATCTTCGAATTCAAGAAATCGTTCTCACTATTGGAAGCGATAGGTATAAGGCAAGCATTTTTGGTGGTGTGGATGCTTTATTAGAGTATGAGAAATAGAATTCCAATTTAAAACGACGATCTCACAAAAAGAAGACATAAGCGTTGGCTTAGAACTCTACATTCATCTTAATGGTTAATACTGGACAAAAAAATAATACAGCTCATAAAAGGATAAAGCAGCATCAGAATAGGATATATGCAAACCCGCTACCAGTTTTAATAGATCAAAGGCCCTCAACTTTTTTAGCTGGTTTGAGTAGATTTGGACAGAAGTCGCTGATAAACCCATCTTGTGTTGGAATATATATAAAAGAAACTCAGTCTGTCTGGGTCATTAATGAAAGGGATATCAGGGTACTTTGGACCAGAGGTTTCTTCGGTAAAGGCTCTTTAAGTCGATCTGAGCCAACTTGGAATGATCGTCAGCGTAAATTGGCTGTAGGAGATAAACCTCAGCCAACGGCTGAAGAAATTACTTCAAAAAGGCGCGTAGAAAGGAATAAGATGAAAATTGAGAGAGCCAAAGTGCTTACCGAAGCTCAGTTAGCTGCTGAAGCCGCTTTAGCAGGCATAGATGCTATTAAGGAGTCACCACCTGTGCCAGTGGATGAGGATAATAATGATATTGTTTTGAATGACAAAACTTCGCGTGGTTTTGAACCATCAAGTCCACCAAAATGGGAACCACTTGAGCCAGATGAACAAGAAGAGCAAGAGGATCTTTCTAATGCCGAACATTTACAGCTCACTTTACAAGAGGCATTCTTTTTGGCTTGGGGAGTTGGTTGCTTGAGAATTATTGATCCTCAAAAAGTAAGCCTATTGTTTGTGAAGTTGATGAGTCTAATAACTATGTAGGATATCTTCATGTCTAATAGACAACTTTGGAAAGAGTTTAGATATTTGCCAATCACTTTAGATTCTAATTCGGTTAACATAGACCGACTTGATAATCCATTTTTAGTGAATTACGCAGTCTATCATCATTATAGGTCATTAGGTTGGGTAATAAAGTCCGGTATAAAGTTTTGCGTTGATATGGTGCTCTATAAACGTGGTCCAGTCTTTCATCACGCTGAATTCGCTGTTGTTATTTGTCCAACATATGAAGACGAAGCGGACAAGAGCACGAGCCCATTCAAGCTGCATAATACAGATGAATTAAGTTGGCAATGGCTTAACACGATCAATAGAGTGAATAGTCAAGCAAAGAAGACGCTAATACTCGCATATGTAGAAATACCGTCAAAGAAACGAGTTGAGAATATCGATGAACCAACTGAAGTTTTAAAAGAATATAACGTTAAAGAAGTTGTTATTAAGAGATTTGTAGCCGCTCGAAATAGAGACAATTGATTTTATAAATTTACAGATCTATTATCATTCCTTGGAGAGCTACTTCGATGCTAGATTAGAGATAAAGATTTAGATGAAGCACTACAGAGTAAATAGTGACGAAAGCTTTAATCAGAATAAATCTACGAGCTACCATAAGCAACAAATGTCACTCAACAATCTGAACGAGATCAGAATTTTGATGGTCTCTATCGTAGGCGGTAGCTGGAATCCTGTAGACGTGAGCAACGTTTTCAATCATGCTAAAGCTAGAAACGCCGTTTTGGTATGCGTGAGTTCCTTTTATAGTTTCTCTTGGTATTGCTAAATATATCTACAAAGCTACCAATCTATGAGGAAGACTATCCATATTGCAATTTTTACCTTACGGACTTATTTTTGCGACAAACCTCTCCTCAAGCTATTACGAACAGCGAATTGGATGCCATTTTGACCAGTCACACTTCACGGAATTCTTCACAGAATGTATTAGCGCACATATTAGTTAAAGTTGAAAGGCCAAAATCTGTTACAAATACCGATACCACTCTGCCCCTCAGTTTACGGCCTGGTAGACAACCCAGACCACCTAGTAGTGCCGGCAGGCGTAGTACAAGTGGCGGGAACTCTAGACTTGATGATTTTGGTGCACCAATTACTTCTCCTTCTGTAGAGAAAGAACAACACGCTTTACTTTCAAAGTTCGAGCAAGAGCAACGTGATCATGAATTAGCGCAAAAGCTTCAAGAAGACCTACGAATTGAGGATGAGCGTGCACGCGAGGAACATAACAGAAAAATAGAGCGTCAACAACGACAGTGGGCCGAACAAGTCGCTGGTTGTGAAATGCCTCACTCAGAAGTTGATTTGGCTCGAAGAAGGCACCGAGAGCGTGAACGGCTATTGCTATTAAGGGAGCGTGAAAGGCTTCAACAACAACAACAACAGACCGAAAGAAAAACATTCTCCTCTTACCCCGCTGATCAAAGGCGCCTTCAGAAGTCTTCCCGTCATTCTCCATACCCGGCACCACAAAACATACCAATGACTTCACCAGCGTGGAATACGCGACCACCCATAACTACTTCAAAGCAATCAGCGTATACTCGTGCTTACCATAATCAGCGTCCAGCACAATTCCCAACGACACCTGGAGTACCTTCAATACCGCCACCAACGAGACAAACAGCACTAAAGAATCAAAGCTCACTACAAACTGCCAGAAGTATGGGCAACATTTATGAAAATTATCATAATCAAGAGAATTCTAAGGTATTCCCTGCTGTACTACCAAATGTATCAGCGGGCTATGTTAAACAGGGAAAAAGTAAAGCTCCAGTTTATGTTTCGTCTCAGCAACCTCAAATTACTTCACCAGTTGCTCAACGTAGTATTTATTCACCAACTAATTCATATCCAGTGCACCAAGCGACGCTTACGAATCACCCTTCACACCCTCCTGCAGTTGAACCATCTAATGCTTCACCTTATTCTAATAATGCACGGGCTCCTACAAGGCCATACTCTGAAGAAGAACTTAACTGGTTGTATAGAATGAATCAACAAATTGACGAACAGCAGATAAGAAGTCAAAATTCTTCCCAGCAGCCTTATGTATCATCACCAAATTCAGCAATACTAGTATCGCCTGGATATAATGGATCCAACCTTGCATCGAGTAACAATCCAACACAATACCTCACTACAAGTCCTAATTCAGACCATAGTTCTCGTTCACCTTCTGCTAATGATGGGTTGTATATTACAGGTATACCAAAACCTAGACAAGCTAATAATCGCGCTTATTCGTCAACAAACAAGATGAGACCGCTTTCTGTTGAGGATAATACGATAGATAAGTATTATCAAGATGAATCTGTACTAGCCACGTCCGCGCCGGCAAATCACCCTAAAATCTCGTCATTTAGTGATCAGCAGAATTCACCCCAAGCTGAACATGAACCAAGGACTATTTATCGTAATCATCATAACCAGGACAGTTCTATATCGAGCATACCTGATGAACGTACATCTAGTTCAAATAGGTCATCAGCGACTAGCGTCGATCCACTGACACCAGCATCTGATATTAATAGTCCTGCTTATCAAGACAGACTGATTTCTGAAGAAGACCAAGAATTTTTATTGGAGGATGTAACTAATGCTTATTTCAAAGAGTCGGATAATAGTGAATCAGATTATGATGGTGAAGTAGCTTCAGGTGAAGACTATTTATCAACAACTGATGATGATGATGAATTTGGATGGAAAATTAAACCAGCTTATCAATACGACAAAACTTCAATCAAATCCTCTCAAAATGCTACACCGACTTCACCTGAGATGCCAACGATTATTCCAAGTAGATCCAATACGAAAGAAATTGAGCATCAACAACATAAATCACCATCATTAGATACTGTTAAAGATTATAATACTCATGATAGTACCAGTGAAGATGAAGGACAAGCAACATGGCAACTGCCTCCGAAGATAATTTCAGATAAACTTCATGAATCTAATATTAATAACTCTAAGCAGGAAAAAAGGAAATTACAGCTTATTATACCAGAAAGTAATGTCCTTACATCTGAACCTCAAACTACCATAACGACTACGACATCAGCTTCAGATTCAGGTTCACCTGCTCAGCACCAATTACGTTCACATAAACTATCACCAAACTTACTAAGTAGGAGGAAACTACATAGAGGTTCCAGTATACGTGATAAGAGAAATGAAAATGCACTTTTTAGACCTAATCCGGAGGACTTGATTGACAATTTGGAGTTGTATTTCCCTGGGCATGATTTAGATAGACCCATAGTGTCAAATGATGGTACTGATGAGGCGACACCTGATAACAAAGTATCGTCACCCTCTAATGAAGCGGTTCATACTAATACGAATGATACTGATAATTTCAATAATGAAACAGAACAACTTAATACAAGAGTCAGAAGGACACGAACGATAAGACATGTTGCTCAAGATCATCGGAAAGCTTTGGACAGGGCAAGGTCATTTAAAGTTGGCGATGATGCTTCGTATCAATCGAAAGAGCGCTCTTCTGTTATCTATGAAGAACCATCAGAGTTGACAAGGGAAGATACAATACCAGACACAGATAGTCAGAATCTGGAACAGCAAGTACGTTCAATGAGTCAATCTAATTTGCGGAAATCACCTGTTATTGATGATAGAGCTGGATTAAAACGTCGCTCAACTGTATTCTGGGGCAATAAAGTAGTGCAAGTTCAACCAAATGAAAGAGAAAGGCAAGAGCAAATACTATCTCCAGTAACTAATGAACCTTCAACAATTAAATGGGTCAAAGGTGATTTAATTGGTAAAGGATCATTTGGTCACGTCTATTTAGCACTCAATGCAAATACGGGAGAGCCTTTAGCTGTAAAACAGATCGCTCTTACTGCTCACTCAGATGAAGATAATGATGGCGATGACAAGCTAGTTGACAGTATTAAATATGAGATTGAATTACTTAAAGATTTAGATCACGATCGCATTGTCAGCTATCTCGGGTTTGAAAGAACTGATAAATTCTTTTCAATGTTCGTAGATTAAATTTCCGTAATTTAAATGACTAATTCACAATTTAGATTTCTTGAATATGTTCCAGGTGGTTCAGTTATGCGCTGTTTAAGAAGACATGGTCCGTTTGAGGAAGATTTAGTCAGGTTTTTCATGAGACAAGTTCTTGATGGTTTAGTATACCTTCATGACAGAGGCGTATGGCATAGAGATCTAAAAGCAGATAATTTACTGGTTGATTTCGAAGGAAATTGCAAAATATCAGACTTTGGTGTATCAAAAGCAGCAGGTTAGTATATTAAGCATTTTTATTTTATCTAATAATTTATTTAGACTCTGATGCATACGGTACAAATGCTGGAGCTACTAACATGAAAGGAACGTTCTATTGGATGGCTGTAAGATTTTAATTATAAAATCAACCAATTACTAATGTTTTCAGCCTGAGGTGATTGATTCGGTAGGAATGGCTGGTTATTCAGCCAAATGCGACATTTGGAGTTTAGGTTGTGTACTTTTAGAGATGCTCACAGCTGAAAGACCATGGCCTAAGATGACAATGGTTCAGATAGTCATGGAGGTGAGTAATAATAACTCTTAGCCATAGACGATTCTTATAATATATACAGGTCGGTCAAAAACGTTCTGCACCACCTGTGAAAGAAGGCATAGAAATGAGTCAAGATGCTATCGCATTTAAGAATGCTTGCTTTAAAGCCGAACCGAGAGAAAGACCAACTGCATCACAATTAGCCGATGACAAGTTTTTAACTATAGATAAGGAGTGGAATTTCAAAGATAGCAGACTAGGCCAAACTATAAGATCAACCAATAGACTACATTCTTCATAATTACTTCTTTTTCTATATTGTAATAATGTGCTTGTATTAAGTTTCAGTCCGTACATTAGCAAAGAAGAGTGCAAAATAAATCGTAAAAGTAAAAAGCAACTAGGAACTTATTGAGTCAGCAGGTCACTAAATCGCGTAAAGCTAGCGAAAGTTCATTAAAAGGCCCTCGCTTAAATGGTCGTCGCTTAACCCACAAGTCAAAGATCACGCTTGAATAGCTACATTTAAGACTAAGATGGTTGACTTAATCGAGAAAGGTAAATTACACGTTGCAGCTGGCTGTGGCCGCATCAAGGAACATATCATAGAGAGAGGTGAAGGCAGCTGGGTTTATACTGTATGTTTAAATTTTACGCAGTAAATAAAGCATAATTAATTACTTATAGAATGAAGAGAAATTACTGGATTTCACCTGTGGAATTGGTTCGTGGCAGTTCATACTCTCTTATCTATCTTACCGTCATTAGGCGTAACTAACTTAGGACACTGTCATCCTCGTATAACGAAAGCAGCGCAAGAACAAGTTGGAACACTCGTCCATGGACAATGTAGTATTGGTTTCACACGCCCATAGTTAGTTATTTCACTAGTATGAGTTTAAATCAGTCTGACGATAGGTGTTATAGCGTGGAGCTTATCGAGAAGTTACTTCAAGTGATGCCAGACCCTTCACTAGATTCATTCTTCTTCGTGCGTATTTTTTTTTAGCGCTGTATGTTCTCACATGCTATCAAGCTCAACTCTGGAAGTGAGGCCGTCGAAAATGCTATTAAAGTTGCAAGAAAATCATCCGGAAAGACTCACGGTAATATTATATGTATGCAAGGCTCTTATCATGGGTAAGTAAAGTATATAACATAACACATTCTTTAACGTCTTAAGACGTACCTATGGCGCCTCAGCACTTACGAAGTCAAAAACAATCTACGCTGAGCAAGTAGGTAATGGTATGGTGAGTTTATTCTGCGTGGAAATGAATAAATTCATTGACGCCTATTAGCCTGGTATTTACACCACGCCATTCCCATATGCCCACCAAATGGGTCTTCCACAGTCAACTTCTGAGGAAGAGCTCGTAAAGCATTGTTTATTCCAATTGGAAATGTTGCTCGCTCAACAGAGTGCTCCTGTTGACACCGCGGCTATCATCCTTGAACCGGTTCTTGGAGAAGGGTAAGAAGAGCATCAAAATATGATACAGTAGAAAACTCATAATTCCGTAGTGGGTATGTACCTGCACCAACCTCATTCCTTCACGGCTTGCGTAAAATCTGTGATGATAACAACATTATGCTCATCTTGTTAGTCACTGGCGTCTCTATACTTCTATAACTCATTTGTCACAGAGATGAAGTCCAAAGTGGATTTGGAAGAACAGGCAAATACTTCGCTGTAGAGCACTCCGGTGTACGTCCAGATATATTGGTTATCGCAAAGGGGATAGCAAACGGTTTCCCACTTTCTGCTATCGTTACTCGCAAGGAGCTTACAGACAAGATGCCAAAGGTGATTATTATAGTTATCATGAAAATCAATTACTAATATCTGCAGGGCTCATTGGGAGGTACATACTCTGGCAATGCAATCTCATGCGCAGCCGGTGTAGAATGTGCCAACGTCATGAAGGAAGAACAGATACTTGATAACGTTAACGCGCGTTCAGTTGAGTTATTTACTGCTTTGAAACAACTTCAAGATGATCATGAAACAAAGGATTTTATTGCCGATGGTATGTTTCAAATTATTTTGAGATTTTTATATAATGAGATTTTCAGTTCGTGGATTAGGTCTTATGATTGGAGTAGAATTCGTCAGCTCAACGAAGCATCCAATCCCATCAGCAGTTATCAAGAACTCAACTCCAGACAACATTGGGGCAAAGGTACAGAAAAAATGCCTCGAAAAGGGTTTGATGTTGTTAACAACATCTGCATTTGACGTCATTAGATTTATTCCACCTCTCACGATCTCCAAAGAGGAAATGGAGCTTGGTTGCAAAATTTTCAAGGAAAGCGTCAGAGAAGTTGTCAAACAAGAATAAAAGAGAGGTTTTTTATTATTATGTTTTGATACATTATGAAATTGTCTATTCAAGAACTATCTTGGCGCCTGCAGCTTCCAAAGTCTTTTGAAGTTTTTCAGCATCCTCCTTTGATAAGCCTTCCTTAATGATCTGTGGAGCACTCTCAACAAATTTCTTTGCCTTTGTATAAAGTTAGCGTGACTCAAAATAAGAGAATAATACTTACCTCCACCAAGTTCATTGTTGGGTTCAGAGCCTTTACTTCTCTTATAACCTTAGCTTTCGCTGTAGCATCGATAGATTCCAATTTAACTGAGAAAATCGTCTTTTCCTTTGGCTTGTCTTCTTCAGCTTCTGCAGCCGATTCAGCAGCGACGGCTGGAGCAGCCGCAACGGCTGGCATAGCAATATCTTGAATATTTAATTTAGTCTATAATTTATTAATAAGGCATAAATTGACTATGTAAAGTAATTACCTTGAGCAAAGAAGCCAAATCAGCAGCTTCAAGTAAGTTGAGTGAAGCGATTTGATCGACAATAGCTTCTAATTTTGGATTAGAAGGAAGGGCGTTCGTTGATTCCTCCAATCTACGGACAGAAGAAACAAAAGTACGACTGGTTGAACTGATTTATCTGTAAGTAAATGTAGACTAAATCTATAATAAAACTGACGGTACTACAGTTCGACTGATAATACGTTGGCTGAATAATCTAAGCTACTAAATTTTAGTCTATTCATTAATATATATTTTCCCCTTACGCTCATCTTTATAGATCTTTGAAAGGAAGAATAAACGAAATATAGCTCAGATAAAAAAATTACAAAATTGCTTGAAAGTATGAATAAAGAAATTATTCCACCAAAGTCGGCAAAGGGTAGAGTCACAGATTCACCAGACGTTCGTTATTCGAAAACGTTATCATATATTTTGAGACATGGAGCATTGAAGGAGGGTTTATTTATCAGAAAGGATGGTTTTATTAAAGTTGATGATCTCGTCAGTTTTACTTTGTGATATTTTTATTTCCTTATCATTCTTTATTACAGCTACAACGACCAAAGTTGAAAGGTCTTGACTACGAATTATTGCAGCATCTGGTTAGAACGAATGACAAGAAAAGATACCAATTGCTTGATGAAGATGGCGTAAAATTAATAAGAGCCGTTCAAGGTCATACTTTGGACACCAGTGATTTAGAGTTAACTCAAATTCTCAAACCATCAGATGCTTCTATCGCTGTACATGGGACTAATCCGGACGCTTGGAATAAAATAAGTATGTCTTTTACACATTATAGTTACCTGTTTTAACATCCAATTTAAGAAAATGAAGGTTTGAAAACTATGGGAAGGCAGTATATTCATTTAGCTACTGGTTTACCGGGTGATTCAGAGGTTATCAGTGGTATGCGTAAACAAAGCTCTATTTTTATCTATATCAACTTAGAACAATCATTGGAAGGTGAGTCAAAATTTTTATTCACAACAAATTGTCTAACTATATTATGGATGGTGTCAAATTCTTCAAGTCATTGAATGGTGTTATCTTAACGAATGGTTTAGATGGCACATTACCGACAAAGTATTTTGCCAAAGTACAGAACAAAGATGGATTAGATATATAATTTCATCTGTTTACAAATAGTCAATGAGTGTTCGACATTACGCTTGAGCCAGCAAAGGTTCTTGCTCATTAACCATCGGAACTGTAACTCTTCCGAAGTAATGGTCTTTTTCCTCTTTTGCCCAAGCAATATTATATGATGCCGACAAGCCAGGTATAATTTGAGAGACACAAGCTATCATCGAGAGGATCAATGCAGTGAATGCTCTGAAGAAAGCTGATCCTAAATGACCTTTGAGCTTTGTGTTGGTGTAAAATAACATCACGCCGATGCTGAAGAATTCTAAAAGACCTATGAAATAATTAATGTTCCCATAGTAGGTAAATACCTGTTTACAGTATCTAGAAAAGGTTAACGACATAGAAAGCGTGTCATCATACTGCTTACAGTAGTATCAAAACTGACATTAGTTTCCAACCTTCGCGACGTCTCTTACCACCTGAGTATACGTCAGGTTACATAAAGTCTGAGTAAAAGGACAAACCTTTATGGCCAATACAGGCTATTAAAATTAGCGAGAACAGGCAAGGTATAAGAAAAATGAAAGAAGTTTGGATAGTGTAACTAATCGTGATTAATTGAAGTGCAATATAAACTAAACTTACCCCGCAGATGACCACATCGAACAGAATGTGCCTCCTAATTTATTGCAATCTTCAACCATCGGAAACTTCTGACAATGGCGAACATGCGTTATTATACTGCATTTCTTATATAAGCCTATGAATGTATAACCATCTTGAACTATCCATGATGTTTTGACCAAACTCTCTAGATTTAATAATGCAGAGATGAGCAATAGTGAAAAGCTGGAAATGTCTTGAGTATCAATTCAATCTTGATATGAGAGTATTACCTCAATAAATAGTAAATTACTTTCATGAACTTTCGGTCGACTTAATCGTTTAGCAAGAACAGCCATACAGAAATACAAAACACATGTCAAGCATTCAAGAGACTTCAGCTGAATTTAAATTAGCTCGCTTACTTGCCCTGGTGGCTTCAGCCTGTATGTCTGAAATTGTCTAATCATTTGGCATCTCTTAATAGTCGCATAGATGTCTCTTACGCATGCATATGTGTGAAACTATAGTAAACAATACCTTTCAAATACTAATAAAGCGATTTAGGGGGTTTGGTATACCGCAAGTTTTTCCTTGACATGCTTGGAGCTAATCTTGGTCCTACTGGTATCATGTAAGTCCATCATAACGAATCCCCTTCATTTTTTTATATTCAATTACCATAGACCGAACATTAATATCAGTGGTTTGATCTTCATTACTGAAACAATTGCATTGTTGCAGATACTCATCGAATTACTCAGTCTCTTCAGTTTGATGCTTAACTACCCTATCAAATTCTTCTCAGGCTTTAAGCAACACAAATTGAGAATAGGTGTCCTTTATTTTACTGGTACACTTGCATTAGGTGTTTATCAGGTGAGGTCTCGAACATGATAGACGTAACATACCAATTGAATATAATTCAAAGGCTGTTGATGGTGGCGTCTACATGCTAATAAGTGCTACTATCTACCAGGTACTTCTGTACATTCACAAGCCGCCAAGAGACACTTCTGACTCAAGCATCGTGTAATGCAAATTTTGATTCACATATGTAATAATCATTGTATTTCTATAATGTAAATTACTATATTCGTTCACGTTAACCAACACATAATGCGGAAAAAGAAGCAACCTATCCTAATTTGGAAGGTATGCCAATTAGCGCGATTTTTTTTAACGCGTCTCAGGAATCCTAGTCTCAACTTGCTTCATCCAATCCAGCAACGTTATAAAAATAATAAACCAAAGGAATAATTCCATTATTCCACCCATCATATAATCCTTTCTTTTCACAATTATTCAACGTGCCCCCATTCAACAGAATACGTTACGGCCCAGAGGTCACACAATCTATCAAAAACAAACCGAAAGCAGACTACATTCATTTGTAAGTGTTTCTTCTAAACTATACTTAATTCTAACCTCGTTAAAGTAAATCAAACACCATTCTGGATAATACAAGAGTAAACGCATCCTTAGACGACACCAAAAACGTCGCCAACTGCCTAGACATGGCTAGTTGTCCCTTTGCTGAAGTTTATAATCTGAGCCTCGATGATCAACATGATATAAAGAGGCGTCAAAATTTTGATGATGGAAAGTATCATGGTGTTGGTAGCTTATCGGGCAGTCGAGATTCAACTACACCTCCAGACGCCCAAGTGCTTCCTAATGATGCTGATAGTTCAACTATAAATAGCAAGTCAACATCGAATGTAAATAGTGATAAGAAGTTAAAGTCTTCATCCGTGAGTGAATTAATATCGGAAAGAATAAAAGCTAATCTTTGCTAGTCATCAGATAATGTAGAGATAGAAAATATTGAAGATGAAGATGACTTGGAAGATGACATAACAACAGATAGTGATGGAGACGACAACGACATTGAGAAAGATGAGGAAATTGAAATCCCCGATGCGGAAGATGACAGTGACCTCTCTGATGATCGTCCAGATTCGACGATTCCTCCTTCAAATAGTAACGATGATGAGGCAACAGCTTCCATATCAGACACTTCACCCGATTTTAAGGTCGCCTACCTCTCTCCTATCTTCATTATAGGTGGTCTAGTAGCATTATTTACCATTGTCGGTTTAATTTATCGTCGTCGTCGTCGCAATCGATTAGCAAGGGAACGTGAAATGGCTTTGGAAAATGGGTCAAGCGAGGATATGGACTCTCATTTATCAAAATCAGTTGAAGCTAACGTATTCTCGGGAAATTTGGAGGAAGAACCACGTCATTCAAGTTGGCAGACTAACGATGATGCTGAAATGATGTCTCCTAATACACAAGCTTTCATACAGGCTTCAAATGCTAGATTAGATAGACCTTGGACTTATCAACCTTCGGGATTGTCTCCACAATCATTTCGTAACGAACCGTGGAAATGGCCTTCTAACCATACTCCTAAAGATGTCTCAAAGCCATTATATCATCACACAAACTCATCATTTCAACCACCAAGTCAAATAACAGACGAGTTCCTCAAATCTCCCCTTCCTGAGGGCTATCAAGATGCTTCACCAGAAGATATAGATCGCAATTTCGTTGAAATGGGTGACAGAAAAAAATACAATTCTGGCTCGATGGCATTCTATTCGAACGCTATGAAATCTGTTTTTGATGGTGAACGTAAAAAGTCTGGTTCGATTGGCAAGAAGTTCCTCTCACGTAAGGCGACAGCCGAGATGGACAATGGTCAAGGTCCTCAAATTAGGCAAAGGAAAGTCTCAGACAAGCAGGCACAGCAGATTTCTGAGAATGATGATAACAACTTTATATCTTCCGCATTCTCTCCTCCACTTCGTAGCTCAACCCCATGGTGGGAAATCAGTCAGGCCGTTAAAACTGTCTTTAATCCACCCAAACGAGAACCTACGCCAGCTTTTGGAGGCTTTTTCAAGAGAAGCTCTACACCAGCTAATCCTCTTGTTAAAGAGATGCAAACATTAAACCAAAACGAATCGGAGCCTTCCGAGGAAAATGTTCTTACACCGATCAGTAAAGATATAAAATCACCCGTTCCGATTTCGTATGATCAAATAAAATCGGAGTCGAACTCAACGGATGAGACTCAGAAAATGGAGATGCCACCACCACCTCTACCAAAATCACCAAACAAGAAAGTTAAGCGGGAGAAGAAAAAGTCTAAAAGCAATAAGCATACTTTCTCGCCAACGTCACCTATAGTTATGAATGCTGTGATGGATCAAAATATTGACTTAACATCTCAACACAAATTAGAGAAAGGCAAAGAAAAGGTACGTATACCCAACCTTCTTTTAATATTTCTGACCTTTTCAGATACCTCACTCACCTCTGCTTGAACAACTAGCGCGCTCACCTGTACCTTTAAGCCCAAAGTTTGCGGAACTGTCGAACAGGGATGAAAACAGTGATTTTGAAGAAGACGGTCCAGAAATGAATGATGATAATGCTCATTCACAATTCTACACGGTCAAAGATATGAAAAACATCCGCGATGAGTTCTCAGATGAAGCAGCAAAACTTCGAGAAATGGCTATAACACCATTCGTTAAGGGCCAAGGAAGTACCACCAAGGGTATATCTGAAGTAGTCTCTAGTAACATGAAGGAATCTCAATCTCAATTGACGCCACCTGGATTATGTCCTGAGACACAAGTGCAGTCACCTCAGCAACAAGATGCCACATTGTCTCAGTTGCCGTTTGCTCAATCTCCTCAGTTAGGTGGTAAAAAGACTCACCCTCCATCTTGGTCATTAGAAGCTCAAGTTCCTAGGGTTGTATCTCCACCACCAAATGCAATTAGTCCACCGTTAGTGTCAGATTGGCACAACCTTCCAGAGACTTTGCGTTCCCCTCCTCCACAAGCTGTGAGGTCAGAGATGATTTTCCAAGCAAACGCAAACCAAGCAGGTCATCAGTCAATAACGGCAGCTCTGACCAAAGAATTCGAGAACCAGAATAAGAACGAGGACGTAGGATCGGAAGTTAAGTTGGAGGATGAACCTGAAGTTGAGACTTGGAGTGAAGGTAGTGGTTCTACTGTGTTCTATGAGGATGAAACATACCAAGACGATGGTATAATTAATATTGGAAGAAGCAATACAAGTACGAAGGTATCATCTCAACCTGGTTCTGTAGGTGCTGCATCGACAAGATCCAAGATACGGAGATACAAAACCAGGAGAAGCGCCATGTCAACGAGTACCAGATATAGGAATTCACAAACGTCAGCACCGAATAATTTCGAGGAGAATTCTAAGGTATCTCCAAACAATAATGAGCAACAACGGATGGTAGTTGATGACTGGAAGAAAGTTGAATCCAATAGAAATAACGTCTCAGCCTCTACAGAGGTTCATGCAGTAGAGAGAAATGTTAAGGAATCACCTATTGATGAGCAATTCGCATCACCACTAAATGAAGTAAACGAATCACCTAAAAGGAGTGATGATGATTTTAAATCGCCTAAATCTGATGATTTCAAAAGTTCCAAGTCGAATACATCTGTAATGAAGTCGCCCCTATCCTCTGATTTTCTACCTACAATCGAGGCAACACCAGAATTAGCGAGATCATCAACAATGAAAAATTACTTGATGAGATTACCTTCAATCAAACAAGCTACTGGAATGGGCTCCATTGATATGAACGCAATGGCTAATGATAGATTACCTTCACCAGCGTACAACAGTTATGAAAGCGGTAATTATAAGTACAATTTCATAGGCAAAGGTCAAGGGAATTTAGAAAGTCCACAATACTCGTCATTGAATGATCAAGATGATTCAAATAAAGCATTAGCTAAAGTCGATGAGATTTTAACTTCCTCATGGAGTTCCAGAATCAGTTCGGATGATCTGGAGGAAGCACCACCCAGAAGGAGAGGTGCAGCTGTAGCACCTCGTACTCGCAAACTGCTTGAAGCAAGAATGAGAAGAGAAAGATCCGAATCACCAACATCTTCAATAGCTGAAAATGAACAATAGTTAAAAGTATATACATGTTATACTTACCTCGATGTAATATTATTTATCATTATATTTGTTATAATTTGCGAGTACCATAAAGCAATGATTAATTGAGTAACATTTCATGTGTGGTTAACTCAGTGACTCAATGATCATTTATACCAATTTGTCATTACTACGTTGTACTTTCTGAATATTATGCGAAAGACAAGATTCCCTCTCCCCACCCAGATCTGAACAGACGGAGTAGAAGAGTAACAGTAATCAATTTACTGGTAACAGATATATGAATTAAAATACTCCGATGGACAATTTGCGATGTTATGTATTCATTAAAAAAAGTTTAGCTGTGCAAAACAACAAAATGGAAGCAAGTGACCAACGAGATTCAACCTCCTTGGTAAAACTTTTTCGGTTAATTATTTGATGTAGAGATGTGGTTACCAGATGTTCTATGTCTGTTGGGCACCTGAGAAGACGTTATGATATTGTTATTACTATCAAATGAATAGGATCTATGTCAGATGATTTTAATTTATAACATTTTCTTCCTTATATGTATTCACCAGTGTCATACAATTCTTGTTCCTTTTATTTTTACGCCGCTTTGATTGGTCGCGCTCATGTCTAAATGTAATCGTGGCGCTCTGTGATTCTTGTCTTGTCTCTAACCGTACCTCGAGACATACTCCTGTTCATTGGTTTGGTGAAACACGCGTCCGTGTTTCATTGTTCTTTGACGCTGTATGTTTAAGCGCAGTATCTGGATTTCAACAGATAATTTAATTTTTTGTAGATTTTATTGAATCTTTAAAATAAATTTCAGA